TTTATTTGCAAATATTTTCAAAAAAAAAAAAAAACCTATAAATTAGCACTCTAATAGTGATTACTATATATTTTTAAACCTTTTCAAAAGATATAAAAATTTTTATAAACAAGCAAATAAATTAAAGTTATCCATTTTTAAGCTAAAACGTCATTTAATTCATAGTTTTTCTTATTTTTGAATAATTAATTTTGGAGAAGCATTCTTCTTTAATTAAGAGAAATTCGATGATTACAGACAATAATCAATTAGTCTAATTATTTCTTAAAACTCAATTCTGCCTTTAATTTTTGAAAATAAAGTGTAGCTAATTACATAGTAAATCATTTAAATATTTTTTATGCATTTTTTAAGCATTATCTTATTATTAAAATAATATTTAAAACCAACAATTAAACTTGGATCCTTCATAATTACTAACTAAAAGGTCATATATTTCTATTCTAGCATTTGTTAATAATAATAAATTCATTTCTGTGAAGCAATCCATTATTATTAAGAAGAATATCATGATTACAGATTATTTTTGAAAGCTTAACATTGCTTTTAAATTTTGAAAAATAAAGTAGGAGCTATTTCAAAAATAACAAATACATTTATTTAAATATGTTCTGCAAATTTTTAAAATATTTCTAATTTTTAATACTTTAATTTAATAATCTACTTAGATCACTTAATAAAATTATTAAAATATATCATTTACTCTTTGTATTTGTAATGTTACTGATACCATTTTTAACTTAAAGATACAATTATAAAGCTTTTTTACATATGAATAATATTTACTTGATATAAAATCTAGTAAAAAATTAATAAACATGGAGATAAATAAAGCAAATGTCTATCTATCTTATAGCAATAAAGATCCTTTAAAAATTTCATAAATCTATTTAAAGCTGAAATAAAAAGAAATGTTGTTATCTTTAAATAAGTAAAATTATTTTTTAAAGACAATACTTAAAATTATTATAGCTTGCAAATAAATGAAATTAATCTAATTCTTCACATAAACAAGGGTCAAAAAATTATATTTTAGGCTTTATTTTCATCACATTCTTAATAATAACCATCTCTTTGAATGCATTATCTTCAGGAAAGGTTGGATATTTAAAAATGGAGTTAAATGGTTTTAGCTATTTTTATACGAGTAGGTTGTAAATTATTGATTGTGTTTTTCTAACTTTAATGATTGAAATTAAAATAAAATTGAATGGAACTTAGATTCAATAAAGAATTATATATTTATTAAATAGATAGAATGAATTTCCATAATTTAGACAATAAAAAATCATCTAACTACTTATTAGGCGAAAATTAATTAACATTTCTATTGTGTTCTAAATTAAGGATCGATCCAATATTTGATTTCATCTTAAGTGATTATTTCCTTCTAATAAACAAATATTATTTAAAAATGGAGTTAAATGTCTTAAATTTTTTTTATACGAGTGGGTTGTAAATTATTGATTGTGTTTTTCTAACTTTAATGCTTGAAATTAAAATAAAATTGAATGGAACTTAGATTCAATCAAGAATTATAGATTAAATAGATACATAGAATGAATATCCATGATTTAGAAAATAAAAAATTATTTAACTACTTATTAGGTGAAATTAATTAATATATCTATTTGGTTCTAAATTAAGTATTCAATCTTTGATTTCATCTTAAATGATTATTACCTTCAAATAAACAAAATATACCCTATTTCCTGATAAGCGAAATCGACAAAGTAGCTGAAGGAGCCCTAAATTTGGAAATTTAAAAAACCTCTACCTACTTTTTAACCTTAACACAAGGGCGAGAAAATGGATAATATTGTAATATATAATCAAATTATTAACTTATTAAATAAAATCTTTAAATAAATAACATTAGATATTTTATTTATTTTGCGAACTAAAACTTTATTATATTTTTGACTACATTTTTTAGGCGTACTTGAATTGATCTATTAAAAAAAGAGTGCAATTATAAAAATTGATAATGATTTATACGATTTCTCAAATGTAAATAAGGGATTATAAAATGATAAAATAGTAAAATATTGTAGTGAAAATAGTTTAGATGTAAATGAATTCAAAAATAAAAGCAAATCAGTTGTAAATACCATAAATATCATTTATTGCTTTTTTATTTCTATTCCATATTAAAAATAACAAAATTCTAAAGTTTTAAATAAATCATCTTGCACTTTTTAATTAAAGCATGCTTAAATGTAAAAAGTATAAAAACTTTTGTAATTTATTATTGTATTTAATTGTTCTTTATTATTGATGAATATAACAATAAATAATATTTTCTATTTTATTTTTAAAATATTCTAAATTACAGCTTTTATTTTTAAAATATTCTAAATAACAAGTAGATATAATTAATACTTAAATATAAATGCAATGTTTTATTTCATAATTTGATGAATCGATATACTTTCTTAATGATTAGATATGCATTAGAACTTTAGAAATGTTTGCATATTCTAAATATTATTAATATTTTTTTAATATTATAATTTGTTTAGAGATATATGAAATTCAGATTCGAAGAATAACAAGAAGGTTTATTGGCTAATTATTTATAATAAAAAAACAAAGTAGGGTGATTTAATTTTTACCTTAAATTCATATTGATTGATTAGCTTTATATGATTTATGAATAATTGATTGTTATGGGTACCAATTATTAAATTGAATCTATGTTAAGCAGTTAAGCAATTTTATATAAAGAAATATATAACAAAATTTAAAATAAGATTTTGGTACTACTATCTATCTATCTATTATGGTATCTGAATTAGCTGAATCAAAATGCTCCAGCTAATGATTTAATAAATACATATTTTGGTGCCAAAAGTGTTATAATGAGCAAGTAAATGCTGTTTTAGATAATTTATTTACAATAAATAAATAATTATTCTTAATATCAAAAATTAAAATTTACCCATCTCTTTTAATAGCCAGCTTGCTTTAATAAATAAAGTTAAGTAAAAAAAATATTAAAATCAAAGCTAGATTTCTTCAAAAACAATAAATAGACCTATAATTAATTCACCCTAAAAAATGCTGTTTGCTAAAAAGTTTAAGAATTTTTTTACTAAAAAAAGTAATTTTACTCTTTCTTTCTTAAAAAATTTTATTAGAAAGCTTTTTTAATATCAAGGCTTAAAGCATTCCGCATTTATCCTTTCATTATCATTAATAATACTCTTAATTTTATTTATAGGAATTTAAATTACTGGTGGAGTAGCCCTTAGTTTCGGATTATTAGCCTACATTTAGCATTAAAACCAAGATTCTTCATGCAGAGAAAAGAAGCATGTCAATTACTTTGACTTTAGGTAAAAAATTTTATATTGCACTTCAATTTGGCTCAACTTTTCATTAAAATCGCTTAAATAAAAAATCATAGTGTCCAAGTATTACCTCATCCAGATAAAATAGCAAAAGGAGGTGAAGATGCATACTTCGCTGATAAAAAGTAATATTTTTAAGATTGTGGATATCTGCCCTTTCATTATTAACCATTACAATAACAATCTAGCAGCAGATTTTGATATTTAATGTGTTTTTTGGATTTTTATTTTTAACATTATAAAATAAACAGCTTGTTAGCCGTTGCCGATGGCGTTGGAGGATGGGCCGAAAAGGGAATTGACCCAGCTGAATATAGCAGAGGTTTGATCAGAAAGTAATATTTTCATAATTTATTAAACAAAAATGAGGAAGAAAGAAAAAATTGAGCAAAGTATTTTTAAAAATGGCAGAGTTTTCATATAAAAGAAAAAAAGTAGAAAAAGCTATGAAAAATTAATTACTGCTTTAATAATAATTTGACTTACTTACTTTAAAAATAATACGTAGATTAAATTTTTGAATTTAGATGCAGAAAATTTTGTGAATTTTCATCTGTATAAAAATTGGATGATTTTTATGGATTTCAAATTATTTAATGTAATCAGCATGAATACCAAAAAAAAAAGAAAGAAAGAAATAGAGTGGGAAAGTTTCTATTTTTCTTCGTCTACTTTCACTAAATTAAATTGTTATTATTTTATAAAGCATATATCAATTTATTTATAATATTACGACATTTCAAACCAAAATTAATCATTTCTGATTAATTTATACAGAACCACTAACAAATTTAAGTAAAAATAACTAGAAATCTTGAAGTTAAGCCTACCAACAAAAAAGCACAAAATCTTTATTTAATTTCAGCCTTAAAAAAAAAATAATTAAATTTACTTTTTAATTTCTACTATTTTTCTATCATTCTTCCTACTCAACTTTCTCTCAAAAAATTGGAATTCTTAGAATCTATTGTTAATTCTTTGTTAAAAATTTAGCGTCGAACAAAATTACAAGTCAAATGTACTCAAGTACATCAGCAATCCTAAGCTTCTCCTCATACACTCTGCTTAAGCAACACAAATTATGGGATCAAGGTAAACTTTTCTATTAACTTTCTTAAATTAAAGTTAAATTAAAAAACGATATAAAAAGCACTCTTGTTTTGGTCACTGTTGACTAAGAAAAGAACATCTTGAAAACCTCCTACATTGGCGACTCAGGTTACTGCATCTACAGATTAGATGAACATAACTCACCAAGACTTGTCTTTGGATTTAAAGAGCAATAAAAGTCATTTAATTTCCCCTATCAGGTAACTAACTAATTAATTAATTATTCATTTATAATATTTACAATAAATTATTGATTGAATTTGCAAATAATTAGTAAAATTATATCCTAAAAATAACGAAAATTTACTTACTGATTTTTATTTTAAATAATACAGTTAGGTGGAATGGGTAATGGAGACAACCCTTCAACTGCTTTAGAATTTGAACACGAAATTAAAGATAAAGATATTGTAATTGTTGGTTCAGATGGCTTGTTTGATAACATGAGCTTTGAACAAATTAGATAACAAATAACTCAATATGTTATGAAGGATAAAATTGTTGATGTTCAATCATTAGCAAAAGATATAGGAGGTTAGGCTAAGACATTCTCTTTATCATGGTTATATGATTCTCCTTTTGCTTAAAAAGCAAGAGCCAGCAAACATTATTATATGGGAGGTAAGTCTGATGATATAACTGTTATTGTAGGACAAGTAAGAACTGATTGATTAGCTAAAATCTTTAATTTTATTTATTATAAAGCACTTTAAAACACTACTAACTTTTTATTAAAAATTTAAAATGTTCTATAGTTTATATCACTCTGTAATATCTATCTATCTCTATTTCTAATTCCTCTTAAATAAGCTTTTCCACAAAATTATTTTATTTTTTTAATCTCAAATTTTATTTTACAAAACAATTTAATTTCAAATAATTTTTTTATTCCAAAAAATTATAAAATTTACAAATTAAAAAAAATAAAAGGTTTATTAAATTTTAATTAATTTTTAAATAAGATTAAGGATTTATGAAAAAATTTTTTACTCTTTAAGTATTTTAACAAATAATTTTAAATTTATGCCCTCTAATTATCATTCACAAAAATTATATTGTCCATGATAAATTTTTCATGCTAATAAAGATAAAGCTTAAAAAATAGGTAATTAGATAGAATATAACTAATGTACAAAAACAAACTAATTACATTAAAAATAAAATTGAAACTAAATAAAATATAAAATATTTTTAAAAATAATTTAAAAAATTTATAAAATTAAATTATTTTATTAAGCAAGTTTGTTTATAAGAAAATATGTATTTCATTATTTAGAGAATGTTTAATATAACCAATCAAAGGCTTGATTAATTCCCTCTCCTGACATACAATTAGTATGTATTATATTGTAAAATATTTTGTTTTCTATATCATGAACTCCAACATATTATAATATTTCATTATCAGTATATTTGCATTTATCACTTTTATTAGCTAAAATTAGAACAGGTATTTTTTTATCAACATAGATCTTATCAATACAATCTTTGAAAGTATTTTGTAATAGTTATTAATAGCTAAAGTCTGAAGAATCAACAATGACAATCATTCCGTCTTTTCCTGGCATATAATGTCTAAATAAAGGGTATATTCTATCTCCGCCTCCTGATTCTGTAATTTCAAAAACAAAATCATTATATTATATTTCTTCTATATTAAACCCTATTGTTGGAATTGTTCTAACAACTTAACCTAATTTCATTCTATAAAGCATAGTTGTTTTACCTGAGCACCATAGTCCTAACATAAATAATTTTATTTTCTTTGGTTTAAACTACTATTGAACTTTTTAAAATATTTAACCCATTATTCTATTTGGTATTATTAATTTATTGCTTATATCTATTTAATCAATTAATTAAGTAAGTAAGTAATTAATTAATAATTTGCTTATCATTTGAAAATAGGAAAGTCTTATTTATGCTACTATCTAGAAGAAATATCACTCTAATTCCAATAGCTTTTTCTCATTACTTAAAATAAATATAAAGATGTTAAAAATAATTTTAGCTGTATTTTATAAACAAATTTAAAAAATTTATGATAATATGAATCAAATAATTTTAAATAGTTTTAATAATAAAATATTTATTGATTTTTTATAGCTTTAATTTTGATAATGTTTGTACAATCACAAAATCTTTATTATTTTTCATCAAAAAATCCTACTTTCCTTGTCAGAAAAAATAGGATATTTATTTTTAGTATTATTAAAAACTCACGTTAATGCAACAAAAAACTAAATTTAGCGAAATTATTTAAAAGTTCAAGGATTTATCTGCATTACAAGTAAGTTGTCAATCACTACTAGATACTGTTTATTATTCAAAAGATTCAATATTCTTCTTAATTGCTTAAAAATAAAAAACATACCTCTAAAACTCCATTTATGCAAACTTCAAAAGATTTTTTTAATTCTCTTAACCTTTTTTTTTGGAATTAGCATAAATTAAAGTTTTTTATGAAAGTTTGACATAATATTAATAAGTTATACATTAATCTATAATTAAAATCAAGTGCTATTTAATAGTATGTTTGTAAATGATCTTTATTTATAATAATAATAGAATATTAATCAAATAAAGGTTTTTATAAGTATAAAAAAGTGACAAAAAAGTTAGTCAAATATCAAAAGTTCTTTCGCAAATTTTAAACAATTTCAATTTTAAGGCAAATAAAGGAGAATAAAATGAATATGAAAGAAAATAGTTTAAATAAATGAGCTGATAAAAGAAAGAGAGTAAAAAAAGAAAGAAAGAAAGATTTTGTATTGAAGAATTATTATAAGGACAAACTCGATTATAAATTTATAAAACAATAATATATTATAACTATATGGTATTATAAATATTAAAATGATCCAACTTTTAATAAATAATGAAATTTATTGCATATCAGACATCTAACTAGTAGTATTTTATTTTATTTTTAAATTAATTATCAAACATTTATATAACTTAATCTTCATCCTAAATGTAATTCCATCTAATTTAAATAAATTAAATTATCTTTAATGGACATTCTTTCAAAATAATTTACCCAAAATGCAAATTTAAATTTATCAAATTCTGGTGATTTTTTAAGCAAACTGGAATACTCAAAATTCCTTTATCTGATATTTTATTTTCCCTAATTTACATAATTTATTCATTTGAATATAAACAAACTAATCATAATATGTAAATTATTTACTAGAAGTTTAAGCAAAGCTATTATATATTCGTTATAGATTTTAAAGAGTCACATAAAACTTATAAACCATTGTCAGTAATTTTATTGCATCTTTTATTTTTTTAAAAGTTTTATTCAATAACAATATTAAAATTAATTATTTTACAAAAACCATAATTCTAAATCTAAAAGGTGAGGGAATTTTTTTAACGCCTATGAAAGAGAAGATAATCCAGCATCCTCTATCAAATTTCCACTATTATTTAAATATAATCAAATAAATAAATTAATCAATAAAAAATTTAGTCATATCAAAATAAATAAATAACATGGTAATGATTTGTAGAAGATAAACTAAAGAGATGGAATATAAGTTTTGTGTTGAATAATAATGTGAATAAAATTTTCTTGTTTTAATTTGGATTAATAATTTATTTTAATCTTTTTAATAATAGATATTAAGATAGTTTTGAAAGGTTTTAAAGTGGATATAAAAGTAAATTTTAATATCTAAAATAGTGAGTAAGAATTTGAGTACCTAAAACTCCAAATTATTTTTTATGCGAGTGGGAATTGTGTGATGAAATCTGAAAAAATCTTGATGTGGATGTCTTCTAAATTTAGATTGCTGAAATTTAATTCTAGTGTAGAATTTTGTTGATAATTATCTTTTTGAGACTCTAACTTACATTTAATGAGCTCACATAAATCTTAAAAATCTATGTATTTAGAAAATAGCTATTCCCAATTAATATCCCAAGTTCTTTCTATAAGTTAAGGTATTTGATTATATTATTCCTTTTAAAATAGTTGTATTAGGGTGTTTAACTGGGGTCTTTACTTTTCGCTGTATTTAAGACACTGAGAAGCAACTTAATAAAGAAAGCTATTTCTTCTAATTTAATTTATTCCTTCCAAAGGTACTGTAAAGGGGATCATAAGTTACAAAAAGTTCTAAAACGAATAGCTAAAGTCTTCATAGTTATCTATCTCAAGTAGAATGATACCTAAACTAAATATATCAGACTTCAATTATAAATATTAATTCAATAAATAAGCTATTTGAAAAGCAACTTACTTTCATCGTTATTATATTTTTAGAGAACTCTGGTGCAGAATACATAGGTGTTCCTTTCTTGTTATAAAATAAACTATTTAAAATCTCCTATCAACATAAATTTATTTTTTTACATATGAGGCTTACTATGTCTGTTTATTTACTTCTTTAGCAAAACCAAAGTCAGCTACAGAAATTTAAAAAAAATAATTTATTGTTAATGTCTAAAAATAAATATTTTCATTAATTTAAATTCAATAAATTAATCATTTTAATTAAAAGATTAACATTTTGAAAGGTTTTATTCAATAAAAACTAATTAAGAATAAATAAATTTATGGTGTATTTTTAAATGTGAAAATAAAGAATATTCATTCATTTTATATTTTTAATATAAACTCTTTCTTGAATGGTAAAAAATAAATTTACTAAATAATCACTCTAATAAGCTAAAACAATGAATTATGTCAATATAATTGATTTAATAATGAATACCGTTTATTCTTTAATATAAATTTGTGTTTTATTAAAGTAATTGAGTTTCAAAAAAACTATAAGATGATAAAAATATTTAAAAATTGTTGAATTCAATCAGCTTATATTAGAGAATACACGGTAGTTATTGATCTATAAAGCATATTACTTTTTCAATATATTTAAAAACTAAGAAATAAGAAAATAGTAATATTTTACCTATTTTAATTTATACGCTATTAGATCCTTGAATACAAACCAATATATTTTAAGGTTTAATGTCTCTATGTATAATGTTTTTAGAGTGTAAGATATTTAATCCAACAATAATTTAATAAGCTATTTATATTTTAAGTGTTTCGTCAATAGAAAACTAAGTTTAGTTTGCTTTTAAGTATTGAAAAAGAGAACCTTTTTTAAAAAAATAGAATAATTATTAATAAAAATGAATAATTTAGTTACAGTCACACTTCTCCATTTGAATGATATAAAACTCTTTTTTTCCAATTTTAAGCATTTCTACTTCATAAATTTTAACAATATATTAAGATTAAAGACTTTAAACTACTTAGACTTCTGTCTCTAGTTACTCTTTGCTTTATTGATCCTCTATTAGCTATATTTTCAAAGCAACTATTCTATTCGATTCTCTGTTTAATGCTTCAATGACTATTCCCTAGCTTCCAGCTCCAAGAGCATTAAAGCATGCATATTTCTTCAATTAAATTATTTTATTTGCCAGCAATTAAGCGTCTTATCCAAATTACTACATGAGAATATTGAACAATTTGATCTTATTTTAATTAATTAATTTATATATATATTCATATAATAATAAAAAAGTAAAATTGCGAATATTTACTTCTTCGTCTTCTTCTGATGGTGGCTGAATCGAGAATATTATCAAATCCTAGTTTTTATTAAGAGATTTTTGTCTTTCAATCAAGCTTTAAAGGTAATATTAACTCTATTGTCTTTAGCTTGGGTTTTTATGCAAGCATCTTTGAATTATTTTATAAAGAAAAGTATCTTTTTTGATGTTATCAGATATAGGAAAGATATTTTCTGAAAAGTTAGCTTGAAATTGTAGATATTTTTCAAAGCTAATATTAGTAAATTAAAATGAAGGAGTATCAAGCTGTGCAAGGACTAATCCAAGTCTAAACAAATCACTCTAATAAAATTAATTATTATTAAATAATAAGCTCATAAATAAATAGATAAATTTTATACCTTTTTATGGTATTGGTTAAGATAGGCCTCAAGAGGTTGATATACATCAATATATTTCTGTATAATTAAAAAAAAATATAATTAATTACAAGATTTATGTAAACAAGCGCAATTTAATTAAATATCCAACCACAAAATTAATATATTTATCAAAGTAAATTACATAAGAACTGACTGGATTAGTAATTTAGTTGAATTCCTAAGAAAAGTCTTCTGTGTTGTTTGCTTATAAATCGGCTTTAGGATTAAAAAATAAAATCAATTCAACGATTTTTTTGATTTGAATAATAAAAGAGTAACTTAGTCTTACCTAGTTTGACAGTAAAATTTCCATTTTCATAAAAATACAAAATATTTGAAGGTTTTATATTCCTGTGGCAACTTCCGCATTAATGAAATATGTTCAAAGCATCAAATAATTATATAGCCATCCTTTCTTTTTACCAATCTTTTAATTCAATGCTTTTAGTTCTCAGCTATAGAAATAAGTCTTCGAAGTTGCCTTTAGTATTTTTAAACAAACATTTATTGAACGAATTAAATTGAAATAATTTACCATTAGCAAACTCCATTTCTTAAATATAGAACAAATCTATTTTGCTCTCTTAAAAATCACTTTGCAAAAAATAACTATCATCAACTTGATGAATATAATTTTCCTTTCCAAGGGATCTTACTGCATTAACCAAAATATCTAAATCTTTTATTTCCTTTTCATTGTGTCTATTAATTTTTTTGATTTTAACTACAAACTAATCATTAACTTTGAGCACTAGACTTTGCTTACCTGTTCCAATGTATTTAAACTACACATAAGAAGGTTTCTTTTCCGTAAGCAGTTGCAAACATCCTTTTATTGAATAATAATCGAAAGAGCTTTCTCTCTCTATTTAGTTAAATATTTTGAGAGAAATATTCTTTAGATTTAAAGCTTCGCTTACTTTGCTATTATTCTTCTTCTTGATCATCATCTATTTTTAATTTTTATGTGCTAATATTATTAAAAACTATTAATTTTGTTGAAGATAGAAATATATTATTAATGCGCAGATTTTAGGTTCTTAATAATATTTAATTTCTTTGATTTTCTTAAGCATAAAAATCTTTATACTTTTTGATACTTCATATTACCAACACATAAACACACACATACACTGACTGACTGACAGATTATATCTATTTTAACTTCTCAATTTTTATGATACCCACATTAATACTTACAACTTATCGCTCTTGTTTAGCATATATTCTTTTTATAGTAACCGATCGCTTTTTCAATTTATTAATAAAATATTCAATAAGCATAAAAAAATAAATCTTTCCTCCTCAAAATAATTCATTTCATTTCTTGAATTTAAATGTTTGTCCCTGTTTGAGATTTAATTTTCATGCATCTTGATTTGAAAATTTAAATTAATTTTTTTAGATTATTTTAGTTTAATTAATAATTAAACAATGTTTTGTTTCATAAAAATCAACAAAAAAGTAAATTTTTTAGACTAACAAAAAAATAAAAAATAAAAAAGCGGTTAGCCCGCCGTGGGGCTCGAACCCACGACCACAAGATTAAGAGTCTTGCGCTCTACCGACTGAGCTAGGCGGGCGATTCAGTAATTATTTATTAATTAACTAAAACTTTTCTTGATTTTTAAATAAAATAGAATAATTCATTCATAGCTTTCATTTGAATATACATATAAAAGGATTGTAATTAAAAAACAAAAAGCGGTTAGCCCGCCGTGGGGCTCGAACCCACGACCACAAGATTAAGAGTCTTGCGCTCTACCGACTGAGCTAGGCGGGCAATTCAATAGATAATAGAGATATTTAAAACTTTTGCTTAACTAATCAAACCTGATTCTAATTCAGAAAAGAACATTCATTCATATTTAGATATTAATAATTAAGAATTAGTGAAATCAAAAAATTATAAAATAAAAAAAAAGCGGTTAGCCCGCCGTGGGGCTCGAACCCACGACCACAAGATTAAGAGTCTTGCGCTCTACCGACTGAGCTAGGCGGGCATTATATTATCTATAAATCTAATCTCATGTTTCTTTTAAGCTTTTACCTAAAATTTAATTATTTTAACAAATCGATCAATATCCCCATATTATTTTTCTTTGCTTCAATAATGAATTAGCTATTATGATTACATTTTTTTAACCAATCAATTAATCATAATAAATAAACCTATTATATTCTTATATTTAATTTGCTGAGTATAAAATATTCTAACCACACCTAAAATTTAATTCTTTTAACAAATCGATCAATATCGCCATATTATTTTTCTTTGCTTCAATAATTAATTAGCTATTATGATTAAATTTTTTTAATAAATCAATTAATCACAATAAATAAACCTATTATATTATAATATTTAATTTGCTGAGTATAAAATATTTTAACACCCCCTAAAATTTAATTCTTTTAACAAATCGATCAGTATCGCCATATTATTTTCTTTGCTTCAATAATTAATTAGCTATTATGATTACATTTTTTTAACCAATCAATTAATCATAATAAATAAACCTATTATATTCTTATATTTAATTTGCTGAGTGTAAAATATTTTAACCACACCTTACAACCAACAAAAGTATGCAAATTTCATATATGACATAAGCAATTAATTTATTTTAGTAATTAAGAGTGAAAGAAATTATTAATATTCTTCCTATCAAAAAAGGCTTAAAAAAGAGAATAAGTCTTAAAAAATAAATTTATTTAAAACTATTTTTGACAAGAAAAATAAATTATCATGATTGATTTGAAAAAATAGCCTCTATTTTGATCGTTTTATTTAGAAAAAAGATTACATGTATGTTGAATGATAAATTTTATGCTATTTAAATTGATTGTTTAATAAAATATCAAAAAATAACAAATTTGTTTGATTTTATTAGTTATTATAATTTACATTGCATAATTTAAGATAATAACAAATAAACAAATTATTGAAGAAAATTACAACTTAAAACATGAAAACTTTTCATTTTAGAGTTTTTGAGCAAGGATTATTTTTTATGACTTAACTTTTTTGTTTGTATTTAATTCATTTGAATTTCTAAACGAATTACTTTCTATAAATAATTCAATTTGATAATTTTATTTTAATCAAATATCGAATTTTAATGAATGAATAAATAAAAAATTATGCTCGTAAAAGGAGTTTGTTTGATATAGTTAAATGCTGCCAATATTCATTCATGAATAGTAAATAAGCAAAGCCAGTGTAAGCTATTCATTTATTTTTAAATTTTCTACTGAAGCAAATTGAAAAAGTTTTTATAAAACAATTTATTTTTAAATCGAGCCTCTTAAAACTTGCAAGTCTTAAATACTAAATTAATTTTAATCTAAGAACGCCAGAAATATAATTTTTTTTTTTTGTTACAATTTTTAGATTTAAAAATTCTAATTTTTTTACTTCATTAACTAATTGTTAATTTTAGAATTGTAAAATGGAAAAGTTAATAAATAATTAATGACATGTAATTTACTTGTAAATAATATAAAATAATTGATAAATTTATTAGTTTTTAAGTATCTAAATACCACATAATTTATGTTTTTTATATGTTATATTGTATTACCACATTCATATTACAGAATTTCAAGAGATAACTAGTTAGCCTTCAAAAGAGATTTCAATTTACATCTTATTTCTTTTTTTTGATTTAATTATTTATGAAGATTTACTTAGCTCTATTAATCGGCTGAAATTAATTTTTAGGTAAAAAGTGAGAAGAATTTAAACAAAGTCTAATAAGTGCATATAACATTAAAATGAATTCTTTTTTTAATGTTTTTTTTATTTTCGCTGCTTTTTCTTACATTTTTGAATGCTAAGATGCCATCCCTTATTAAGTCAGCAGCAATGTCTACTAAATTGAAGTAAAATTACTTCCATTAAATGCATCATTTCTAAAAAAAATCTTATTAGGAAACTTCAGCAATCATTTATAAATCGTTTACTGAGAATAAATGGAGATACAGCTTATATGATTAAAATGGAGCTATAACTGCTACTTATGTAATCGATGGATTATAGGATTTAGCATAATCATATTATTTCATTGAATAAGTATGCTTTGTTTTTATTTTAGATACATATCATCATTTATATATTAAATACAAAAAAATAGAATAACCAACTTTACATATATACTCAAAATACACCTTAATATTAATTGATTGACTTAAGCAAGCTTACAAGTGGATAAAGTGGGTACTTAACTACTAGCGTCTTAGCAAATTCTAACATTCCATGCTCAACAGGAGGAATGATTAGGAGATACGTAAGATTTATTCATGATAAATGGCATAATTAAATTAATTAATATTAACATAAAGGGGACTTATTATTTCTTAATATGTTTAACTCCACCGTTTTATCTCTAAGAAGCAAGCTTATCAGCTTTATAATCAACGACAAGATAATATACCTACTAAAATTATATTTAGTCTTAAGTATATTTAATGTTTGATCAGTCTCTGTTGGTTTACAAAAATAACCTTTTCACTAATCTTAGCAATGTTTCTAATGCCGGATACATATTAGTCGATGTAATAAAATAAAAATAATTGGTTTATTTTAATTAAGATTTTTAGCTTACAGTTTTTTACAAGTTAACATAATATTTCTAATTATTTATAAGTTAAATGGTCATATATATATTTATAATTAGTAACAATTCGATGTATTTCTTTAAGATCTTAAGCTCTGCAAGGGAGTATTAGATATCGGATCAAAGACTTTTTCTTGCACAAATGTATAAGATTTAAAAGCGTAAAATTAATAAGATGTATTAATATCCAAAGTCTTTTTATCTAACGGAGTAAATTAACTTAAATGTTTAAAAACAGCAGATTTATATATTAAAAATATTAATTATTTTTGAAGGTGAATTTAATTTTTGGAAGAGATTAAGTTGCTAAAAGGTTCAATGTATATGATGTTGCTACTATGAATCCAGTCACTAGATATGGATCATCAATAACAAATTTGGGTGTTTAATTAGAGTTTGTTTAATATGGTGTAAAATCTTAAATATATTAATTAATTAATTATTTAAATATTTTATTTTAAATTTAGTACATCTTTTACACAGGGAAAAATTGCTAGTATACTGCTTTGTATAATCCAACTACTTAGTAAGTACAAATTTCGGAGGCTTTTACAAATCTGCCTAATAATTACATGCTTGTTAATCCTCCATTTTACAACTTTAATTTTTAGTAGGTAATATTCAACTCACCACCAACAAATACAAAATAAATAATATTTTTATTTAATTATCAGGGAAGTACAATATTTTTAAGTTAAGGCACTAATAAATTTCTTTATAATATTAATCAAATTTATTAAATGTGTTCAAATACATAATTTATTTAGCTAAACTCTTAATGTGGTTCAAATTGCCCATCAACAGCTATTACTGACACTAAAACAAATAAATGTTATTGCGATTAGAATGCTATCAACTTAGATAATTCATGCTAGTGCTCAAAAAATTATTACTTAATTAATTAGAATCAGTGTAAAATTTGTACTCCATACTGCTAAAACTGTATTAGCTAAAACTAATGCTAATCATGTTAGAGTGGTTTTACTCTTTAAATGGATGGCACTTGTAAATGCAATGATGGTACTTACTTGAAGTAATTTTTATACGTTTATATAAAATTATTTTGAAATAAAAATAAATCATTTTAATTAAGCAAAACAATTAATTGATTTTATTCATGAATTAACTTGATATTTTAAAGCAATAATTTAAAATAGATTTTTAATAACTTAAAAATAAATTTTAAAACCATTATCAATCGTATTTCCTCAATTTTGTATTTTTTGAGGATTTTTTAGAAAAAATTTTGAAAATCGAGCTTAGCCCCCCCCCCCCCCATAAAAACAAACTAAAACTTAAATTTTGATTTATTTTAAATACAGTTTATAAAAATAGATTTTAGAATTAGAATTGAAATTTATATTAAGAAAAAAAAATAATCAAATTTTATAATTAAAATTTTTATTATTTACGAGAAAATTGTTTAAAAATTTAATTTCTTCTAATTTTGTAATAATTTTTTATTCTTGTTTTTTATTTAGCAATAATGTATGCTAACCGTGTGATGGATCTTGTTTAACTTGTAACGATTCTTCAAAGACAAGTTGTTTAAGTTGTCCTCCAAACAACTATTTAAATCCAGATAATTCTTGTGATAGTTGTAATAAAAATAAGTATTTTATTTAAGGAACTAAATGTGTTCCTTGTGATTCATCATGCCTAACCTGTAATGGAAATTTAAATATTAATTGTTTAACATGTCCTTCAGGCTAATATCTATTCTAAGATGGTACCTGTAACGTATGTAATGTAAATAGTGGCTTTTATATAAATAATGATAAGTGTTTAAAATGCGATTCATCTTGCTTAACATGCAGTGACTCTACTTCAACAGGTTGCCTTACTTGTCCTGTAAATAAATATTTGTTTTAGAATTATTCATGTGATACTTGCTAAGTTAATGCAGGATATTTCATAAGTAGTAATAAATGCCTTCCTTGTGACTCTACATGCTTAACATGTAATGGTTCTTTAAACAACAACTGTCTTACTTGTTCTTCAGGAGTTTACTTGCATTAGGATAATACTTGTGGCAATTGTGACATTTAAAATAGTTATACTATACAAGGTAATTAGTGTCTTAAATGCAATTCAAATTGTTAAACATGCAGTGGTCCTTAACCAGAAAATTGTTTGACTTGCGTTTTAGGTATGTTTCAATTTACAGATGGAACTTGCAGCGTATGCAATTTAAATAATGGCTATTATATTAATAACAATAAGTGTTTAAAATGCGATTCGTCTTGCTAAACATGCAGTAGTTCTTCTTCGACAAGCTGTCTTACATGTCCCTAGAATACATATTTATATTAGAATAATTCATGTAATATTTGCTAAGTTAATGCAGGATATTTCATAAGTGGTAAGTAATGTCTACCATGTAACTCTACGTGCTTAACATGCAGTGGTCCTTTAAAAAATAACTGTCTTTCTTGCCCTTAAGGACAATACTTGCATTAAGATAATTCTTGTGGCTCTTGTAATGTCTAAAATGGCTATTTTATTAAAGGTAATTAATGTCTTAAATGTGATCCAAGCTGTTAAACATGTAGTGGAACTTTAGCAACGAATTGCTTAAGCTGTAATTCAGGAAAATATTTATTTTCAAATAATTCTTGCAATTTATGTGATACTAATAAATCATATTTTATTTAAGGAATAAACTGTTTAGCTTGTAATCCTATTTGTAAGACTTGCAGTGGAGGTAGCAAAAATCAATGCTTATCATGCTTTGATGGCTATTCCCTTTTCAGCAATACTTGCTAGGAGTAATATCTCCAATACAACTCTGGCATATTCACTTAAAGCAAAATAAATGAAGCAAAAGATCAAATTTAAGCTTCCTCTGAAGCATCTTTAGCTGGAACAACAATTTTGAGTTCAATTTAAAACATAATTTCCCAAACAAGCTTTGGAATTCTAACAAATAGTTTAGTTTGCTAAAAGCTCAGCTTTTTACTTCTAATTGATGTTCCTATTCCTGCCCAAATCTACCTACCTCTAAAAGCAATGAAAGGTAAAGCAATTACTTTTCCATATTTCACTTTTATTAAAATTTTTATTTTTATTTTATAGATTAATTTCCGTCAAATCAGTTTAAAATGCTTAACTTTTTTTAGCCGCTGATAAGCAATAACTAAAATTAGTATTAAGACTCTAGATACGAAATAGTTGGTCTTTCATTTAACATCCTTCAAACATGTGGACAATCAACCATAATATTTGGCATTTGCATTTTTGTATTTGGAACTTTTTACATTCTGATAAAATACATAAAAAGTAACAGAGTTTTATCGATAATTGTCCTAATTTACTAAAAACTATTTTCAGGTTTTTTGATTCAGTTTTTTTAACTCATCTCAACAATGTTTGTTTTAGGAGTTAATCAATAATTAAAGTAATTCTTCTTTGACATTTAGGGTAGCTTGCCAATTGGATTACAAATAAACCTAGTTACTATTTACATAGTTGTAATAATAATAATATTTTATGAACAAATTAAATTCCTGAATAAGACTAAAAGCTCTAACAAACAATACGATTTCATTTAATTAAACAAAGAAAAAATATTAAATGGAGCTGTTTATGGAAACAAAATAAGAAGAAATTTCATGATAATTTACCTATTTTTTGAATCTTTTCTCATACCAACATTATACATTTAATTTAGTTTTACATGGAAAATAACCAGCACAATTTCAATTGCCTTATAATTTCTGGAATTTGCTATTATCCTTTTTTATATGCCATTTGAATCTAAACTCTCAAATGGTTACTTTATAACAAATGGATTTTTGTGGCTTTGCCTATATTGTTAATATTTAGCTATAAATATATTATGTTAAAAGCCAGATCTTAACAATTACTCTAAAAATATAGATATCTTAAGCTACTCTGCTTTAATAACCATTCAAATTATTATATTATAATAAAGTGCCTACATCATACTAGCTATTCTAGTGCAATTATATGAATTCATTCAGCAAAAAAGATTAAAAAGAATGAATTCACTTAATAGCGATAAAATAAATAAAAACAATCTGTCTAATTTCACTGAATAAAATGAATTTAGTTCAATAAAACTTAACAACAAAAGCCTCATTAAGCAAAGACTAAATCTCACATACTACGAAAGAGAAATGGTTTAATAAAAATAATTTAATAGCTTAGTTTCTAGCCAAATTTGGGTAAGATTGCAGCCAAGGCATAAAGAAACAAAAAATAGTTTTCTATGAAATCATAACAATCCTCTATATTTATTCTTACTAAATTATATTAAAATAATAAATTAAATATTTGTAATAAAATCATAATTTATATCTAACAAACTTCATAATAAAATTTACTCTTAAATTATTTATTAAATAAAATTTCTAATTAAATATTTTCATTTAATATAATTAAAAAATTAATTGCCTAAATTTTATAATTTTTTGATCTAAGTATAAAATCTTTTCATAGGGTAGATAGATAGATAGATAGATAAATAGAGGAGATTGAGCTGTTTATTAATTTGTCGCCACAAAGTTTTTGTCAAAAATGAATAAGGGATAGAGAATCCCCTTAATTAATTTAATCAAAAAGGAGGAGTATATAATTATTAAAATTAAAAAAACAGAAATTAGAAATTAAATAGCAAAAATTAATTTTATGTCTCTGAATTTCACTTACTTATATAATTTAGTTAAAATTATATACAAATTTGACAAAATGAAAACAAAAATAATATAAAAAATTTGAAGTTAAATAAAATAATTATTGTGTTAAACATAATCAATATGAATAAAATAGATGGAGATAGATCATAAATTCCAAATATCTTTAAGATTTTATTTAAATCCCTTAGTAGGAAACCATTTTTTTAATTAATCAAGATCTCTTTTATATTTTTTGAGTTTCTATTATTTTTCTGCCTTATTTTCAGCAGTTTAATCAGGTTCTTCTAAATCTTTTTCCATTTTTTTGGTTTCTTTTTCAAGGAAGCTAATGAAATCACTTCTTTTAATTCTTTCATTTGTTGTCATGTTATCTTTTATCATAGAGAAGTGATAGAGTAAGAACAATGTTAAAGTTATTCCCATAATTATGCAAAGAATAATTATGAATACGAACATTGTCTCCTTGTAGAATAAGTACTATATAAAATAAATAAAATATTTACATTCTTCTGTTAATGTTTTTTGATAATTTACTTTTAATATGATTGACCAGTTAGCATCAATTACTTCATTTGATCCTGGGATTCTAAATTTTGCATAGAGTAAGTTAGAGTCCAAAACTATTCCATATAAGCATAGGATACCTATAATACCACCATACAAAGTCAAGAGAGCATGAGATCCTATAAACAATAAGAAATATTTATAGTTTTTTTCTCCAACACATTATCTAATCCTATAAAATAAATAAATAAATAATTTATTTTTTACAAATTTTATTTATGGTTTTATTACCAAATGCAATGATGATCAAATCTAGCTACACACATATTGCAAGTCTTGCAATGTTTAGATCTAGCAGGTCTATTTTTATAATAATTTTAAAAAGAATTCATCAAAAATCTTTTTAAATTCTTATTTTGATAAATGCTTTTAATCTATATTTTGATAGAATAAGTCGAAGGAAGCACACATAAAAAACTTGAAATCTAAAAAAGAATGATTTAAATTGTTTTACTTTACTATGTTGCAAGTTGAGCAGTTGTTACCCTTTTCAAATAAAACATCATCGTAATACTTTTCATAGGTTTTTGTATATTGCTTCACATTTTCTTTGCTTATTTTTCCTGGACTGACTTTACAAGCTAGGTAATAACTGTAAAAACAGAAGAAGGCAAAAAGAGAGCCAATGTAAATGTGGATACTTGAGACTTACTAATTAGGAAAGTGTTTAAATAGACCAAAATTGCAATAAACGACAAATCCACCTCCTGCAACTATGACATAAAATATTTAGACTAATGGGTGATTTGTATAACAAAGATAGTTAATTATTTTATCAGCAACTCTAAAGAAAATGTTAGGCTATTTGTTAGAATCTTTTGATGAACTTTTTATTTATAAAATTTAATCTAAATATCATTTTTAAAGTCCATATTTTGATTTTTTAGCAAGTCATTTTTACTTATTTATTCAGCAATAAAATACAATTTTCTAATAAATCAATTCTCATTTAAAATAAATAAATAAATAAATAAATGGAAAACAATCAAAATCTCATCTTGAGAAATCAATTTATGCTAAAAATTTATCTAATTTGAATGCTTTGAGATGTCTTAGCTTGTATTTCGCTGTAATGTTTTAATTATGTGCATTTGAGAGGCTTATAACATTTAAGACTTGTTTTTCTATCTCATAAAATAAACATGATTAAAATGGATATGTTACCTATAAAGGGAAGGAATGAGTTTATAAACAAATCTATGAGCTTTGCCTAAAATGCCCTAAGAATTAGGATCCGCACACATGATCAAATACAAGCATGCTCCTACAAATAAAAATTGCAGAAAAAATATTACAAAAGTTGTTAGCTCAAACATTTAAAACGATATTTTTATTAATCAATTAATCAACCTATTTATCTATCTATCTACCTTTTAATTACTACTAAACTCAACTAATATATTAATTTATATTTTAAATGAAATGTATAAATAAATCTGAAAATCTTTTTTTTTTATCCGAAATTGATATTGACAAAGATTTTTTACTAAATTTCCTATATACCTATATACATAAATACCTACCTACCTACATACCTAACTACTTGGAATCACAAAATAGAAAGATTTAAATAGATGTATGTGCAATATCTAAATTTAATATTAAAGATTCATGTATTCAAATTATGATTGTTTGTTTTGTAATTTTTCATTATAAATACATGATAAAATAGGTCTATTTTATTTAAAAATTTTAAATGGCTCCAAAATAAATGTGTTGGTTGATCTGATCGTATTCAGAAACAAGATATAATAAACAGTTTTTAGTAACTCTAAATTTTTGAATAAATAGTATTTAAGCCAAAGCCCTTTATTTATTAATATGTAAATAATCTAACAATAAAAAATTATTTTTGAATGAAAATAAAAACATACAAAAAAAATTTGTATAAATTTAAAAGAAATAAATATGAGTTAATAATAAAAAAATATTTAAAATTTGAATTACTAAATAATCATAAAAAAATTTATTCATATTTTTACCAATTATAATGAGTGGATTTAATTTAAAAAGATGATTTAATTAGTTAATTATAATTAGTTTTTAATATTATGTTTTTTTATATTACATTATATATTTTAAGTTAGTTAGTTAATTATAATTATTTTTTAAAATGATATTGAAATTAATTTTAATTCAATTTTTGATCAAGCTATTTGATAAAATTAACAACTAAATACATAATGAAAGGAATGAATGAATGAAGTCTTGCTTAGTATTTATTTATCATGATTTTGCATATAGTTAGTTAGTTAGTTAGTTAGTTAGTTAGTTAGTTAGTTAGTTAGTTAGTTAGTTAGTTAGTTAGTTAGTTAGTTAGTTAGTTAGTTAGTTAGTTAGTTAGTTAGTTAGTTAGTTAGTTAGTTAGTTAGTTAGTTAGTTAGTTAGTTAGTTAGTTAGTTAGTTAGTTAGTTAGTTAGTAAGTTAGTTAGTTAGTTAGTTAGTTAGTTAGTTAGTTAGTTAGTTAGTTAGTTAGTTAGTTAGTTAGTTAGTTAGTTAGTTAGTTAGTTAGTTAGTTAGTTAGTTAGTTAGTTAGTTAGTTAGTTAGTTAGTTAGTTAGTTAGTTAGTTAGTTAGTTAGTTAGTTAGTTAGTTAGTTAGTTAGTTAGTTAGTAAGTTAGCTATTTAAAAAAATATAATAAATATTTTATAACAAAAAATATTTTAAGTAATAAGCATAAATCAAATAGATTTAAAAGATTTATAATTTTGATAAACTATCTATATTAATAAATATTAAATTAATAGAAATTTAAACAAATGTTTAAAATGTTTAGCTTAAAAAAAAGATTAAATTTTGAAAATCTGATATAATAATTATCTGAAATTAAATTTTGTAAATTTTTTTATTTATTTATTTATTTATTTATTAATTATTTCTTAGTAGGAGAATCTCATAAAAGATTTAAGTCAGATTCTTCAACTCCACTTTATTTGTCTAAATTATCTTCAAATTCTTAGATATTACTTAATTTATTATTAATATATTTGTTATACTTTTGATTTCCATAAAGTCTGTATTGTTTTTATTTGAGATTTCTAATATTATTTTATTTATTAATTGAAGAAATAATTTTTATTTTAAATAGTTTTTTCTATTTGATACTATTTAAAATAAATTATAAAATTATTAGCTAAAAGAATAAATCATAAGAATTCAAAGTAATAAGCAAGTTTCTTAAATCAAAAAGATTAGTTGTCTTTAAATAATATTTCTTTTGATAAACACTGGCGAATAAAAGATGAATAAATATTAAATGCTTGAATTATATAATATATTTTATTATATAATATTTTGAAAAAGTTTTTTTAAACTAAAATATAAATAGATAGACATATAGATTTTATAATTGTTTTATATTATAAATATCATTCATATTTTTGTAAGTAAATAAATTATTTATAAAAAATAAAAAATTTAAAAATTAAATTTACTTAAATAAATTAATTCCTCTTAAGCAAACCCTCTGTTTTCTCCAAAAAAGATCAAATAATTTGAAAATTTTAATATTATATTATATCTTATCAAATTATATAAATGCCAAGCTTTTATATACCAGTTATATTTTAAAATATTTAAATCATAAAAAAAATAATAAATCTTTATATATTTTAGGTTACACAAAATATTATATTATAAAACACATTTTTCAATTATTCATCCTTTTTCACCACTAGTTTTTCACCATTAGAAATGTATTTCAAAGAAAACTAATCTTTTTGATTTAAGACACTTGCTTTTTACTTTCAATTCTTATGAACTATTGATTTAGTTTTCACTTTTATATTTTATTAAATTAAAAATAAAATACTATGTTGATTTAATTTTTTTCATTAAAAATAATATTGAAAATTAATAAATAAAAAAATATTAGCAGAATATAAAAGTAAAAGAAAAATAAATTAGATAAAAAGCTAATAAATAAATTAAAAGAATTTTATTGTTTTAAATTCAAATTAAAAATTAAAAATATCACAATTCAAATCAAATAAACTGTTTTTACCTAAGATTAAGTGTCAAATTTGTGAGTTTAGTGCAATTTGCTAAACTAGAACCTAAGCCTAATGCACCTATTGCATCAATTTAATTGTACCTATTTAAATATTGAAAAAATATGAAATAATAAGAAATTAATTAATAAATAACAAAAGCAAATATTGAAAATCAAAAAATTGAGCTAAATTAAGAAAGATAAAAGAAGAAAAAACAAGATAAGTACAATAAAAAAACTAAAAGAAAAATAAATTTATTTTTAGCTGTAAAAATTAATTTAAAACAATATAACTCTTTTTTTTGTTTATTAGCTTTTATTTAATAAAATATCACAATCCAAAATTAATAAACTGCTTTTACCTAAGATAAAGTTCCAAATTTTAAAGATTAGTGCAATTTGCTAAAGCAGGACCTAAGCCTGATACACCTTATTAACCAATTTCATTTTCCCTTTTTAAATATAGAAGACAAAATATATCATTAAATAGTTAATTATAAGGAAAAAATATGAAATAATATGAAATTAATTAATAAATAAATAATAAAAGGAAATGTTGAAAATAAAAATATGAGTTAAATAAAGAAAGATATAATAAAAATAAAACAAAAGTATAATAAAGAAAAGAAAAATAAATTAAATAAAAAGCAAATAAACAAATTTAAGAATTATAATGTTTTTAAATTCATTTTTATAACTAAAAATATCACAATCCAAAACAAATAAACTGTTTATACCCAAGAAGAAGTGTCAAATTTGAGATACTAGAGCAACTTGCTAAAGCAGAACCTAAGCCTGATACACCTAAATCACCAATTTAATTTCTCCTTTTTAAATGTTAAAGAAAAAAAAATTAATTAGTCATTAGAAGAAGGAAAAAATTATGAAAAAATATGAAATAATAAGAAATGAATTAATTAATAAATAATAAAAGCAAATGTTGAAAACCAAAAAATGAGCTAAATTAAGAAAGATAAAAGAAGAAAAAACACTAGCACAATAATAAGCTAAAAGAAAAATAAATTAAATAAAAAGCTAATAAACAAATTAAAAGAGTTTTTTTGTTTTAAATTCATTTTTATAACTAAAAATATCACAATTCAAAACAAATAAATTGTTTTTACCAAAGTTCAAGTGTTAAATTTGAGAGATTAGTGCAATTTGATAAAGCAGTCCCTAAGCCTGAGGCACCTTTTGCACCAATTTAATTTTATCTTGTTAAATATTGAAGACAAAAAATAAAATTAATTTTTTTTTTTAGAAAAAAATTTAGAAAAAATATGAAATAATAAGTAATAAATTAAAAAATAATAAATAATAAAAGTAAATGTTGAAATTAAAAAAATGAGGTAAATGAAGAAAGATAGAAGAAGAAAAAACACAAGTACAACAAAAAACTAAAAGAAAAATAAATTAAATAAAAAGCTATAAAAAAATTAAAAGATTTTTATTGTTTTAAATTCATATTTATAACTAAAAATATCACAATCCAAAACAAATAAACTGTTTTTACCCAAGATAAAGTATCAACTTTTAGAGATTAGTGCAATTTGATAAAGCAAAACCTAAGCCTGATGTGCCTTATTCACCAATTTAATTATCCCTTTTTATATATTGAAGACAAAATTAGTTGTTTAAAAGGAAAAAATGAATAAAAAAATATGAAATAATAAGAAATGAATTAATAAATAATAAAAGTAAATGCTGAAATTAAAAAATGAGTTGAATTAAGAAAGATATAAGAAAAAAAAACACAACTATAATTCAATAAATAATAAATAAATAAATTAAATAAAAAGTTAATAAACAAATTAAAGTGCTAAATTGTTTTAAATTTATTAAAATAACAAAAAATATCACAATCAAAAACAAATAAACAGTTTTTACCTAAGATAAAGAGTCAAATTTAAAAGAGTAGTGCAATTTTTGAAAGCAGAAATTAAGCCTGATGCACCTTATTTACCAATTTAATTTTTGCTTTTTAAATATTGATGACAAAATATATAATTAATTAGTTATTTAGAAGGAAAAAATGATCAAATAATAAGAAATAAATTAATAAATAATAAAAGTAAATGTTGAAAATAAAAAAAATAAATGAGTTAAATTAAAAAATATTTCAGAAAAAATAATCAATAAAAAGCTAAAAAACAAATTAAAGGAGTAATATTATTTTAAATTCATTTTTATAACTAAAAATATCGCAATCCAAGCAATCAAACAGTTTTTACTCAAGATAAAGTGTCAAATTTGAGAGGTTAGTGCAATTTACTAAAGCAGAACCTAAGCATGATGCACCTTACTCACCAATTTAATTGTACCTTTTTAATATTTAAAAAAAATTTATAACTAAAAATATCATAATCCAAAACAAATATTCTGTTTTACTCAAGATGAAGTGTCAAATTTGAGAGGTTAGTGCAATTTGCTAAAGCAGAACCTAACTCTTATGCATCTTACTCACCAATTTATTTATTACTTTTTAATATTGAAAAAAAATAGAATTAAATAGCTATTTAGTAGGAAAAATAATGTAAAAATATGAAATAATAATAAATAAATAAATAAATAAATAATAAAATAAAGGTTGAAAACGTAAATTTCTTTCTGAAGAAATAATGATCTGATAATAGCTAAAAAAGCAAATAAATAAATTAAAAGTGTTTTAAATTAATTTTTATAAATAAAAATATCATAATTCAAAATAAATAAACTGTTTTTATCAATTAAAAGTTTTAGAAGGAAATAATTAATAAAAATATTAAATAATAAAAAAATGGATAATGAATTAAAAAATTTAAAGTGAAAATTTAGTTAAAATAAACTAAAAAAACATTTTTAATAATAAAATGAATGAATTAAATGACAATTTTTATTTGTAAAATAGTTTTTTAAATAAACTGAAAGTTAAATATAAAGAAAATATTTATTAATAATAAGAATAATAATATTTATAATTAAATATACCTCAGATCAATATAGAGATTTTAGTGAGATTAAAGTGTAGAATTTAAAAACTTTTAATAATAGTAAATATAAATTTAAAGTATATTGATAAAAGAATAAATAATTACTTCTTCTAATCTGCAGTAATATTTAACCTATTATATCATTCTTTTTTTGTGGATAAAAAAGAATAAATAAATTATATGAATTAATTAATATGCTTTTCTTAATAAAAATCACAAAAAAGTTAGGATAACATTCATTATTAAATCTTAATATTTCTATTTAAAATGTGTACTTAAATATATAGTTCGAACCAGAGATTGTATATAAAGGAAAATTATAATGCGAACCTACTAGAATATAATCAATTTTTAACACATTTACATATATTTTTGTAATTAGTTTTATTTTCATATTTTTTAAAGTCGGACTTTCTTGATAGGCAAAATTTAAAAAATGACTACTATTACAAAAATGTAAAAATAAATTAAAAAAAATATGAAAATATACTTATTTAATTACAAAAAAAACATGAAAATACATCAATAAAATGTATTTATTCTAATAAGTTCGTATTACCTCTGAATATCCCTTATATCTTATCTAAATCATCCTTTTTTATACATAATACCTCATATTTATATTTTTATTTATAATATATTATCTTGTTAAGCTGTAACATTTTCTAAATCACAATCTTTGATTTACTCTTCGAAAAAAATTAGAATTATTTTTCAAATGCAATTAACATTTTTTATTTACAAGAATATAGTATCCTCTTTAACTTTAACAGAAGCTGGAGATTTGCTTTTTATGTATAATTAATTGAATAATTAAAATATTTTCGAATTTTTAAATGTGTCTATAAAAAAATCGTTCTCTTTTTTTTAATAATTATAAATAAAAAATATGAAAAATTTATTCAGTTAAAATTTATTTTTTTAAAGATGATTTTTAATCAAAGAAAAATATTTTTTCAATAATAATAGGTATATTCATTATAAATGAATATAAATAATTAAAATAATCTAACAAAATAATTTTGAAGAATAAATAATAAGAGATAAAGAATATATTTTATAGCAAAATGCCATTCAAAAATCTAACGATTAGATAAGTGAATGGCATTTAATTAAATATATTTGTTTTTAATTAATTAATTGTTTAGCTTATCTAAGCTAAGTAGAAATAAGAAAGTTCAAACAAGTAATTTAATTTAATTGAATAAAAATATATACCGTAGTTTCTCATATATTAAGGGCATATTCAGATAAAAACTTTTGATCAAATTTAGTCCTTAATGGCTAAATTATTAATTTGAATTTCTAAAAAACCAAAAGAATACATACATACACACATATTTTATATATATATTTACCATTAATAATTAATTAATTAATTTATATTTAAAAATGGATAAATTTTATTGATGAAGATAATTATGTTAGTTAATTAATTAGGATTAGTTTATATTATATTGATATATTTTTAGTTAATTAATTAATTAAAAAATATTATCACATTTATTTATTTATTATTTATAGCAAAATGAAAAGTTTTTAAAACTGTTTTTTATAAAAGATTAACAAATTAGTTTAATTTTTGAGTTTTTTTTCACTATGCAAATATTTTTGCCAAGTATATAAGATCTTCTTCATTCAAAGCTATACACTCAATTTTACCCATTTTTTCAACTTCTATTGAGAAAGGTAAATTGGAACAGTTAACAAATTTAGATATAAGTTCATCTTCTGGCTCTTTAAATCTATATTCATTCTTATATTCTAAAATTGAAGAAGTTATAGCAGGGATGTTAATTTTTTTAATTAGTAGCTTGCTATAAGCTTATTCAATAGTTTTTCTTGATTGCTGGTTAATGATTTCTTCTTTTAGTATTTCAAGATTTTAATTTTTTTCATTAAATCTCAGAAAGCGTTTTGCATAACCAAAGGAAGTAGGTTTAGAATTATTATTAATTGGGTCATATACTTATTTTTTTACAAAGTTTTCTTTACTCACACCATACATTTTGTAAATTTCAATATATCTTGAATTGCTTTAAGAGTTAATAGAAGATATAGATTATTTAGAATTTAAATTATTACAATAAGCTTAATGAGTAGAATAGCTGTTTAATCTCCTGTTTTAACTGGTATTTAATGCTCTTTAATTATTGTTTTCAGTCATTATTACACTTTTATCATTATTAGTATTTAATGAAATGTTGTTATCATCGTATATGCTGTATTTATTTTCATTTAAAAAGTTAGAGTTTTTCGATTACACTCTAGAGTTATTGAAGTTATTTGAGCTATTACCATTGTTTATTAGTGTTTGTGTAAATACTCCACTTAAATCATTTCTATTTGTAGCGCTTATCATATTAATAGCACTTATGTCTAAGAATGCCGAAGCTTACTCTTAATTCTTAGTATTGTTATTGTTATTCATAGAAATGTTATGGAAAAGAGAGTTGTTATGGATTAGGTTATTGAAATTTGAATTATTGTTATTGTTGTTGTTATTATTATTGTGATTAAAGTTAGAATTTCCATTATGGACATGATTAATTGTTGATAAATTTAGTGTGATGTTTTATTCACTTCTATCCTAATCTTATTTTTAAAAGTTCTTATGTTGATTGTTATAAGCTGGTTAAAAATTATAATTTTAGAGCATACTTTTGTTATTTGGACTAAAATCTCTGAATGTATTGTTAAAATTATTGCAGGTTATATTACTTCCGCTGTTATTGTTCAAGTTAGTTCCACTAACATTATTTATATTGCTACAGTTCAAGTTACTTCTGCTGCTGCTTTAGTTTTTCCAAGCAGTGAAGTGTAAATTTGTATTTGAGTTTTTATTTGGTTGTTAATTAAAGTTGTTGCTGTTTGTAATTTTATGAATTTATTGTGCGATGTTACCACTTGAGTTATTGTTTAATTGCTGAGAAGAAGTATTGTTAAATGAATTTGCTCGTTTGAATAATGATTTATTTTTTTAAGCTGAAAGACTAGGAGGAGAGTTGAATGATGATAAATTTGTTAGATTGGATGAAGAAGTTATTTACTGTATTGATTTTTATGATTCTCCATTTCTTTATGGTTGCTAATATTATTATTGTTAGAAACCAGAAGACTAAAGTGTGTAGCTTTAAATGCTATTAGTAGAGGTGAGTTCATTATATAGAGGATCTAAAAGAATTGAACTAGGAATTCTGCCAGAAGTGAGAGTAACATTTCCTATACTATTTTATCTTTTATTTTAGAAGGTTTAGGATTAAGTCCTACCTGAATTATTAAGACGATTATTTGATTTAGAATTGTTAGAATTAAAGAATGCTTCACTATAATTACTGCTCATCATATCATCTTTTTGAGATTGATTTAATTTTTAATTAGGAAGTAAAGGACTAGTTCCTCTAATACTTGAATTCATAGGTTGCAAATTCTCTTTATTTTGGTTGAATGAGCTGTTAGAGTTCATAATAGAAGTTTAAAGTTGCTGAGTATTAACTGTTTTTACATCAGGCATTGAAGCCAAAAAGTTCATATCGATTGTGATCTTTCCATATTTAGGTTATACTTAAGAATTTGTCATATTGTTTCTACTTTGCTATATTAGTGATTAGTTATGATTGCTTTATTACTTAGAACTACTTTTGGATATATCGATGTACATACTTTTGGAACATCTAGACCTTTTTACTTGATCAGTGTTATTACTTTTTGATTCGAATTTGCCATTATTTGCAAGATCTTAAATTGCTTTCATCCTATCTTAATTTTTGTTTATAAGATCTTTTACATTTAAAACCTGAGCTGAAAAGTTCAAGTTAAAAGTGTTAAAAATAGTATCAGAATCTAAATTCATTTTAGAAAGTTAATCTTTTAAAACTGAATGAATTTATTCAATTTTAGAGTGATAATCTTTCATGATAGATTCTGATTTAGTTAATTAAGCTTCAATTTAAGCTATGTTTCCAACATCTGCTCTTGTCATGTTTACTAATTCTTCTTGCAAGATACTCATCTTTTCTTTAAGCAGTTATAAATGATTATAAGTGCTAATTTCTTTTTCGTCTTACTTTAAAGTATTTTAGTTCAGAACAAGCTAAACAATTTAATTATAATTAAATTATGCCTCCTCTTCAGATGCTTGCATCAATTCCTAAAGGTTGCACAAAGCACTGCCTTTATTAAATTTTTTATTCCTTAAGTCAAACTGATCACTTAAAATACAATTGAGTTATTAGATGTAAACTCTTTCTTTATTTATGATATCTGCTAGCTCATCGTTTAAAGATATTTGTTTAGACTCAGATTATTTTAACTTCATTTAATACTCTTCATATTATGGTTTAATTTCCTCTTGCAATATCATGAAATTTTTTGTTCTTTTATCTGTAATTGTTTGCATATTTTGATTCAAAGTTGTTAATTATTCCTTAATTCTATCTATATTCATTTTATTAGCCTTATCAAATTCTTCCTTAATATCTTACTCCAACTTTTCAACATAAGCCTTTCCATAAGCGAACCTAATTAAAATTTTATGAATTAATTTTTTAAATAAAACATTTTAAATAATTTTACATAATATCCTTTAATTGGATGTTCTTTTCTTTTAAATATTGTTCATAATATGAGGAACATTCTTTAGCATAGTGGATTTTGAAAGTGTTTTCATTATTATCTAAATTTTAATTAATTTACTGCAACTAGCTTTTCAATATATTAATTTCTCTCAATTATTCACTTATTTGCTATTGTAATTATTTCTTTTCACCTTCTAAATTTAATAAATCCTTATTAGCTCTCATATAATCATCAGTTATGCTTATAATATCATTTTAAGCTTAAAATTTAAAGCTAAATTGAGTCTTTTTACTCATAAGATACTAATAAAAAGTTTGCATAATAATGTCTTTCCTCTTCATATTCCTAACGCACATGCTAACATTTAGTAACAATTAGTCATAACTCAATATGGATAAAATAATCTCCCTAAGCATTTCCACTTAGTTCAGATCAACCATTAATTCTCTCTTCTGTTCCTAAATCCTCCTCAAATCTTCACAGCTTAAATTAAATAATTTTAAAAATAAATAAAATATTATTAAAAATAAATAAAATAATATTTAAAATGAATAAAAAAATATTAAAAATGAATAAAATAATATCAAAAATGAAAAATAATATAAAAAATAATCAAATAATAATATGAAAATGAATAAAATAAAAAATAAAATGAATAAAATAATATATAAAATCAATAAAAAATAAAGAAATAAGTATAAAAAATAATATAAAATAATATAAAAAATAATCAAAATAATATAAAAAAATAATTAAATTAAATTAAAGAAATAAATAAACTTACTTGAGGTTTAGTTAATTAGAAAGGATAATATGAGTTTCTTGGAGAAGCAATGATTGAAAGGAAATAATTTTTGTTAAAAGAATATTTGAGTTTGCTTTACAGTGGGAGACAGCTTTTTAAAGAAATTCAGCATCGAAAATCTTAATGAAATCTTTGTAAAATTGGCTTGCGTTTTCATCAAAGCTATCAATTAAAAATAGCTAAAATTGATTTTCGTAGGTTTGATAATCAGGACCAGATGATTTATTTCTTCTAGCTTGTTCTAGCCTTTGTTGCAGGATAGAGGAGTTTTCATTAAACTTAGAAATCATTTGCTCCTTGAAATGTATTTCTTTTTGTGTGTTTTCATGGTCTTACTTAACTTGCTAAAGCTTTGTCAATATTAATTACTTCTGATTTTAATATTCTAAATTTTATGTTATGTATGTTGACTCAGCAGGATATTGAGCCTTTAATGAATCCAAAACTTCATTGTTTTCTTCATAAATTAAAGTATGCTCTGTATTTTTCATTATATAGGAATTAAAGTCTTCCCTTAAAGCACTAAGATACTCACTTATTCTCATTTGTTCATCTCTTTCTTATAGCAAGAGCATTATTATCTCTTTTTTATTTTCACTTAGTTGCTTTAAAACACTTTCCAAGGGCTGTGTGGAGGCTTAAAACTTCTCATGCATCTTAGGATCAGGAATTATTGATATGAGGTTTTTCATTTTTTAGAGCACTGTATCAAGCTAAGAATGACTATTGAAAGTGATTTCTATTTTTTGTTTTCTACTTTGGTCATCACTTAATATCATTGTTCTATGATATTTCTATTTATTTTCTACTTGATTGATTTAATCTTCTATTTCTTCAAGCTCTTTCTTTTTCTTTTTTTATTTGTTTTCACATTTCTCTTGCTTCTCTTTTAAGCTATTTAGTTGATCCAAATATTTTTCTATTTCCAAAGAATAATTATTCTACAACTACTGAGAAGAGTTAATCAAATGTTGCATTTGCTAGTATGAAACTCCCATATTTTTCTCTAAAGTCTTCATAATTGTAGTATTATTGCAGTTAGCTACAAAACTGATGTTATTGTTGCTATTACTAAAACTGCTGTTTCCATTAATCGTACTTTTATTGTTAGTATTTGAAATATTCTGCTGATGTAATTCACCTAAAAAACTCCTATTTGTGAGATCTATTCCAGTAAGATTCATTTTATTTTCTTCTAAGTTGCTTTTGTTTAGCTAATTATTTAAAATAGCACTATTATTCTTTTATGAGTTGACACTCAAAATACCGTTAGTATTATTTGAATTGTTAATATTTTGATAATTGCTGTTTATTATTTAAAAATTATTATTTGCAAGAACTGAACTACTATTTGTGTTATTCACAAAATTTAAATCAAAAGTATTACTACTATTACTATTATTATTTAATAGATTTTTTACATTTAAGTTTACTTAGCTATTATTGTTCATTCCAGTAGAATTGCTTCTGTAGCTTGATTTCGCATTTGTATTGCACAACACACTTGAATTATTTTAACTTATTGACTGCTCTTAACTAAACATTTGGTTTATTGGAATGTAAAGAGATGATTTATTTTCTTGCTGCTATTAACTAATTGGGTTGATAATTATTGAGGGCACCTTTTAGTGATTCTTCAAAGGAGTAGGTGGAGCAGGAGAACTTAAATTAATATTTTAGTTCCCACTTTTGCTATTTATACTATCTTAAATAGTTTGCTTTTAACCAGAAAGCTCATCGAAATTAGATTTATTTGGACTTTTGATAAAATCATCCTTTCCAAATTTAGGCTAAGGTGGTAGTTGACTAATTGATTATTCTGTGTTGTAATGATATAAGTTCTGTTGAAGATTTAAGTTAGGAATATTTATGTTATTCTTCAATTAGATCATTTAATTATTAGGATTTTGAGCCCTTTAAGAAAGCTAAGAAAAAGATGAACAAGAAGAGCCAGTAACAGCTTGCTTTTGATCACTATTAATATTCTAAAGTAGTACTGGATTAGATAAGCTTTCTTGAGCAAAGGAATGAATAATATCAAATACTAACTAATTAGGTTGTTGCTATTCCTTTTGTTTGATCTCACCACTCTACTGCTAATAATCATAGTTTTCTTTATTGTTTTTATAATTAAATAAATTGTTCTCTCCTTCTTATTTAGCATTATCTTATTCTTGTGTTTTAAAATGATTTGTAAAAGACATGACTGAATTGCTTATTCCCAACTGCATATTGAGATTCAATGCACTCTCTTAATCTCTATATTGTATCATGTAATTTTTCCTTAATATATTTTAACCTATTATAATTATTTGCTTTAATGTTCAGTTGATAGTATATCCTATTATTTATTTGTATTCTGTGTCTTTTCTTTCTACTTTATTCCTCTTTTTCGTTAAAAAGTGAATATTAGTTTTTGTAAATCAATGTTATACAAACAAACTTTAAAATTTTTTCATTAAAACTTTGAATACACATTGTTTAAATATTAATAAAGCAAAAATTCATTAAATTAATCTTATCACTTTTCAAAAATATTCAAAAATCAAGTAGTGTTTTACTTTTGTCATTCATTGATTCATAATAATAATTAAATAATCTCTTTCGTTTATTTTGAATTTCGTTTAATTTATTAGCAATATCAATCAAACCCTTTTTTTCTCTATAACCTTTTCATTTTTAAAATTCAAGATTTAATAACTATTCGTTCATTTTAATTTACTTTTATTTTAAATTCAAATCTTTTCAGCTTGCTTAATCAATATATCAGACTAACAAATTTATCAAATATTTCACTGCAATTTAAATTGAATCTAAAATAAATCTCCTTAAATCTTGAAAATTAATCAATAAAACTTTCAATCAATCAAAAATATTTTTAAAATATTCTCAAATTTTATGAAAAAATCTTTTTATTAAATAATAAAAATGCAAATAATTAAAATAAATCTTAAGTGTAAATTATTATTTAAATAACTATTTTTAATGAAAACTTATTTAAATGAGCAATAAAAATTATTTGATTTAACAAATTATCCTACAACATTTTATATTTATTTATAATTTATTGAAAAAAAATATATAATTATGATATTTATTTTATTTTAAAAAATATTTAAAATTATTTAAAAATTAATTTACTTTTAAAAAATATATTTAGTGAAATAAATAAAACTAACTAAATTGATTATAATATAGCCAAATAAAAAAAATATACTGTACTTTCTATTTTGAACCTCTTTTTGTAGATTTAAAAATATAAAAATCAATTCATTTTATCAAAAAATTTAAATAATTTAAAATATTTTCTAGTTTTGCCAATAAATTATGATTTGCAATATATTTATTTAAAAATTAAATCATTTTTTCATATTTTTTTTAAATTAATTATGAAGAGAGAAATTGAAAGATACAAGTTTAGATCCCAACATAATTATTTGTGAGAGCTTTGAACAATGAAATAATTGCATATAAAAATAAAGTTGATAAATTTTGTATTTTTTAAATAAATATAATTAATATTGGAATGTTTGAACAATTAGACTATGGTTCCTTTATTTGTTAACCAATAAGAGAATGAATAAATGTAAACACACCAGCAGTTTTAGGAGATGGTAAAATGATATAATTGCTCTTCAAAGCTTGAATGTTTTAACAAAGTCTTATCCTGTTTCGGGGCAGATTGTTAATGATTTACTGACACAACTTTGATGGGCAACTACACCGTTTGGATATACAACAAAGATAGTGGACTCTGTTATGGTTTTATTGCATGCTGCGCATTTTCTATCATTATACCATGTTATATAGGCTTTTTTACAATTAATTAATTTAATTTTATTTTCTAGCAACAAAGATTCTGAGGCATGTTTAGTACAACTTACTTACCTTTAAGCATAAAGTGTCTCAGAGAGGGCTTAGGTAAGGAATTCGTACAGGGCAGTATTTTCTTCGTTTGTATTATCGCTATTCATAAAATTATTGTTTTACCTATTTCTAATTTAATTTTAATCAGCATATTCAGTTACAGTCTTAATTTATGAAGAAGAGCCTATCACCCAGTCATCTGGAATTAAATTTAGTATATCTATAGGATTTAAATCTTGGTAATAGCTGTATTTGTATAAAATATCATCTAAATAATTTTTATACAACATTTGCTCATTTTTTGATTCTTTGCTTTGTTGAGTGTTTTTGCTTTTTGTAACTTCTACTTAAGAAAGTCTAGAAGATGTACTTATAAAGCTATTGTTTGAAATATCTTACTCAATTGTTTCATTATATTTTTCTAAATATATTTTAAATAATATTGGCACTAATTTGCCTTGTTTTTGGTTGCACAGTGCTTAAGCTGTGTCATGATCCTTTTGATCAATCAAAATTCTCAAAGCTTTTTCCTGTTAATCAAGCTTACATAGAAGGAAAATGATCTATTATTGGAGATAGGAGTTGTTTATGAATTTTAAAATGAATTCAGGATCGTAAAGCATTTCTGTGTTTCTCAAAAATTTATCAAAACTTTTATACTTTTCAACAAACTCTTAATCTATCAAAGATCCTTTTTGTTATACTTGTTCCATGTCTTTCTTGAATTCCTGATAAGTTTTTTCTTTAGGATACTTAGAAAATAAGAACCTAACATAATAGTCTGCTAGAGAATTATGGACATTAGTATCAACATAATTGAATTTCATACAGAGAACTTCAAAGTAAATTCCTGTAAGTTAGTTTCGAACTTCTAAAGATATGTTAGGAGTTTAAATGATAAGTTATTTGATTTAACTTGGTGGATATTTATTTGGATCTAAAACTGCGAATACTTCAATTGCTTTTTCTGGTTTATGTTCCATAACATATGGGAAAAAGTCGCTTATTAGTTTTTCTTTGGGAAATATTTTTAGAATTCTTGCTATATTTTCACAAGCTTCTTACAAATCTTTTTTATTTTCAATGCATTCTTGCCAAAGAAGCAAAGCTTCTGTATAATTCTAAAAGTATTCATAAAACCTTGATAAGACTTCATTATGCTTAGGACCTACAAACATAAGTGATTGAAGTGTAAGCAGTAGCTCTTCATACTTATCTTAGCAGTTATTGGAGTTTTTACTTAAAACACTAATAAGCTCTTATTCATTATTTTGCATAATCAAATATGTTATCAGATAGAAATCAATTTATTGAAGCATTTATTTTGCAGTAATATTTTAATCAAATTCTTCTTCAACATCCTATGGAACAATTATAGAATTATTATCTTATTCTATTGTGCTTTTTATTAAGCTATTATTCATTTCAGAGTTCTTCTGCTACTCAATATAAGATTAAAGACTAGCAACATTTTAAGAATAAGAATATTTATGTCTGTCTCTTGAAATAGTATAAAATTTAGCAGAATGATTAGATAAATAAAAATCGAATGTGATATCTTTATTATTTAAAAATTTTAAATAATGTTCTCTGTTTTTAGTGCATAATTTAATTAAAAATTTTAGAATTTCTTCTCTAAATTCTTTATCTGTATTTTTTAAAGTAGCACTTGTAGTGCTCTTTCCACTATTAACTATGGCAGTTAATCTATTTTTTTTAATTTTGGCAATCACAATGTTAATATCGTCATCATTAGTAAAGCTATCAATAAATTATCTGATATCATATTTGTAATTATCTTCAATAATTTTATATGCATCATTAAATTTACCGTGCATAAGCAGAGACCAACAAGCATCTATGTTGAATTCCTCAAGACGTTGCTATCTCATTGAGTTTGATTTCGAATAATGCTGATTAAATATCTGCATAGCTTATTCAATATTGCACTCTTGCAAAAGTTTGCTTATCTGATCTTCAAAAGAAACAAGGTACAAATTCCTAATTTCTGTTTGAGATCCAAAATAAACAACTTAATTATTCTAGTAGTTTGTAACAAATTTAACAATCCCCTCATTTAAACGATTAGCAATATCCATTTACTATATTAATACGCAATCATCAATATTAAATATCTGAATTAAGCTACCTTCGTAAAAAACTATTAAAAACTATTCCAACATGTGTATATTAAACACTATTTTTTGGGCATCTAGCTAAATTGTGCTCTTTTACTTTGGTTATCCTTCAAGCTTTTTATTAAAAAATAAGTAAAACTTTATTTCCACAAATAATTCTTTTGGATAAATCACAATACTAAAAACTACCAATAAACTTTTTTCATTTTAAAATATATTTTTAATCAGTCTTAATAAATAAATTTAATAAAAATTAAATAAATATTTATTAAATTAAGAAAATAATTTAAAATATAAAAATAAAAAAGGAATCATTAAAATTTCCATAAAAAACTAAATAAATCAATAAATATTTTAAGAAAAGATTAATTTATTTTATTTCTTAAAATTTAATAAAAATTAATGTTTTTTTAATAAAATTTAGATTTCACATTTGACAATTTAAAAGAAAAATATTTATTAAAAATAAATAAATGTCATTTTAGCTAATTTATTATGAAATTCTATAATAAAAATAGTTTAAAAATCTATTGCAAAAAAAATGAAATAGCTTTGATGATAAAGAAAATTGAGATTTGAAAGTGAAAATCTTTTATTTATTTTTATAAAATTAATAAAGTAGTAATTACAGTCAAAAAGATACCGGTGTTGTTTGATATAACAACAAACATCTCTTCTGGTGAAATTATTTTTATATAAGCCTATTGTTAATTCTTTGGAACATTTAGAGTTTTAGGTTCTAAGTTAGTATTTATATCTAAGTAGCAATAATCTTTACGATAAGTTGTGTAAAAGATCATTTCATTAAAAAAGATCAATTATTGAGGAATTTCACTCAAATATATTTTTTTATCTAATTATCTAAATCTAAAAGGAGCTTCATCTAAATCAAATATAAGAACTTCTTTCTTTTTTGTTAATACTAAGATTCTGTCTTGCTACACTTCGTTAACTACAACCATAACACAATTTTTATCGACTATAGTTCCCAAACTTTCTAAACTATCTCCATCTGCACAAAGGACAGATCCTTCGCTTAAAATAAGTAAATAATTGTTAAATTCTCTCAAACTATCAATGCTATTTTTAAATGAGAAGAATCTCTTATTTTTTGTCTACTGTTGTGATTTTAAATAATCTAATTTTAAGCCATTTCTATTGATTTGATATATATTTATAGTGCCACTTTAATAACCAATATATACATTTCTGCTATTTTAATCAATTGAAGTAATTTTTTAACCAGCCTCTACTTTCAGTGACCAACTAGATTCAAAAAGTCCTCCTAATTACTCTATGTTATTTTAAACGTTTACCTATGCTTTTTACAAGAAATTCATCTAACTATTTTCTACTAAAATTTATCTATCTAAGTAACTTAAAAGTGTTGTAAGATTTTTTCTACTTAAATTTTAAATTAAAAAAAGTGTAAGAAGATAGAATCTTAATTAATTTTTTATTTATATTCCTCATTCAATTGTTTTTGATATCTTTTGTTTCTGCTGATCAAATCATCCTTTATTATTTAAGATTTCAATAATTGCCTAATCAAACAATCACAGAAAACAAAACAGGCAGGTAGTATTCCTTATCAAAAAATCTTTGAATTAATAGGTTTTTTTATTAGATAAATTTATAAATGATTTGATCTAAAAAAATTAGAAAAATAATGTTTTCATGGAAATAATATTAAATATAAACTAATTTCAAAACAATTTAAATCTATTTTATTTTCAAAATATTTAAAATTTTTTAAAAATTAAACAATAAAAATAATATTTAAATTAATTTCAAGCAATTTAAATTTATTTTATTTTCAAAGTATTTAATATTTATAAAAAATTAAAGAAGAGAAATTAAAAATAGAAATTCAAAGTTTAAAAATTGTAATTAAATATTATTTCATAAGAAATGAAATTTATTTATTTTAAATTTATAAAAATTAATAAATGTCTTTAAATATTTAAATTAAAATATTTAGAGCAAAAGCTATTTTTGAAATATAAAATTTAATAAAATAAGTATTAAATTATCAATTATAATACATAATCCTATCAAAATTTATAAACATTTTCATTAAATTTAATAAAAATAAGTTATTTTTAATAATGAAAGAACTACAAATATACAATAATTAGAAAAAATAATATTTTGGGAAGTTAAAATAAATAAATAAAATGAAATTAAAACCATTTAAATCTATGTTTTTTTCAAGCATTTTTTAAAAATTAAGCATTTAAAAAAATATTTAAATTATTAGCTTTTTTAAATAATGAATGAATTAATAATTTAGGTTAATAAAGAAAACAAATAATTTTAGGGAAATAAAATAAATCTATTTAATTTATGTTGGATTTAAATTCATAAAAAATAAAAAAAGAATAACTAAAAATAGAAATTCAGAGATAAACTAAAAAATTTTATTAAATATTTTTTCTTAAGAAACAAAGCCTGATTTTTTTTTTAATTTTTTAAAGTTTAAAATATTATTTGATAAATTATTTAGATATTTAAGAAATAAAAAACGAAATTTTAAGCATAATTTATTATTACATAATAATTTACAAGAAATTAAAAATAAGTATAAGATCATCAATTATAATTTATGAAGGAAAATTTAACGTTTCTAATTTTGTATGTATTTATTTGAATATTTATATCAAATATATTTGTTTGTTTGTTTGTAAATTAACAAATACCTTTAAGATGAATGTAAACTAAAAACTAGCTAATATGGTGAAATCCAATGATTATCTATATATATATTAAATTAATTTAATAAAATAGAAGAATTTAATTTTAAAAATTAAAAGGATTGATTGAGAATAAATAGCCATAATAATTGAGTTAAGATAAATTAGAATTATGGAAAAAATTAGATATTAATAATTTGTTTGCTTTTTATATTTAATTTTTTAAGCAATGGATATATTTTTTATAAAAAACTTTTTTGAGATTATGACTAGCTTGAGATTAGATTAACATATTATATATTATTTAAAGCTGCTTCATATTTAAATAATTTATTAGAACTGAATAAAAAGAGGAGATATATATAATTATTTGAATGGCTTTATATTATAACTAATCACATTTTTTTTAAAGTATATTTAAAGTAATTAATAATTATAATAAAAATTACATAATAATAAGATTAGATTAGGAACGTAAAAAGTTTTTCTTTTAGCTTAGCAAAAATAATAAGTAAAATCATAAAAATGAATTAACCACAATAGCAAGGTGGCGCAGGAAACTGCATGGACGATTTGAAGAGATGGTGGACAACTGTTCCATTTGGTTCTAAGGTAATTTTTTTTTTTCAGTTTTGAATTTTATGTTATTAATTATAAATGATAATTTAAACTAATTTAAATAAATAATGACAAAACTCACAAAAGAAATGAAAGATTTATGTGAATTAGTTTTGTTTTTAAATAATTTTACTTTAATAAATAGCTAATTTACTATGTTACTTTAGGATTATTCTTTTTGAACATGTTCACTGGTGTTTACAAATATTTATACAATTCTCCTGATTTTATTTTAAGATTTTAAGTGTGGAGAATGTTTACTACTTAGTTTGTTGATGAATTGATGGGAACTATTTTCGGACTCTTATCTCTTACATTCACTGCTATAGCACTTGAAAGATCTATTGGAACAGTCACATTTATTCTAGATTTCATGTTTAAAAACTTTTTGATTTAATTGCTTAATTTCATCATATTAATTATGTTGAACTTAGCTTTTAAAACTGGAACAAACATCCCATCATTTGGATTATTTAATATAGTTATACTCTACATGAGTTTAAGATGCTTCTCTGACCCAGAAACCTCATCCAATTTTATGTGCTTCCCGATTTAAATAAAAAATAAATTTTAGCCATTTGCTATCCTTCTCTTCTTTACTTTGCTTTCTGGATCTCTTAGATTCGATTTCGTAGCAGCTGTTATTTTAGGCTATGTTGAAGTAAAATTCTATGGAGGCATGATGCTTAGACTCTCAGAACAAAGAATAGCTTCATTAAAAAACAACTTTATTTTCAAGCCTATGACTAGTCGTTCTGATTTTGTAGAATAAGGTGGATCTTTCCTTGTTCAAACTAATGCTTAAAACTAAAACCAACAGCCTGCACCTTCAGCCTCTAATTTTTCTGGTAGAGGAGTCAGCATTGGAGGTGATCCATTATAGTAAGCTTCTTCTTCTTCATAATAGCCATAAAGTAGACCTAATTAACAGCAATATGTTATCAATCCTTCTCAGGACTAAAATTCATAGGCAGGTGGTTAATTCTAGCAATTTGCAGGAAAAGGTGTTTCTATTGGAGGTGGAGCTACTGCAGCAAACACATTATCTATCTAACAGTAAAGAGAATTGCAATTAAAAAGACTATAACAATAATAGGAATCAGAGTATGTTGAAAATAAATTAGAAATGGACACAAATGTAGACTCTTCTAATGATTCTAATAATAATAGCAATCAAGCTGCAGCAAATCGTAATGAATAAAAGAACCAAACTAAAAAAGATGGATATTCAGTTCTCAATGAAGATTTACTTTGATTTTTGCTTTATTTAAATTAATTAATCCTATTAATTTAAAATTTACTATAATACTTGCAAATATTCTCTATTTATTTTATCTTTAGCATAAAATAGTTTCTATGAATTCTTTACTAATTCAATTAAGAAATAATATTTTTCAATAAAGCATATCAAAATAATTCAAAAAAAAATATGTTTAATTAATTTATCAGATTTTCATTTTTATATAAGGCAAATAGTTTTTTATTATTGCTAAGTGTATAAACTTTTCATTTAAAAATTTATTATTTTTTAAAACCTAAAATTAGAAATCTCCTTAAGTAAATTCAACCATAAATTAAAAGTTTACTGTTATATAAAATTTAGTTATTCATTAGATACATTTTGGTATAAATTCAACTAAAATAATCTTTGAATATTATTTTTATTTTCAATTTATTGTTTTTATGTTTTTTTTTAGTTTTAAGTAAGATCAAAAATGTATTATTAATTTTACTACATCATATTTTTAAATTAGAATTTTATTTGTAATAACTCAAACTTCTGCTTATTTGTCTAAAGAATAAATAGATTATTAATTATTATTTTTTGAAGAAAAAATATTATATCTATAAATTGATCTGGCTTTTTAAAGCAGAAAAGAATAATATTGCATATAAATTTCTCCATCAATTGAATTAATAAATTTTGAAAAATGAATTATTTTATTTCAATTTAAAAATAATAAAAAAAATTTTATTGAGAAAACACTTCGCTATTTTAAACTTTTATAAGAAATGGCTATTTTTTTATCTTTTTATAACTTATTATATTGATATTAAACTTCATAACTGGCTATAACCAAATATTTTCAAACATACATTCGAAAGCTTTATCATTTCAGTATAAATTAAAAATTTATTTAATTTACTCACAATTAGAAAATAAATGAATACAAAGAATCTTAATGTATAGTTTTTAGATATTAATTATAATATTTTTATAATTTTGCATTGAAAAAATCTTTACAAATTAATTTTTGATTAGAAGATTCATGTATTTTATTTACTTAATTCAACTTAATTAATTAAAAATATCTTACTCACTTTAAATTACTTTTTCAGTAGTTATGTAAAACAAAACCATCAATAATCCAAGCGTTTCTAGCTTCTTAGCTGGCATGAGTTCTGACATCGAAGTCACCACCGTAGCTATTTGAACCATCGTTAGCAGCAAATAAGTAGTGTTAGGGTTTGACAAAAGATCTAATGAAGAAGCCTCCTTGATTATCACTTTCAATAATCCATTTGTTTCTTTCTTCTTGATAAGTATGAGTTCTGACGTCAAAATCGTGGGCATAAGCTCTAGTTCCATCATCAGAGGGGAAGAAAAAGTGATTAGGATTAGTAGCACTGGCAAGAGTATATACGTGATGACCGACATGATGGATTAAGATGAAATTTCTTTCTTCAGAGCTGGCATGAGTTCTAACATCAAAATCTTTATTTAATCCTCTAACACCATCGTTTGAGGCAAACATGAAGTGATTAGGATTAGCCTTAACTCTAAGAGTAGTTTTTTAAGTAGGAGGAGCATAGATAAGACCATCAATAAACCAAAGATTTCTTTCTTCCTTGTGGGGATGAGTTCTAACATCAAAATCAGCTCCTAAGCCATTAGAACCGTCGTTGGCAGGGAATAAGTAGTGAGTAGGATTGGTATAAACTCTAATATGGAATCCTTAGGCGTATTCTTCAATAATCCATTGATTTCTTTCTTCATCTGAAGCATGAGTTCTGACATCAAAATCTTTTCCATCAGATCTGTGACTATCATTAGAAGCAAACATGTAGTGAGTAGGATTAGTAGCAGATTTAATTGTGAAGACATTATCCTTGACACGAGTAAGGATTAATTGGTTTCTTTGCTCTTAACTAGCATGAGTTCTAACATCAAAGTCTTAGTTATAAGCCCTTGAACCATCATTTGCAGGGAATAAATAATGGGTAGGGTTATAAGCAGGTCTAATTGTAACTATAAGTTCTTATTTTTACATTTTTCTTTATTTACTTTTTTTGGAAATTAATATTTTTTTGTTGATGTTATTTTTTATTATTTTTTTATTTTTTTAGAGATTGTTTTTGAGCCAGATATTAAAGACGCATTTTTATAAATAAATAAATCAATCAATCAATCAATTAATTAATTGATCAATAAGCTAATCAAATAGATAATGAATGACTAAAAATAATTGAAAAAGATATTTTAATTAAAATTTACATTTATTTTATTCACTTCTTTGATTAAAAATATTCTTTATCAGGTAGGTTCAACTCTAATTTTTTTTTATTTCATCAGTCTCAATTTTGTTTTACTATAAGTTCAAAATATTTTATAATCTCACCATTATTTAGATCATAAATTAATTCATGAATATAACCATAATATTTGAAAGCTTATCAGTTTAAAAAAAGCATTTATCTCAAAATAAATAAAGTGCTTTTGAATTGAAAATAAATTGAGATTAACTCCTTAAAATTTATTTTACTGTAATATAAATTTATAAATTTTATTAATTTGAATTGTAAATTATTAGCCTGAATTGCATTTCTGAGGTTGTAAACCAATTTTTTTATGATTAAAATATTTAAAAAATATAAATTCTTATTTTATGTATTTTATTTATTTATTTAGTTAAAAGCCAAAGTTTAAAGAAAGCAAAAGAAAGAGAAAATATTAAATGAGAAAGGGAAAAAAATAAGGTGAAAAAATACCAATAAATAAATGTCATTACAAATTGAAAATGTTTTTTATAAAACTTTTTTAATATTCAGATATATTTTTATTTAATATTTTATTTGAAAGTGTTAACTAATTAATGTTTATTTGATTTTCGATCAGAAAATTATTAGATTTGCAATATCTTTTTGCTAAGAATATGACAATATCTTTTGTTCTATTTTTATTTATTTACAGTTTCTCAATAGCTATGTAATAGGAAACCATCAATAATCCAAGAATTTCTGGCTTCTTAATGGGGATGAGTTCTTACATCAAAATCATCACCGTAACCATTAGAGCCGTCATTAGCAGCAAATAAATAGTGTTGGGGATTTACGAAAGATCTAATGAGGAAACCACCTTGGTTATCGCTTTCGATAATCCATTTGTTTCTTTCTTCTTAGTGAGGATGAGTTCTGACATCGTAATCACCACCAAAAGCTCTAGTGCCATCGTCAGAGGGGAAGAAAAAGTGGTCAGGATTAGTGCTTGAGGCAAGAGTATAAACATGATAGCCAACACGAGTAACCAAAACATGGTTTCTCTCTTCTTAGCTAGCATGAGTTCTAACATCGAAATCTCCACCTAATCCTCTAACACCATCATTAGAAGCAAAGAAGTAGTGGTTAGGGTTTGCTTTGACTCTTAGAAAAACTTTTTAAGTAATAGGAGCATGAACGAAGCTATCAATAAACCAGAGATTTCTTTGTTCTTAATGTGGATGAGTTCTTACATCGAAATCACCATTAAAACCATTAGACCCATCATTGGCAGCAAATAAGAAATGGTTAGGATGAGTGTAAACTCTAATATGGAATCCTTAACCATGTCTTTCAATGATCCATTAGTTTCTTTCTTCATTTGAATCATGAGTTCTAACATCAAAGTCATCTCCGAATCCTCTAACGCCATCATTAGAAGCAAAAATGAAGTGAGTAGGATTAGTAGCAGATCTTATAGTGAAAACATTATCCTTGACATGGTTGAGGATCAATTCATTTCTTTATTCTTAATGAGGGTGAGTTCTGACATCGAAATCAGCACCGTATCCTCTAGCTCCATCATTAGAAGGGAATAAGTAGTGGTTAGGGTTGTGAACAGGTCTTATGGTAGCTAAAATGTCTTGGCTTTACATTTTTATCTTATACTTCTTTTTAATGTATGGATATTTTATATCTTTTAATAGGATTAATTCAGGACCTAATTACAAAAGAAAAAATCACGAAAAATATGTAAAATAAATTGTAAATATGCTACTTTTATTAATTTATTTCAATGTTTTTTTCAAAATTTTAATCAGAATTAGTAATACAATATAAAATAAAGTAAAAGCATGAATAATAACTTTTGTTTCATGCTTTTTTTATTTTTTTTAAAGAAAATATAAATATATATAAGAAGGATATTAAGCCTTTTATGCATGAAGGTTTGAAAAATACAAAGATTAATTTGTTCATTTTATTTTAAGTAAGGAATAAATTTTTCATTATTAAGAAATTGAGAATATATCGAATAAAAAGATTTTTGATTTTGATATTTCGTCATAGATATTTGTCAAAATAATTATTATTACAAAATTCTATATATTAAATCTAAATCAAAACATCAGATAAGTCAATCAATCAGCCACCGTTGAAAACATATTTAGTTATAAACAAGCAAATATATAAAAGAATTTATAAAAAAAACATGGAAGTAATCAGTATATTTACTAAATATTTAAAATAAGATAGATGCTTTGCTATATGTTAATTTTATTTTTGATATTTTTTTTGATCATGTGATAGAAAAATTTAATCAGCGCTTGTAATAGTTTGATCAGAAAAATTATTAATATAAGCTTTACTTTTTTTTTAATGATTACAATAAATTTATATTAAATAATAACTAAATGAAAAATATCACATCAGGTAGATATACAGATAGACATTCATTATATAAAATGGCATTACATGAAAAGAAAAATAAGTATGTGATAGTTAATGATTAATAAAAATAATAATTTATGGATATTTTTTTATTCTCAACCAATATATTTTTTTTTGATGATTTTTTTATGGAGTTAAGATAAATATAATTACCACTAGTTGTAGTTTGGTCAGGAAATAATTTATTGTTTGTTCCTTTAATTTTCTTCTAATGAATTTAATATTTTTTCTTTATTAATTCCATATATAAATTTTATTAACTTTTTATGATGCAATATTGCAAATATGTGTATCTTTACTTGTTAAAAAAGATATTATAAAGATCAAAAATCCCACGTATTTATTATATATATTATCAGAAGTTAAGACTATAATAATATGAATGACTCTGAATCTTAACTTTGAAAGCTTAATATTAGAGTTTATTTTATATTTTATAGAATTTTATACCAGATGGTGGTACATTAGTAAGACGTGTCACATATCTATTACTAAAAAGCTAAGGTTCAAAGTCACATAAAGCAGTTTATTTTCTATATTAAAACACAGCAACTTTAAATATACATATCAAACATACAAAAGTAGAACTAAAAATGGATATATTACCATTAGATTTGAACATTTTCCATGATAAAGCACTAGATTTAGAGTTTTAATTCTTTTTTTCATTTACAAAAACTTCATTAATCTAACTTGTTATTGTAATTTTATGAAATATTATCCGTTTTATTACTTTTTTCTATTTTCAAATAGAAAGAAAATTCTTTCTTAAGAAAAGTGGAAAATTAAGGTCAATAATTAGTTCTAATAGATATAAAAAGCAATATATCAAAAATAAAAATGATACTTACATGATTTTAAATAATATAGACATCAAATTGACAATTAACTGCCATTAAAATTAATGCAGTTTGTACAGAAAAAATTGATTTTATAAAATTATTTATTTACACATTTCTCTAACTTTTATAAATTCGCAAATTGACTAAGATTTTTACTAGTTTATTTGGTGAAAAGAAATCCAACTTAAATTATAGGATTATTTTTATCGTTTTTAGATATTTAGAAAATAACATATCTGATTAATTATGGAATTTATTATTTTTACATCTAAATTATAACTTTTCACATATCTTTTTGATATTATGATTTCATGCATATGTTTTAATTAATTATGTAAAAGAAAAAGTAATAATAAGCATCAAAAATAATATTAAAACAAATACAAAGTATTATAAAGATAGGGTATTTAATAAATTCACATTAATTTTTGATTTATTTTTTGATAATTTAGATTCAAAAAGATATGTTTGTTTATTTCATATTCTTTGATCAGAAAATTTACTCTTTTTTCCTATTTGCTAAGAATTAATCTAACAATATCTTTTTTACTCTAATTAACTATTTTATATATTTTTTTCAATAATTGCTTAAGACGAAGCCGTCAATGAGCCAAGCATTTCTGGCTTCTTAGTGAGGATGAGTTCTAACATCGAAATCACCACCGTAACCATTGGAACCATCATTGGCAGCAAATAAGTAGTGTTGGGGCTTGACCAAAGATCTAATGAGGAAACCACCTTGGTTATCAGATTCGATGATCCACTTGTTTCTTTCTTCATGGTGAGGATGAGTTCTGACATCGAAGTCACCACCGTAAGCTCTGGTACCATCATCAGAGGGGAAGAAGAAGTGGTTGGGGTTAGCGGCACAAGCAATGGTGTAAACGTTACGGCTAACACGGGTAAGTAAAACTTAGTTTCTTTGTTCTTGACTAGCATGAGTTCTGACATCGAAATCACCACCTAATCCTCTAACACCGTCGTTAGAAGCAAATAAGTAGTGGTTAGGATTGGTCTTAACTCTAATAGTGCAGTTTTGGGTAGCAGGAGCGAAGACAAGACCGTCAATCAACCAGAGGTTTCTAGCTTCTTAGTGAGGATGAGTTCTAACATCGAAGTCACCACCGAAACCATTAGAGCCATCGTTGGCAGCGAATAAGTAGTGATTAGGATGAGTGTAAACTCTAATGTGGTAACCTTAACCGTGGTGTTCAATGATCCATTAGTTTCTTTCTTCGTTGGAAGCATGAGTTCTAACATCGAAGTCACCTCCGAATCCTCTAACACCGTCGTTAGAAGCAAAAACGAAGTGAGTAGGGTTAGTAGCAGATCTAATAGTGAAGACGTTGTCCTTAACGTGGGTGAGGATCAATTAGTTTCTTTATTCTTAGTGAGGGTGAGTTCTGACATCGAAATCAGCACCGTATCCTCTAGCACCATCGTTAGAGGGGAACAAGTAGTGGTTGGGGTTGTGAGCAGGTCTAATGGTGACAATGAGATCTTGGTGTTGCATTTTATCTTGACTTTTTTTTTATAATTTTTGAAAGAATTTTAATGTTTTTGGTTTATATTTATTTTTTATCGTTTGAGCTTGTCAGTTTTTAAAGACAAAAATCTTTTGAAATAATAAAATAAACTGTAATTCGATAGATTTAATATTATTACGGTATTTTTTATTTTTTGGTCAGGGCATCAGAATAACACTTTTCTTTTCTCAAGTGGGTGGGGTATTTATTGATGTTTGATTAAAAGATTTCTATTTATTTACAGTATTTATTAAATAAAATTGAACAATAAAAATAGATACTCAATGCCTATATTTGGTAATTATAAGTAAATAAAAAATTATATGTGGGTGATCATATAGTAATAAAAAGAAAAGATATCGCGTAGTAATAATTTAATAATTTACATATTTCCTAAAAGGTCTGCATTCTGTATTCTATTAATTATTGAGTTTGAGCAATTATTTGTTAGACAAAACTTTCTTTTAAAATAAATGTATTTTTTTAGGTAAGTTAAGGCTATGAAATTCCAAAGCAAAGTTTATCAACGATATTTTTATTTAAATATAAATATAATTTTATATAATGTCACATAAATTTTAATATTTCTAATATTATTTAGCTTTAAACTTTTTCATCAAAAAAATTAAAGATTACTTATCCTTATTTAATAAGCATTTTACGTGTCAAAGTAATTTAGATATAATATTTCAAACATACTAAGTCTGTTTGGAATAGAAAAATTAATAAAAATTTATGATAAAGGAAAATAATTTATTTAAAATCCTCTTCTTTAAATAATATTTTAACGAAAATAGTTGAAATTATTTTTATTTAGTATTTTGTTTAAAAATCTATGGAATAATTCTTAAATCTAGAATATGCCATAGTTGATTTAATCAAAAATAATATTTTTATAAAAAGTAGGCTTATTAATTTCAAAGAGAGTTTATCTTACAATTTAGAAAATTGAATTAGATATATGAAAATATAAAAGACTAATAAAAATTAACCTACTTATGATTAGTTTTTTTTACAAAAAGTATAATGAAAAGGTAGATTTTGAATGATAACTTATAAATTTTAAGTAGATTTCAAAAACTAAATTAGATCTTTTTTTCTAAAAGATGAATAACTACAATAAAGCTAATTTATTTTTGATCAAATGCAGAATAGTTAAGCAAAAATTATAAAAATATAATGATCGCATGTAAAAGAATTATTGTTAATTCGCAATTTATAACATATAGCTTTTCATTTTACGTATTCAATTTTAAGCATGAATCCAAAATTACTTCTTAAGCGATGATTAGTAAATTAAATATCTTTGTGGGATATTTAATGTTATTTGCTTGTAAATTAAATGTGTTTAATTTTTTCTGATCATAGATTTTTGTAAATCTTTTTTAAAGATAGACCTTTCAATATTTTACTGATGAAATAATAGATGCAAAATATGTATTTACAATTTATCATTTAAAATAAATTATTGAATTAAGAATGGTAACTTTTGTAACGAAGTAATTATTTTTTCAGTAGAAAACAAAATTAAAAATATATTTTTAAAATAATAAATTTTTATATTCTCAAATCAAAACAAAAAATTCTTTAATGCTTCTAAAAGAATCTTTCAGATACTAATTATTATTTAGATTATTTACCTTAAATTATATTAATAATTTATTAAAGTTTGTTATTAACATTTGATTCATACTAAAAATTTTAGAAATTCAAGTAATAAGATCATTTTATTTGAAGTAGTTTTTGGATTATTTGATTTAAGTTTATATTTTTTCATATTAGGCATATGAAAGTTAATAACTTCAAATATATCGCATTAATTTACATAAAATATACTAAATTGCAAATATTTTAATATTAAATGAGATAAATTAATTAATCTTTAATTTTTTTCTGATCGTTAGCTTTTAATTAATTTGTCTTAAAGGTTTTCCAAAATTTTCTGATAATAATAAAATTGAGATAAAATAAATTTATTTTTGTATTTTCTCAACTATTACGTATTTTGCATTATTTTTATTATTATATTTTTTTAAATTAATGTTTGATTTTTTTGGCTTGTTTAAGTTTGCAATAGTTTTAAAAGTGCATTTATTTTAAGGAATTTAAATACCTTTATAATATTTAGAAACATTCATTCTATATCAAAGTGATAAAAAATCTAAAAAGTTAAAAAGTGATAAATAATCTAAAATTTTTGATAGTAAATCATGAAATTATAAATATCATATTTTTTTAAATCTTCTTAAAAGTATTAATAATTTTCAAAAATAGCTTATTTATATTCGATAATTATATAAATTTATTATTCAAATTTATGTTAGAGATATAAATTTGCTATTTTAAAAATGCTTGATCACTGGTAATTAATTAATGAGTGACCGATCATGTAGATAATTTTTTTTAATAAGAAAAATAAGTTTTCTAATAAATATATAATAGAATTATCAATAGAAATAACTATAATTAACTAATTATTATTTATTTAGATTTTAAATAGGGCCATTTTTTTCAAAAAACTTTGGGGGGGTGAGTGGCCTTAATTAATGAGTAATTTAGGTATATAGATAAATTTTTGGAATTTTAGTAAAACAAATTATATAAAAATGTAATACATTTAAATTTTTACAGCTTATTTGAATAATTATTTTTACTATTTAAATTTATTTTAGTTCAAAGAATTAGTCAATTTTTGTCATTTGTAATGTTTTTTGAATTTGAATTACATTATATATTAGGTATTTCTATTTAAGTTACAGAAAAAATGTCTATAACTTCTTAACTTATCTCTGTTTCATCCTATTTTTAATCATTTTTTTCTTATTAACTTTATTCTTAAGATTTATCATTACTTGACAACTCAAGTACAGAATTTTCAATAATTCTATCTTCTTAAAATTGTATAGAATATTTTTTTTATACATTATGACCTCTCTAACTGCTAGCAATATTAACTTCATCTACTTCACTAAATAAGCTATTTAATTAGTTATTAGAATTTTAAGTGTATTTAGTATGGATAGTTTTTTGTAGCAAAGTAGGAGAATCTATTTTAATATTAAAAATGTTTAGAAAATATTTTATCAAAAAAATTACTTTGATTAGATGAACTGTTTAAGTTTTTTAGAGAGTTATCTTGATAAGATGATTTAATCAAAGATGGTGACTAATGTCTGTAAAATTTAGATTTCTTATAAATTATCATCCAAAGCTAGATTGCTCTTTAGGTAACCCTTTATGAATGAATATCAGCTTTATTTAGGAAATACTTATAATAAACAGAGTTTCTTAATTGATTAGGAACTTTATCTAAAATAACTTGCAAGTATTTATCAAGGTAAACTTTCAGTATAAGTGAAATTAAATATGCTCCATTTATATATTAACAGAGTAATAAAATAAAATAGAAAACATACATTTAAAAATCACTAATATTACTATTAAGAAAATAGTTTAATATGCTCACTATCATCAAAAACGTAGTACTATTTTAATCAACTTACTAGTATCTTTTCATTTGATAAGGTTTTATATATATTAACATCATATAATATATGCTTACTGTCAAAAAAATGATAAGGTATTTTGTTTCTAATTTTTTTAAATTTAAAATATGATTTAAGAAATACAAAAATTATTTTACTTGGCTCAGAAAAACTGTAGAAATTTTAGATTAAAATTATAGCTATTTTTAAAGTATACTTAACATATTCCCAATAAAATCCTTTACTGTTATAATCTTAGTAAATATAACCATATCTCAATCTTATTCTTGCATTATTTAATTATTTTCTTGATTTATAAATAATAGCTAGTATAAATGATGGGTATATTACACTATAAAATGCCAATCCAGGTCCTATTAAAAACATTATAAACTTTACATGTTAATAAGAGTAACACTCATAAGTATAATCATCAGCGATATATTTTTTTCCATCAAATTCTTCACAAGAAATTTGAGCAATTAATGTTTAAACTATATTAGGCTAAACGAATTAGAATAAGAAGACAAATGAGCATATTAAATGAGACTATTAGTTAATAAAAATTTAGTTTACAAATAATTATTTTGCAAAATTTTGTTTTAAATAATTAAAAATTGAATATTTTGATTAGTTTTATCTAAAAATTAAATTTTTAATTTTTTACTCTTTTAATGGTAAAATTATTCTTCTTATGAATTAAAAGCGCATAAATTATCAATAGAACTAATATGTAAAGAATAGGGGAAATTATCATAGTTAAAGATTTCCAGTATAAGTGGGGCATGCTTTCTGAAGAAAGTAAAGCTATTTCGCAAGCATTTGTAATCACTGCAGAGCTTGATGGAGATCCTATAAGAAAAATTATAAACAATAAATATGCAATGTATAAAAGAAATTTTTATTTTACCAAACAGATCAGGAATGATTGAAATAATTGTAGGAAGATTTAAAGTCATTATTGAAATGATTTTAAAAAGTTATAAATAAGAAGTAAGAGCTTTTACAGCCATGTTAACTTCATTATTTTAACCAGATCTAGCAATACACTGTAACTTCATTAGTCGTAAATAATATGCTTAAATAACCTTTTCAGAAGCTTTGAAAGAAGATATAATGTTAAAAACACAATAGCTTATTAGGATTAAAGATATTAGTAAAGTTTATCCTATAGCTGTACTTATTGATCGTTATGTGCAATTTATGCATTCATTTTTGTTATCATATTAAAATTTATCAGGCCAAATTTATCCGTTTTCATCACAATATTAGCACAGTGGACCATAATGGCCTTCTACACAATAATTTTTTTCTTAATCCCCATTACAACTTGTTTTTGTCTAACATTAATAAATGTTATCTGAAAGATTAGCACTTTTCCAATAGCCTTCTTTTAGAGTCATCTAGCTTCTATAGCAATAGTTGGCTTATTCTGGACAGTTTGAGCATGATTACTCTTCATCTTTTTTAAAAAAAATATTCATAAATACAAAAAAAGAAAAAAAATTTTATTTTACTTATTGATGGAGTTTATAAAGAGTAAGTTCCTACATCACATTAAACACATTAATATATAGAATTTATCAGTCTAAAAATTTCTCCAATTTCACACTACCTAAAATATAAGCTGTATTAATCTTAATATGTCTGCTAAATAACTTTTTTTGATAAGAAATTAATCTAATAAATTTGTTACAAAAAAAAATTTACTTGGCAATAACAAGTTATTTGAACTAATATTAAAAAATTAAAATAATCCTTCAGCTTAAAGATAAATATACTAAGTGCTTAGGGGATTTCCAATAAGTTAAATTCCAATTATTTAGAATCCTTAAATTAATTTTATATATTCATCGTGGTATGATGTATATGATCCTACAACTCTAACTTTACTGTCATCCTAAGATAATAAAGTTAACTTTATTTAAGATAATTCAATGCAAATATCTTAAGTATATTGGTTATTATTGCAATTATCTAAGTCATAATACACAAGATTATTTTCTTCATCAAATAACTAAAATTAAATGCTGATAAATCCTCCACTTTAAAGATTATTAACTTGGAATATATTTTAAAGTTATCTATTTTTTTAAATGCTTAAATTATTTATTTAATTAATAAATCTATTTTTTTATTTTGATATTTGCTCTGCTTTTACATACTGTATATAAGAGCCCCAGTTTTAACTATGTATACTAGCTATATTTTTAACAAATGTCACATTATTCTATTAAAAGTACTAAGTATTGAATTCCTATGGTTTCTCATTTAAATACCTAATAGCTCCACCTATCACAGCTTAGTTTTAAGTGAATGTTGTATTATAGAGCTTTAGATAAGAGCTTACCATATAAATTGCTCCACCACTGCTCGAAGCAATATTTTTTGTAAAATAGGAGTCTTTAATTAAGTTTTATGAGCCCTAACTTTATATAATTGCTATACTTCCTCCATTATAACCAACATTTTAAATAAAAGTACAATTCAACACTTATAAGCTCATTGAGTTCACAAATTGTAGAAAAGAGCCTGTGCATTCTTAGCATATAATTTTATTTAATTACGAGTTAGTGATAAATAGTGAAGTACCTTAAAATTAAATAGAACTCTAATTTTGATGAACATAATTTTATATAAGGATACTAGAAATATTCATTAAATCATTCTTTTCTATTATTGTGGATATTTAATCTTAAAACAAATTTGTATAAGATATTATTGAAATATTATTTAAATCTGAAAACTGACTTTCAGATAATAAAATATTTTCATTTTACCTAAAATCAAAAATTGACTGCTAATCACTTCCAGTTAAAGCTTTGCAATTTATTTAATTTAATTATAAAATATTTATTTTATAAAATTAGAAAAGCGAGAAGTAAAATTGCTAGATTGCTGCTTAAAGTATTCTTTGGGAGGACTTTATGTACGAAAGATTATTTATTTTTAAATTCTAAATGGTTAATTTCTGTATTGATTAAAACTTAAAAATTGAAATTAAATTTTCGATTTATATATTTGATATTAAAATATTTTATAAAATTATATTTGAGCAATTTTAAATATCAAATAAGCTCACATTTCCAGAAAGTGATATTTAGTTAATGGAAATATTTGTGAATACTAATGAATCTAAATTTTGGATAATAAATGTAGTATTCACCAAGCTGGATTAATCTTGCTAAATAAAAGTTATATTTGATAACTAAAAGATCAGAGTTTAAGGACTAAGTTCACTTTTGACTGGGCTTGAAGTTAGTATTAAGTTTTAATTAGAGATATTTATTTCTTCGTTTTCGTTTTAAGAAAAGAAATTATTGCTAATAATTAAGTTGCTGTTTTAATTATCACCAAGATATTAAACCTAAGCCTAAAGAGTTTGCATCAACGAATTATAATAGAGAAAAGAAGATCCAAATATCTTTTATAAAAATGAAAATATTAATATAAAAAATGTTATTTTAAATAAAATACCTTTAACTGAATTCCTAGGGATTAGTATCCGAACTAAGAAAAGTAGCTTTATTAATTTGTCAATAGATTCTCAACTTAGTAATTAGCTTTTGGATCTTAAATTTAAATTAAGCAGTTTTAGAAATAGCTAGACTGAGGTATTCCATTTACAATGGGAATGCTAAAAGAATAATTTACAACATCATCGCTGGTTAATAAAGTAATTTGAATCATATAAAGATCAAAATTCTTTTATATAGTCAAATTTTAAATAGTTGGATAGTCTAAATTAATTTTAAGAAGTAAATTAAAAACTTGTCCAGTAATATTTTAATATGCTACAGCTAAAAAAGTATTTTAAGCCATAAATACAAGCTCTGGAAATTAATCACTGACTATATACTATCTTATTGATTAAATAAATTATGGATCTTAAACTTACCAATAAAAATTGTAAGTTTATCTATCGTAATAAGAAATAGACCAAGGAATTTATACTTTTATATATTAATTTACTATATCTAACTGTACAGAGTAAATAGTGTTTATGTACGGGATGAAATTAACTTTTGTAATATTCATCGAAGGATTTAATATGCTTCTTTGGAAAGAATAGATATCAATTATTCTATCATTTGCTTGAACTACATACAAATTGTTATATAATTCATCTATGAAAATTTTACTTAAAGTTTGGTTATTTGGGTAAGTCACATTTGTTAGTTAAAATATAGTAAAATTTTGCAATATGGAATTGTAAGGATAGAATTCTAAATCTTAATTAAGAGATGATGCAAGAATTATGAACTAGAAATTAAGATTGTAATAACTATAATAATAGCCTGCACTAACTTAAAAAATTAATGTATTGTTAAGATAATTATACCTTGTAAAGGTACCAGATTATGTTATTATAAGTATATCACTGAATTATTATACAAATTAGCATTGAATTAATGGAGAATCTAGCGTTATTGTGTTAATAATAGTAAATTAACTTTAGTCTATTTATAATATAGTATTATTAAAAGTTGATACAAATAATTGGTTGTTATAACTGCCTAATATTTAATTTCCATAAATATTTAACTAAGAGGAGCTAGAAATAGGCTAAAAGTCGTCAGAGTATTTAAGCAACTGAGTATATGTGAGAATATATACATACGCATTAAAATATGCTATTTGCCTGTACACTTACAGCTAGCAAATTATTTTTACCATTTTATCTTGTATTCTATACCTTCTAACGATTTGGTAGCTGTCAACATAATAAATATCTCCATCATTTTGACTTGTATAGTAATCTATTGTTTTGACAATGTAGCTATCTTAAAATTTAAATGTACTTGTTATCTATTCTTCAATTGATCTTATGCTTTAAAAAAAAAAAATTGGATAGGAATAATTAAATTGTTTATTTTTACTAATATGTTGATGTATCGGCAACGCTTAAGGCATTAAACTAATTATTCATTGTTGTGCCATAAAATAAAAAAATATTATCGAAAGTATATCCAACTTCTTATCGAGTTAAATAATTGAAAAAAACTGTTATATATGTAGTCAATTTTCCAATGAACAAAAGATAGTTTACATCATCAATCGCAATTAACTTTATAGCTCCAATGTCAATATCCTGTTATCCATTTATGGTGTAGAGATATGATCCACTAACATTATCAAAAACGTCTATATTATCTGAATTCCCTCTCTAATAAGAAAAACACAAATTTAATTTATCAGATATTTTGTAGTCACCACAATTCAGATTGCATAAAATTGTAGATTAATAAACTTATTTATATCTATCAATGATTGTTATTAAATTACTTGATATTAAAGTAATCCATTTATTTGAAGGTATGATTTTTTAATTTTATAAAACAGAAGAAACTATAATCTCATTTTCAAGCTTAAGGGTAAAATAGTTTCTAATTTAAATGTAATAAAGATTATATAAAACATAAAACTTCAAATAAATGGGATCTAAGTAAAACTCTAAACCTTTTGGTACTAATTACTATGTAGAAACTTAATAATTTAAATAATTAAAAGTAAAGAGTGTTCCTTAATAAGTCAATATCAAAACTTAGTTCCTATTTTAATCAAATGCAGCCCTAACGATGCTAATAATAGGTGTTTGACTGTTAAAAATTTGAATATCCAAAAATACCTTAAGCTGGAATGCATAAGAATAAGACCAAACAATTACTTTTAAGTCTGTTAATGATGTTGCGTGGCTAATTAAAACGCCATTTTAAGTATCTAAAAATACAAAATCCACTGAGGCATTATGCCCATTTAAAAATTATGTTGCTACTTAAGTTTTTTAATTAAATTTATATAGATTTTAAGTATTTTCTTTCGAATAAGATATCATATTCCCATTAACACTATCTTAAATAACAGTAACAGAATTCGTAGTTGGATGGCCATATGCAAGTTAAGTGTCTGTCTTACTATATAAATCAACTACAATTACCTATTAAAATAAATTTGTAGCTATAACTATGCAAAAAAAAGAAAAAAATATTTTACTTTTGAATAATTAAATAAATAAGCTTTTTTTAAATAAGGATTAAAAATTGTATTCTAAGTATTGCATTTATCTGTTGAGTAAACAAAAGTGCTACAGACATATTAAGCTACTTTTAAATTTCCATTTACAAAACCAACGAAAATTAACTAATTGTTGACTATACTGATACTAGATATACCATCTTTGAAAGGAAATACTGAGCATACCCTTAGATTACTGTAAATCAAGTTAAATACCTTATTTTATTATTTTTTAAATAAAAAATAGTTTTTTAAACTATTAATAATTGATTATATTTTTTTAAAATACCAAAAAAATGGTCTTAATTAAAAAAGTTTTAATTTATTAGGATATACAGTGTCTTTTTTAAATGATAAATGTTAAAATAAATTGTTAAATACCTAGTTATCTATTGAATTAAAACCTGTATTTTGAAAGTAGGAGAATCCAGCCTAGGTAACGATAAACTAAGACTTTTATATAACTCCAAAATTTCTTCTTGGAACTGGAACAAAATTAGGCCAATTATAAGTATAAGAATTCCCACTTGCTAAGTATTACCACATATAAGTTGATTCAGTAATTATTATAAACTAATTTTGTATAGGTGAATATACTTAGGTTATTATAGTAGTATCAGGAGAATTTATAGTTGTTGAGTTCAAATTCGGTAAAGAAGCAATAGTTAAATAAAGTGAAAAGTAGTTTACAACTATTTTTTAAGTCAGCTGAAAGTATTCTAGCTCTAAACACTTTTACTTGATGGTTGTTATTTAACTTTAAGTAAAATTAGATAAAAATTTAGTCCTTAAAAGAGCCTATTAAGGGTTAGTTGAATTCATAAAGGTTTCTATTAAATAAAATGTTTTATTGAAAAATCCTATTTAAACTTAGCTGACACTATCTTAAAATTATTAATAATTGGTATTTACTATTTATGTTTCACTCACATTAAAGTTAAATATCTACAATTCTTTATTATTACTTAAAAAAAAATAATTGTTGAAAAAACCATAATTTGTTATGCTTAGCTAACTACTTGGAAGCTAGTAAGTATTTCTTAATATTGAATTGTATCTGCTAACATTCCAAGTAATAAATATATTATTGTCATAATAAGAAAGCAAAACACCAGTTGAAATAACCAATGCTTTTAATATAGAATTTTAACATGTTTATAGGGAGTTACACCAAGGAGGAAGTTAGAAAAATAAAGGTTTTAAATTCAATTTATTATTTTAAATAGTGTCCCAAATTCCAAAAGAACCATCAGAGCTGTATGTAATATAGATGTTTTAGCTGGTATCTATTACTACACCATTTACTTTTCCATAGTGCTGCTTGTAATATTTTTATTGTTTTGATAAAATATTCGTCAAAGTAGAGTTTCCTGACTAACTTAATTGATTATTTATTAAATATTTAGTTAATTAATTGCCAACGATAATATATGTAGTATTTTGTTAGTTTTGCATCATCTAAATATCACTAATTAGATCAGATGCTTGTAATTATGCTATTAAAACATTTTAAAATGAAAAATTTTATGAATTTGATTTTTGTTAGGAAATCTAAATTATATTTAATCCATTTTAAATAGCTATAACTACTTGATCATTAAGTATTTTGGCAAAAAAAACTTATTGTTAGTAGCTTATTAATTGATTAAAAGTCATATCTATCATATTAAATGAAAAAATAATTAATTCTGTTTAGCTTATTGATATTAATTGAACAATATCAGCTTGGAAAGACTAAATATTTTTGTCAAAAAAAATGTAGGAAATTGGAGATTAATGATTAGTTGCAAAATAATTAAGAGTGGTATTGTTATTATTCAATATTATGTTAATTTGAGTATTTTCTTCAAAACTTATTATGAAAAAGTCTGAATTATTATTATTTAAATTGTTAGGAAAAGTAAATACCTAGCTAATAGTGTAATTAAAATTCTAATAAATTTTATATTCTTAAATATTTTCAATATTCCATTTTACTACCATATCGTTTTAATCGTAACTTATTAAGTAGTTATTAAATTAAATCTTATAGCCGACGATAGGAGATGGATGAACTTTTGAGAAAAGAACAAAAAATTCAGCTTCATTTGGTGCGTTTGTCGAATTAAGCACAGATGAAATCCATTATTTGTGGTTAAAAATGGCAAATTAATTCATATTTAAATAATTTAAAACTAAAATGTTTTAATCTAGATAATAAGCATAAGGATCAATATATAATGTATTGGTTAAGTTTATTTTTCCCTACATTAAACCTTATTCCATATCCCATGCTATGATTAAATTACTGCTTACACTGATCAGAATGTTATTTAGATTTTCTTCTTATAACAGTGTGTATGAGATTATAGAAGTATCATGTCCATTTAAAATTCCATCATGGTAAAATCCGTAATCATCATTTTTAATTTAGTAGATGCTCAAATAATTTTCATTCACAGTTAAATTTTGTTTCCCACTGACAATTAAGAGGTTTTTAAAAATTTAGCTATTAGTGTTCTAATTAAAATTTTGATTTCCACTTATATAAGTTATTTAATCACAATAGTTGATTGATCTGCAAGCTTTTCTATTGACATCTATCTCAAAACCTTGTGGACAACCAGGTAGACATGATTAACTAGGCTCATAAAAATAATTTCCTTCATCACATCCAGATTCACATATTCCTGAAAAATTATTTAATTTGTATCCCTACTAGCATTAGAAACAATTATTAGACGAATCACAATAAGTACATTTAGGGTCGCAAAGTATGCATTTACTTATCCTCAAAATAAATTGTGATAAAAGCAAAATCCTTAAAATTTTAGCTGCTCTAAATATTTTAATGTTCATATTTAGACTTTAAATACAATCAATATTAACTTTATGGAATTTTTTGGTGTTATAAATTCAAATTATTTTTCTGTCTTTTAGTTTTTCTGTCGAATTATCTCTGTAGCAACTTTCTCTTTTTAATTTATTTGATTTTGTTATTATTTAAACTGCTTTTTTGATGAATAAAAATTGAATGATTAAAAGTGAAAAAACAAAAATTTAGATCTTGACTTTCATTTAAAAATAATAAAATTAAAGTGAAAACTTTAACGAATTATTCTTTAAAACCATAATAAAGATTATTTGGTTTGTCCTTTAATTTTATTAACTCTTATTTTTGAATTAAATAATAAATATTTTTAAACAAATATTAGAAATTATTTTATTAATATATATAAATAACATTTAAAAAGTGAGAGATAAATTCATATTTTTTGAATTTAAATTAAAGAATAAATAGCGTTTTATACTTAAAAGTATATTTACTTATCAAAAATCATCATCTAATTCTTTTAGTTATTATAATCTTCCTTTGTTATGACTTTAAAAATTTTGATTTTAGTTTAATAACTACTGTATTCTTATCTATAAAAACCCTTCTATATTAAAAATTTTTGATAACTATTTAAATGCTCATTACTCCCTAATTCCACCACTGATTGATCGTAAGAAAAAATTACAATTAAAAAATTTATGGTACAAAAAAATAAAATATTATACATCATAAAAAATGTTTTTATTCAATTTTTTCTTTACATTTTTTTAAGGTTTTTCTAACCACTTTCTATTAATTATTTAATCTATTTTTTAAAGGTAAAGGTGAAAACGTCATCCTATTAAGGTTTATTTAAATTGCTGATTCTTTCAAAATTGATTGATTTTTGAAGATTGTAATTTAAAATTTAATATTACTTATAATTAAGTAAAAACGTACTGTAAGCAATCAAATTCAGCTTTTTCATTTAGATTATCAATGCAAATAGGACTAAGAATTGTCATTATAACAAAAATTTTTAAAATCAATTATTTGCATTTAAATTATTATTATTTTATATATATTTCATAGTAAAACTGTTTTTAATCAATTAGATAAATATATGTATTTAGAAATTTTAAAAGATAAATAATTTTACAACAAAGTATAAAAATTCTTCATTTTTAAATATGGCATTTAAATTTTAGACTGTGTGATTTGATTAAAAAAACATAAAAACTGACTGTCTCACTTTTCTTTAATAAATTCTGTATGTTATGTTTTTTTGAATTAATTGGCCTATAATATGACATATATTTAAATTTGATTAAGAAAACTTTATTCAAGCTTATATATATTTAAATCTAAATATAGAAAGGTTTTTCTTAATCACTTTTAAAATAATCAATGTTTAATGTTTGTAGAAAAGAAAATTTAAATCGTAATCTCTGATACTTAAAATAAATTAATAAGAAGACAAAAAATAAATTTTTGGAGCCAATGAAAAAAATAATCTATCTTATTATACTCTCATTAATAAATCAGGTTTTATCTTAAATAAATTAGTGTGGATTTAAATGCTCTTAATGTGATTTTTTCGGAAATTGCTTATAATGTGAAGAGGGATATATTCCTAGTAGTGGAAATGGGTATTGTTAATCTTATTGTGGCTAGCAAAATGAATATCTTAATTAAGAATTAGGATAATGCAATCCTATTTGCGGATATGGATATTATGAATAAAGAGATTATTATGTATGCCAAAAAAGTTAAAAATGTCCCTCTATAAATGAGTTTGGAAATAATTTAAAATAAATTATTGGCTCTACTTTAGTTGGCTCTGAACTAGCTGTATTCTGCAAAACTTTTAATTCTACTAACAACTAGTATAACTTTTTTTTAAGAATTTATGACTCTGACCTCAACTTCAAAGGCGAAATGCAACAACTAACTGATGAAGTTAAATAATTTTATTTGGATTAACAAAATAAATACTTTATTACTGTCTCATTACAAGAAATAAATTTCTGGTAAATACCTACATGGTAAATAATCAGAAAAGATTATTTATCTATGTATGTATAAAATACAAAATATGTGAATTATCTTGATAACAACTATTTAATTCTATAGGATCAGTCAGAATAGTTATTTACTCTAATCAATATAACTAATGCAATTCAATAAGATACCATTTTCTAACTAGGATAATTTAATTTACCCACTCAGCAAGGTTAAATTAAAATCTTTAAAGGTATTAACTCTGTTTTTTTTACAGTTTATTCGCAAAAAGGATTTTTTTCTACATAATTGTCCTTTAGTAATATAAACTAGTAAATTTTTTAGTATTGTAATAATTTTACTGTTATAAGTTCTCTCACTCCAATTAACGATTCTTATCTATTTTTCGGAGACATCTACAATAATATAGTGATTTGGTAAAACGGAGTTTGCTCACCTTAAAATATTTCTGCTACATCTCCTATTTAAAACTATTTCGTTTTTTATGACAATTTAAGCACATCTTTTCTCTATATTATAGCTGCTGGAAGCACATAATACTACGAGTTAACTACCTAAAGTAACAATTTTTAGCTATAACTTTTAAAGACAACAAATATGAATGGTACTTATAATATGTATATAGCATAGGACACTTTATATGTAAGAAATAATTTTACATTTAGTATCTATACATATTAAAACAAATCTCTAGTTAAAATGTTTTAAGGCAACTCTTCAAATCCTGACAATTAATTATTTGAAAATATTTTTATGTTTAATAATTAAGTCTATGAATTTTACATGAATAGCATCTTTATAAATGAACCTGCTCAATAAATTGCTTAACAAGAAAACTAAGTTACTACTTGTAATTAAGTAAAAAAATCAGAAAATATTAATTTTTACTAACCAACAACAGTTGATGCGATTAATTAAATAATTTTAGATCCTAACTATGATGGATAGCTTGTTATAGCAGGAAACGATGGCTCAATAAGAGTTTACGAATTAACTAGTTTTGAAGATTTGAGTTACATACATATATTTACATAATATCACCCAATATGTAATTAGTAATCAATAATGCAGAAATGTCTGTAAGCTAATAATATCACTATTTCCGATTTAGGATATTATTATGTAATTTATACTAATGCTAGTGATCAATTTATAACAATATGGAAAAGAAACTCTTTATCTCTAACATTTATATCTGATTATAGACTTGACATAAATTAGATGAGTATAATTAAAAGTGTTTCACTAATACAAAACACTCTTTTAATTTAGAACAATAACTAACTAAAAGTTTTTGACATTCAATAAAATAAAGTATTAGTAAATGAAACTTATACTGGAACTTAAACTCTCTTTTTTGTTACATTTGATTATTTGTGGGGGCAGCAAATTCTTATTTATCTATATTCAAATTAAGTTATGGTGAGGTCATTTACTAATTCTACAGCTATTTACACGAAAGCTTATTCATCTCTTTTTAGTGCATCTTTATATTATCAATCTTATTTAAAAGCTCAATATTTTAGCTAAAACAAAACTCTAGCTTTTAATTTATATGAATATATAGTTGTCTATAATTTTACAAATTAGTCAGCTATTACCTACAAAATGACTTACACATACCCATTACATAATTTTTGCTATCATCCAGCTAATGGAGATTAAATCTTTTAAGAGTAAACTTATAAAAATTTAGGAATAATTTAATCTTTTTCTATAATTTATTATTATACAATTACTGGGTTTATAACGCCTTATTGTGGAGTTACTAATAAAAATATTTTTTACTATTACCATTCACCAAACACAAATAAAGTCTTAAATACAGTAAATTTATTTTATTATTTATCTTAAATCTTCTTAAAAATAAGGCCAAAATAAATAAAAATTTTTAAATTAATTAATATAATCTAGTTTAAATAATTATGAAAAATTTGCAAATATTTTTTCTTTATTTTTGATGGTTTATAGTATTTTTTACTAATATTTTTAATTTAAAAAGGTATTTGTGATGATAATGCCTAATTTTCAGACAAACCATGTTCTTTCCTTCTATAACACAATTAAATCCATCATTGTTGATGAAGATAAACTTATTCTTTACATAGGCTTTGTTGATGGATAGATATATGTGTTCCACATAATTCTAAACTATGCTATCAATTTAAACTAATTTAGTAATGTCTCTAAGTTTTTCTACTCATAGCTTAAAGGATATTTTATAATTTATTAAGGGGTAAATTTTTTTTATTCTATTTTTATAATGCTAAATTGTTTAGTTTTATTTAGAAGTTTATTTAAAAAATTATTTTTAAATAACAGTCTCAAGTTTTTATAATCAACTCCAAGACATTTTTGGTACAGAAAACACTATAACTTCCAAATTAAAATCTTTATGTCCTTGAATTCAATGAGAATTTAGAAATATTAATCTTATTTTAAAACAATACTATAATTTAATGGAGATTTAGTTCTGGCTAACTAGATCAATATCCTATCTAACATTAAGCTAATATAACTTCTTGCTATATAAATACAATTTAATCTTTATTGATTAGTATTTCTTTAGATTTTTAAATTTATGTTTGGGACATAGCTAAGGTTTAAGTGTTGTACAATATTCATTATCATTCTGATGACTATTTGAGCTTTAACGATTAATAAGCAAATAGCTCATTTATTTTTAATATTACATAATTATTAATTTTATAAAATGAGAACTATTTAATATCTTCTAATTCTCTTAATAGGATTTATATTCATGATCTAACTTCAAACACTTACTTCAAAATGAAAATAAAAACTTCAGCCATACTTTCAAGTTTTAACTACGATTAATAATATAAATTTCTCTATATCTTTTTAATATCAGGATACTCATATGTAGAAATTTATTCCTTTTAGTAATCGTAGGATGTATCAAAAGCATTTTCATATACTAAGAGTATAATAATCTCTAATTAAAAAACTTCTTTATTTGCTAAATATGAATAATATTGGGCATTCATTTATGAGCAAAATAGTATAACCTAAGTTGATAGATAAAGTCTAACAATTAATTTTATTATTAATACGATCAATCCTTTAGTTTCTGATTTTTTGATTTCCTTTACCTTAAGATAAATTGTAATTTGGAGTAATTGCTATTTAGGTGTATGTAGTCCAAAAGTACCTATTTATTCGTTAGATACTGGAGAGTATATAAATGAAGTATCATTTGAGTAACAAACAGAATATGGTATGATAATTCAAATCTTTTTAGATGAAAATACTAATAGTTTAGTTATATTCAAAGATTAATTTCCTAAAATCATAGTAATGTATGATCTTTTAAATTTATTTACTGTGGGTTTATATAGTCATACTACAGATATCTACAGTTTTCCTTTGAACAATGCATTTTTAGTTGAAGATACAGCTACTCTTGTTGTATATAGCGGAAATACAATTATGTAATATTATCAATTTCATTTCAATATTTTTAATCATATTTTATCAATTCATTAGCAACTCATTTTTTTTTTTCATTTAACTCTAAAATTTATTAAATATTCTATTATTTTTATACTAATTTTATTTTTTTTATTTCTAATATAATTTTAAGGTCTTTGTAAATTGAGCATAACCTTGCTCCATAATAAGCAGTATCATCAGCCCTTCCAAACAGAGTCCAAAAAATGTCATTTAATTAAAAAAATTAATTATTTTTCTTTGATAGCAAAGGCCAGAGCTGGGTATTTGATGCCTCTTAAAACACCATTTATAATAATCTAAGAACTGATTCAACTAATTACTAGTTAAACATTAAATACTTTTACATAATTGATGGCTCTCTATTTGTTCTTTACAAAAACTAAATAGTTGAAATAAATTCAAGTTTATAAATTTTGCAACAATAATAATAAGAGATTGATAAGGCGATTTAACTACCAAATATTATTTTAACTACAACTTATTTAGGAAATATAGTTTTATACAACACATTTAATTTAACTTAAATAAATAAAACAATTTAACTTGGTGTAAGAGTAAAATAATTGACTATGCTTCTATAATTTTAAGAAGTGATGATTCTTGCATATAATAATACTATTTACAGGCTTAATTTTATTTCTTATAATTTAATAAAATGGTTTTCCCCAACTTCAGATTAAATTTATAAAATTTATTATGATGATGTGAACAAAATAACTTTTATTACTATGAAAAGCAGTAACTGTTATATATTTGATGGCATCAATATTTAACTAAGTGTTCCACCTAACCCAATCTCAAATTCTTTTTAAATACCATACACTTCTAGCTAAATCTTTTAGATATCTATTGAGCCTATAACTGGTATTTTTGCAGTTTATACTATCCCTGATAATAATTTATCTAAAATAGACTTTTATCAATATAATTTTACAAATAAAAATACTTAGCAATTATAAAATATCACTTATTTAGGTTTTATTCCTTAATTTTCAAGATCTCCAGGATTGAAAATTTAATTTATTGCTAGTAATATATTCATTTTCTCATCATACCAATTAATAATTTATAATAATAATTTAACTCTACAAAATATGATAAGAAGCACCTCTATATTTTCAAGTTTAAAAAAAATAATTGTTATTAACTCACCTTAAAATGATACAAATCTATTTTTTGCTTAACAAGAAAGCAATATATCCTTATTTTCTTATAAAAGTAACAACCTTATCTAGCTTTATTCTCATAGTTGTATAACACCAAATCTAGTAGATTATCAGTTATCATAATTAGTGAGTGGATTTTAAGTTAGCATTTTAGTTCTTTGTGATGATAAAGTTATAAATGATAGCTTTTATTTAGAAAATCTTACATAATCTTTAAGCCAAATACAATAATGCTATACAGTTTCTTAAACATAGTATTAATATCAAGTATTTCATTATATTTACTTTTTTTAAATTTAAGATATTTTTTTTAATTGTAAATTAGTTTCTACAGATGCTTTAAAACTTAGATAAATCCTTTTATGAAGAATCTTCAAATCCTGCTTTAATTAGGATTGAGGTAAATGATTATTATTATTATAGTGTATTAATTTTTATATATTATTTAAATAATTTAGCAACTTCAGTAAACTGATTTTGGAAGTTATAATTCAACTAGGAGTATTTCATTTGTTTATAGGAACTTAGATATCAATTAACAAAATATAATAAATTTGAAGGAATCATCTTTTTTAGATTATTAGTTTTAAGGATTATTAATATAAAACTTTTTGTTAGATATGAGGGAGGTAAGAGATAGAATTTTATTTAGTTCATTAATTGAAGATATTGTATTTAATAATGTAACTTTTTTACTCTCAGAGGCTAATATGGATATACCGAATACAAAATAACAATTTTATTTTGAAAACTTGGATTAAGTTACTTTGTCAGGATTGAGTCTTAATAATTTTATATTAGAAAGAGATGCTCCTTTGTTTGTTTTTTCTAACATAAATGAAATCTTGATTGATAATATTAATATTAAATAAATAAACTTAACTTGTTCTGATTGTTCTTTCTTTTCCTTTTCAAACATTCAGTCGATTAAAATTTAAAATTTACAAATAAAATATGTAACAATAAACACATTTAATTAGAGCTAATTAATATATCTAGAGTAAATAAATAATGTTTAAATTTTAAATTCGACTTTCGAAAATATTTTTTCAAGATCATCATTACCGATAATAAATATATATGGATCTAAAAATACATAATTGCTTAACCTAATTGTTTAAGAGTGCTAATAAACATCTCTTTTAATATCATAAAACTTTTATTTTATGTAAGATAGCTAGGTTTTAGTTCAGTAAAATATCTTAAACATATTTAATGTTTTTGTATCATATATCAAAGACCTTAATTAAAGCGTTTTTTATCTAAATTAAACAAGCTCAGTAACAGTTTAACAAACTTAATTTAAATATTTGAAATGCTTAAACTGTAATGGTGGGGCATTATAAATAAATTAAGGTGAAAATCACTTAATTTAAAATTGTGATTTTTAGTAAATTGAATCTCAAAACGGTGGTGCTCTTGCTATTTTAGAATGTCCAACTTGTAATATAACTATTACAAACTCAATATTTAAGTCAAATGTTGCTAAAATATATGGTGGCGCTATTTACTTACAAAATTCTAATGTTTAAATTGCCCATACAATTATTTAGCAGAATAATGCATAGATTGGAGGTGGTATAAAATATACTAAAATTAAACCAATATTAAATAATAATTTAACTCATAGAAATTTAGAGTAGTAAAATTAAAATAATAATGTGACATTAGTAAGCTTTTATAGATAAATTTAATAATCATAAAGTAGTAACATAATTTCAGATAACAAAGCCAAAATATATGGAAATAATATTGGGTCTTATTTACAGGATGTTGTTATTTGTTAACCAGTTTTAAAAACATTGAGTGTTGAAAGTGATTAATAAATTTCAAATTTATATGGAATTAATAGATTATTTATATTGCAGTCCTATGAAATAAATAATTTTAGAAGCGGTAATAGTATTGATCTAAAAATATAATTGCTCGATGAAGAAAATAATCCTATAAAATTTAATCCTAATTTTATAAATAAAAAAAAATACGATAATGAGATATTGTCAGAATTATAAAATCTATAAGTAAAAATTGAACCTTAAAACAATACTCAATTAAAGGTCTTCGGTAAGTACACAGCAGATTATTCTTAATTTGATGAGGCTAGCTCGAGTTTTATAATAAAAGGACTAATAATAGTATCCAACCCATTAACAACAAATATAATAAAAATTTCTTCGAGTTCTTTAACAAAAATAGATGCTTAAACAAGATAAGTTGATGAAGAGAGTAATTTTTATTTTTAAATTTATCTTACTAAATTATTAATAATTTAAAAGGTTTAAATAATCTTTTTAGCTTAGTCTTAATAAACACTAGAAACTGTACATATGGAGAAGTCTACTAACTAGTTGATGTTATTTATCAGTGTTTTATTTGCTAAGAAGGCAGTTACTTTCTGAGTTTACCTACTATTCGTAAAAATTAATTTAAAATATTTAAAAACTTTATTTCAAAATAATTTTTTTAAAATTTAATATTTTTAGAAAACACTGCTTGTTTAAAATGCCCTGAATACTCTTAATCTTGCCGTAAGAATGAGATATAATTGAAAAGCGGATATTGGAGATTAAATAATTTAACTGATAATATAATTAGTTGCTCAAGAAATCCTAGAAACTGTGTACCTATTGAAGAAAAAAATTATTGCATTAAAGGGTATTATGGGCCTTTATGCGAATAGTGTGATGTTTATGGTATCCTTTGGGATTAACCGTATATTTCTGATGGAAATTATAATTGTTACCCATGTGCAGATTTAATTCATAAGCCCTATTACTCATACTTATCTTTGAATTTAATTTTAATGCTTTTATTTATCATATCAAGTATAGTTTTATAATTAAGCCTTACTAAAAGCTTAACAGTCAGCTATTATTTAAGGAAAATGCATATGATTAGTATTATAAAATCAGCTTTCTTTAACTCTTCATCTTTAGGATTAAAAATTTTTATAGGTTATTTACAAGTTAGTGGAATTATTTATTCTTAATTAGAATTTTCTTTTCCATATGGCACTAGATTGCTTTCTAATACTATAGGTAATTAATTAATTTAAACAAAAATATTTTTGCAATATTTTTATAATTTTAAAGGAATGCCAGTAACAAACTTGTTCTACTCTCTTGATTGTATTTTTCATAAGTTTAACAAATTTCCTATTATTTATTTAAGAGTGTTATGGTCATTAGTAATTCCATTAGGATATCTTATCTGTTTATTAATAGTTTTAGTTATTTATGGGCGAGTAAAATAAAGATCTATAAAAGTGCTTATTATTAATGGAGCTATTTTCTTATTTTTCTTTACACAAAATAGCATAGTGTATTTACTTTTTAATATGATGTCGTGTAGGTAAATTGATGGAAAATACTATATTAGCAGCGATATTAGTTATGAATGCTACAATAAAGATCATTTAAACTTCATGAAATATATAGGAATACCAGGTATTTTAGGATGGGTCTTTGTAATCCCAATATTTATTATTTAATTAGTTTATAGAAAAAAGAAGTAATTAGAACAAGTTAGCTTTAGATAAAAATTTGGGTTTATTTACAATGAATTCAAACCTTAATTTTACTACTGGGATTTCATCAAAAGTTATAAAAGATTACTTATAACTTGTATCCTAATATTCTATATCAATCCTTTAGGTATTTTTAATATTAAAAAAAAAAAATTAATTTAAATTATTTAAAAAAGATGATAAACTTATTTTAGGATTTGTAGTTTAGCTAATTTATCTATCTCTTTTAACAAGAATTAAGCCTTTTTTTTCAATGTAACTTTACAGAATAGAACTATTCGTAGAAATTATGCTGGCAACTTTATTTTTCATAAGTATTGTGATGAATTAATAGTACTCAAATAATTCTATTTGCAGCTATCTTTTTATAGCTTTTAGTGCTTTTGTAGAGATTTTTATGATTTTGTGGATTATAAAATAACTTTTTAAATCTAAATTCTACAATATTTTTAATAACATAAAATAAAAGCTTTTGTATTACTTTCCTAAACTAAATAAATTCACATAAGTAAGTAAATTGTAAGTAAAGCACCTTACAGTATGGAGAAAAGTAAGAAAATAATTATTAGGATAAAACATTATTTAATATATCCATAATTAAATGGATAATAACAGTCGAATTTTTTTCAGTAATAATATATAAAAAACATAAGAAAATATTAAATAATCTTCAAAATTGCATAGTCCTTCAATATTAAATAATGAATAATGCATATCTTAAATGGATTATTATAAAGAAGCAAATTTCTAAAAATAATTTCCTAAATTAAAATAATCATAGTATTTATTTTAATCTTAAAATAGCCTTTTATTAGACAAAGAATATTAAAAATCTTAATAATAAAATTATAATTTAATTTAAAGTAATATTGAAAATAAATAGGAGAAAGTTAAAAATAATAATTTTTCAGATAAAAATAAATTTAAAACCTAAGGCACCAAAAAAATAAATAGAAATGAAGTAGATTTAGATTTATAGTAACCATAATCAAGTGGAAGGAGTTCTATAAGATTTAAGTTAGAAATATTTAACAAAAGATAAAACTAGTTAGATAACTTAATACCCTTAAGCTCTTTTGAATCAAGGTTTACATCTAAATCACCAAGAGAAAGCAATATTTTTAGTAAATTGTAAACCGAAAATGTTTCAAGATGTGAATTAAATGAAAAGTAAACTAAAGTAGTATTTGAAGATAATAAAGTATCAGAATAATTAGAATCAAAAATAAATTAATAAGAATATATAAATTTAAATGATTATAATGTTAACTAATTATAAATAAATTTAAAAGAAAAGATTAAATCTGTTCAAATTCCTAAAAAATAATTTGATGATTTTGAAATTAAAGATTGAAAGTTTTAGTATTTTATTTACATGTTATTTATTTTTAAATATACTGAAATACTCCCATGAATTTAATTCCTGTATTAACTAGAGTAAAATGCTATTTCGATTTACAATAAGCGAAATTTAACATTTTGATTTAATTAAGATAATTTGCAAATTTTGTGGGGAATATTTTAATTTTTGATTAAACATTTTGAAATTTTGATTAAAATTCGCGCAAATTTTATATGTAAAAAAATATTTAGATGTTTCGCTTTTAAAAATGAGTTCGTATTCCCATTATCATTTATGTTAAGTGAAGTTGTAAATAAGTCGGTTTTGCTAAGATTTTCTATTAGACATAATTGTTGAAAATATTATGTGGATATTTTGGCACATGATATGTTAGTTTAAAATAAAATTTTAAACTGTTTAATTTTCTATTTTAGTTATCAAATATTTCTAGAAAAAGATAGTTGTAAACTGCTTAATTTTTCTATTTTATTTGTTAGATATTTCTAGAAAATGATAATTCTAAAATAAATTAAAATGAAAAATCATATTTCAAAATTTATTACTCAAATCAATTACAAAAACTAAATTAATCAATAATTAAAAAATGGAAAGCGAAATTAGATATAAAGCAAATAAATATTTAAATTTTTTAAACTATAGAGCTTTAATAGATCCAAAAATTTCTCAAACAATATTTTATTCTTTGTTAGGAATTTCATCATACACACTTTTTAAATCGTTTAAAAAGTAACACACAATAAGTCATTTTAAGAAAGTAATTATGAATGCTCTTCAAAGTTAATAAAATCTATCAACAAACATATAAAATGAACTGATATATGTTTAAGGGAAAATCTAAACACATAGTTAATAATTAGGTAAAGATAGTCTATTTAAGATTTCAACATCCAGTCTTGATTAACTAGGATTGTATCGCAAAGTAGAAGTTTTCCATAATGCATCATAGTATCATAATTACATATGTGAATGGAAGGATCTAAGCATTTTGGAAAATATTAATAAATTATATAACGTTTCACCTATTAGATATAATGTTGTAACAAATGGTAATATTTTCTTAGAAGATTAGAAGCTAAGTACCCCTTTACTAATTTAGTTATCTGAGGACAATTTTGTTTGTCAATAAATAAATATCGAATTTATGAATTAATTAATTTCAGAAATTTATTCAAAAAAATAAAATCTTTAAAATGGTATCAACAAGGAAAATAATTAAACAAAACAAAATTCTTTGAATGAATTAGCAGAGAATCCCCTTGAAAGACTCATTTTTTCAGGAATGCATGTAGAAATAAACAAATAATATATTTAAATCATGAGAGAGAAAGGAAAACTGAATAAAGGAGATATTAGAATATCATTTCATGAAATATAAAAAATAGCAACAGCAACAGCTTTAGCTCTAAAAAAAAAAGATTGTTTAACTTAATTGCAATCATAAAACTCTGATCAAAAAATTGAATATTTTATTAATGGGAACAAACAATCTTGTAATACTTCATTATTTAGTTTTATAACTAAGGGTTTAATAAATTAAAAAGAATTAAATGATATCTTCTACTCATCTTCATAAACTGTTCTTCAAAGTGAATATAAAAAAATGGTGTTATATTGCATTATAATAAGCTCTCTATATTTATATTTATCATATTTCGTAGTTGGAAAAGAATTCTATAATGGAGTATTTAGAGAAGAAATTTCATAATAAATTTAGGAAATGTAAAATAAATCTGATTAAATTTAGCAAAGCATATTTGAAGTAGATAAAGACATGCTAAAAAGTACACTTACTTTTTCATCATTACATATTTTTAACTTAAAAGTTGCAAGCGTTATTAACCGGCTATATCCTTCTGGGTTTTTTATATTATCTATCATGCTTATATGCTATTCTTAATTTCACTTTCATTATGATGTTATTAATAAAATAGAGAACGATTTTAATCAACTTAAATTCAAAAAATTAAGATAAAACAATCGTGATATGATAAATTATTTAAATAAATCTACATGAAAAAATATAATTTTATATTAGATGAAATTAATAGAATTAGTCAGCAATAAATAAATTTATTAAAATTATATGAAGATTAAAAAACAAAATCAATTTTACATCAAATTTATTTTAATATTTTTATTTAATTTAAAATATCTTCAAATTTAATCGAATTGTATTTTTATAGATTTTCACATTAATGTTTCATAAATATTTTATTTCTTTAAAATTTTTATATCTTAAAAATTTAATTTATTTTATTGCATGTCAAGGTAAATATTTATTTTCTAAAATTTTACGTTTTACTATAATTGAATTAAAAATACTTAATTTCTTTTTATCGTAAAAATGATACTTTTTATTTAGTAATGCATCAAATTTTTAAAAAGGATAAAGTAATTTTGCAATTAAATATTAAATAAATTTGGGTAACATCTTTCTGGTGGTCACTACCTACGAATACTTGAAAAATGATAATTATCTTTATTTTTAAAAACTACAAAAAATAAATTTTTTTCAACAAATAATTATATATAAATTAATAATTTAATATCAATTTTAAGAAAGTATGCTATTTCTTGCATTAGATTTTGCAACAAAGTTAGGAATTTTCATTGAACTACCAGATGACAAAATATCTATTTAATCTGATTCCTATTCTTATTGATTTTCTTTAAGTTAATCTACAATACTCTGAGTTTTTAATACTTTGTCTTATTGAGCTTTTTTTAATATTAAGATTAGCAATAATTTTATAAAATTATTTTTACTTCTTAAAGTTTATGGATTTGTCAAAAGTCTATGAGAATTTAACTATTCTTCAGTTTCAGATTGATTTCTGTAATAAATATGATGCATATTACTTTTTTTGAGGCTAAATCTTTTTGCTCTTTCCTAATGGCTTGGAATGATTGTAGGAGAGACTTTATTAAAGTTGAAAAAATTAAATAAAAATTTTTTAAAAATTAAATTTTACTTTAACTACTAGAAGGTTCTAATAAAGCTCCTGAAAATTTAGATTTAATTTATTTTTTAATAAAAGATGATTATTATTACTTAAGTTAGTAAAATTTAGATTTTTTATAAACAAGCATCCAAAGTTTAATTGCCTTTTAAACAACTAAATCAGAATGTATGTCAGTCTTTGACATTAAAAATCTAATATAAATTGAATTTCTTATAGAAGATGGTAACTTGTTCAAGATAAATTAAACATATTTTTCAAAGTAAACTCTAAGAATAAGGAAAACTAAGAATCCACCATTTACTAATTAGCAAAGAAGTAGTAACATATAGAATATATAAATTTAAATCTATGTAACATCAGTATTAAGAAAATAGTTAAGGATACTAACCATCATCAAAGCAATCGTACTATTTTAATCTACTTATTAGTATCTCTTCATTTAATATGGCTTCACTAATATCAATAAAATGTAATAGATAGCTAATACGCAAAAGACAGCTAAGAACTTTGTTTCTTTATAAAAAATATACATTTAAATAAAAATAAATTTTTATAAAGCAATTTATTTACTTGGTTGTGGAGAGTCGTAGAAATTTAAAACAAGAATTAAAGATAATTTTAAGAAATATTTCATAATTTCCCAATAATATCCTCTAACATTATAATCTTAATAAATGTATCCATATCTTAATCTTACTGTCGCATTATTTAGCTAATTTCTTGATATATAAAGGACAGTAAAGACAAAAAGAGGGTAAATAAAACTATGGAAAATCAGACCAGGTCCAATTAAGAATAATATAAATGACAGATGCTGCTATGTATAACATTCATATGTATAATCAGCAATTATATATTTTTTTCCATCAAATTCTTAACAAGAAACTTAGGCTACCAAATTTTAAACAATGTTTGGTTAAGTATACTAAAACAAAAAAATTAGAGTGCAAATCACATGAGACTATTTTTTGAATAAATAATTTGATTTTTAATACTTTTATTGTTTTTGTTATTTTTTTAAAGAATAAAAATTCATTTTGCTAATTTATTTAAATTAAATAGAACTTTTACTTTTCTGATTGTAACATTATACTTCTTATGAATAAAAATCAGGTAAATTAAGAAAAGAACAATTGCAAATCCAAAAGGTGACAGTATTATCATTAAGGATCTCCAATACAAATGAGGCATGGATTCTGTAGATAATAATGCTACTTAGCATGCATTGTTAACAACTGCTGAACTAGATGGAGAACCTTTCATTTTAATTTAAGCAAAAAACTATAAATTAAATATGTTTTTTAACTAAATTTTTACCAAATATGTCTGGAGCAACTGCAACTACTTAAGGTAGATCAAGTGTATAATTTGAAATGAGCTTATATAACTATAAGAAATAAGTTAAAGCTTTTACTGCCATGTTAACCTCATTGTTTTAGCTTGATCTGCTAATACATGACAACTTGAGAACACGCATATAGAATGCTAATACTACCCTCTCAGAAGCTTTTAAGCATTATACTATGTTAAATAAGCAATATGCGACTATGATCAATGAAACTATAAGGGTTTCTCCTATAGCATATCCTATAGACATTTTTGTACAGTTAGTGCATCCATTCTTATTATCATACTAAAATTTATCTTGCCATATTACACCATTTTCATCACAAAATTAACAAAGTGGACCATAATGGCCTGTAGCACAATAATTTGTCTTTTGATCACCATTGCAACTAGATTTTGTCTAACATTAATAAATATTATCTGTTAAATTCGTACTTTTCCAATATCCAGCCTTGAGTTCCATTTAATTTTTATAGCAATAGCTGGTTTGGTCAGGACATCTTTAGCATTGTAAACTATTATCTACTTAAGAGGTAAATAAAGGTTAATTAAAAAATTAATATTACTTTTTGTTGGTGTTTGTAAGGAGTAAGTTCCCACAATACATTCAGAGCATAAATAAATTTGATTTGCTTATTTATAGATTTCTCCAATTTCACATTAACGGAAATTTAATTAATATTTATCTTAATAAACAGCTGATGATACTTTTAAAATATATGTTATTAAAATAAATTGATAAAATTAAAAAGTTACGTTTTTGAATAATATCATTAGAACTTAAGGGTTAATATTATTATATTCCTTCTGCTTACAGATATATGAATTAAGAGCTAAGAGGATTACCAATTAGTTGAATTCCTATAATTTAAAATCCCTCTATAGAAGAGATAAATTAACTAAATTGAGCAGTGTAAGATCCTACTACTCTTACTACATTTTCATCTAAGGATAGAAGAGTAAGCTTAATTTAGCTTAACTCATCACATATATCTTTAGGATATTAATTATTTTAACAACTTGTTACATTGTAGTAAAGTGCATTATTTTCTTCGTCATATATCTAAAATTATAAATTTATAAATCCTCCACTTTAAAGATTATTAATTTAAAATATGTCTTATTAAAGATTCTTTGATTCACTTTTGTCTTATTATTAATCTAGTAATCTAAAATTTTTTAAATTTAATTATTATGCTTTCACATATTAAATATATGAACCCCAGTTTTAACTATGAATAACTGCTACATTTTAAATAAATTATACTCCATTTGCTTAAAAGTATTAATGATTAAATTCTCTTGGTCTACCACCTACATATCTAATTGCACCTCCAATAAGAGCACTATTACTTTCAAATATATCGTTTTAAAGTTTCAAATATGAGTTAGATAAGTAAATGGCTCCACCACTATTTTAAGCACTGTTCCCTAAAAACTATGAATTGGTTATAGAAATACTACTGCTTTAACAATTTATTATAGCAATGCTACCTCCATTATAAGCAGAGTTATTAGTAAAATTTGTATTTCGAATTTCTAAATTGGTTGTTTAATATACTTGCAAAGATGATCCTGTACATTTTAAGCAATTTATAGAATCAAATGAAGAAAATGATATCTAAAGAGTGCTTCCTTAATAGTTAATAGCATTTTAGTTTGAATGAAAATCTTTAATATTTATTTAAGATAAATAAGCGATGTCGTTTTCTTCAACAGTAGTTGATATTTCGTCCTAAAAGTAGTTAACATAAGAAATTACCTATATATCCACTATTTAATTCAATTAAATGTCTTATAACAGCGAATTTTAATTCTGTTTGAAGTCAAAAATACTTTGATTACTATTACCTTTAATGTATTATATTGTAAAACCCGAAAGGGTTAAATTAGCTATTTTGTAAAATTAAAATAGATATTATTAAGTTTGGCTTATTATTAAAAACCTTCTTGTCGTATATTCATAATTTATTTATACAATGCTGAGGTTTTAAATATTTAAATTACTTACCAACTAAAATTTAAATAATGATACTAAGTCTTGAATATTTATATTCTATATTTAAATATTCTAAAAAGATACATTTGTGCAGTTTTAAATATCAAAAAGGCTAACCTATCCTCCTAGGTTAATTTATTAAATAGTAATATTTATAAATGAAATTTAAATCAAATTTGTCATTTTTATAGTTGTATTTACTTAATAAGATTAATTTAGTTATGAAAATGATACATTTTAAAGCGAAAATGTATTAGTCAAAGCATTAAATTAAGCAACTATCGGTTTAGAAAGAAGGATGAGATTTTAGTTTGATAGGGATACTTATTGATTCTGATTTTGAGAGAACAGATTAGCTTCTAAATTTAAGTTAGAATTTTATTAATTGCCAAAATATTAGACTTATGTGTTTAGTTATTACATTAAAGGAGTGTAATAAAGGAAACTAGTGCCATATATCTAATATTATTTTAATTAATATGTAAGTTAAAAATGAATGTTTATAAAACAAATTTTACCTATAATCTTATTCCTTAAGACTAATAATTAAATTGAGAAAAATAATCTTACAAATTAGAAAGCTAATTTTGAACTTAATAACCAGCTAAAGGATTTTAAATCTAAAGCAAGCAATTTTTAAAATAACTTTGTTAAGGGATTCCGTTAACAATGGGAATGTTAGCTTGGTAGCGAACAATGTTACCGCTAACTAATATTAACATATTTATCATATAGAGGTCAAAGTTTTTCTATATTGTTATATTATATATAGTCGGATATTAGAGTTAATATTTTAAAAGTAAATTATAGACTTGACTTTAAATATTTTAGTATGCTATGGTTATAAAGTTATTTTAGGCTGTAAAAACAAGCTCAGGAAAAGAAGGATTAATAATATATTATCTTATTTATTAAATAAATTTCGGGTCTTAAACTTGCCAGTAAAAATTAAATGTTTGCCTATCGTAGTAAGATATTGACCAAGGTATTTGAACTTTTATGTAAGATCCAACAATACTCAATTAAACAGAAAAAATTGAATTTATGTATGGTATGAAATTTATTTTTGTCATATTCATATTTGGAGTTAATGGATTTCTCTAAAATGAAAATATATCAATAACTCTATCATTAGCCAATACAGCATACAAATTACTATATTACTCATCAATGAATACAAAGCTTAAGGTACTAGAGTAAGGTACAATTGTCAGTTGATAATTTGTGAAATTTTGTATGTTTATTGTATATGTGTACATTTCTATTTAAGTAGATGAAACAAGCGATATCAAACTTAAATTTAAATTATAGTATGCATAGTAATAGGTCGATGATAATTTAAAAACTTATGTTTTATTTGCATAATTATAACGTATAAAACTTCCGTCTTAAGTTATTATTAACAAATCATTGTATTTTTGAACAAATTAAGATTAAACCAGAGAAGAAGGAAGGGCGATAGTATTGATAACTTAAAATGATTAACAATCGATCTGTAAAATAGTTGAATTAAATGTAGAGACAAATATCTAATTATTGATTGTTCCTATGATTTGACTTCCAAACATGTTTAGAGTTGAGTTACTGGGTAAAATTTAGAAGTTATCTGAATATTTTAAAAGTTATGTATAAGTTAATACATATACATTTTGATTGTAATAAACAATCTATATGTAATTAGAAAGTTATCCAACGAGTTTCACCATCTAATTTTAAGTTGTGTACCTTCTGACATATCCTAATCCGCCAACGAAATAGATATCTCCTGTTGAGCTTGTATAGTAGTCAATCTATTTTAACATATACTAATCTTAAAATTTAAAAGTACTAGTGATCTACTCTTAAATTGTTCTAATGCTTTTAAAATTTTTAAAATTAATTTATTTAAATTAAAATGATAAAAAATTTTTAAAGCTTTCAAAATAATTTTCCATTTTATAATTAATATATTATTTACTAAAAAGTTGATGTATCAGCTACACTCAAAGCGTTAAATTGGTTGTTCATAGCTGTTCCCCAAAACAAAAATATATTTTCATATGTATATCCTACATATTGCTTAGTAAGATAATTAAAAAACACAGTTATATATGAGCTAAGTTTTCCTATAAATAATAGATAATTGACATCATCCATCACTATCAATTTGATTGTTCCTATATCTAGATCTGTCTAACCACTTATTGAATACAAATAATTCCCATTTGTAATATCATAAGCATCAATACTATCTGAATTATCTCTTAAATATGAAAAAATTAAATTAAGTTTATCAGAGATTTTAAAGTCTCCGCAGTTTGTATTGCAAAGAATTGTTGATTTATAGGTCTGTGTTTATCTGTCTATGACTGTTAGTAGTTTACTAGAAGTAATAATTAGCCAATTATTTGAAGGTGAGAGCTTCTATAATGGAGGTATAGGTGAATTAGTTATTATTTCATTTTCTAGATTAAGAGTATAGTAATTTCTTACTTATATTCTATATTAGTTATAAATTAAATAAAATTTGTTGTAGTTAGAATCTAAATAAATTGTCTGGGCATTTTGTATTAAAAATTATGTTTTCACAGTATAATTTAGATAATTAAATGTAAATAGAGTTCCTTGTAATGTTAAAACAAATAACTATTATCTATTTTAATCAAATACTGCACTAACTATACCTATAATAGGAGTTGTTTGGTTAAATTATTAAATATTTAAAAATACTTAAAGTTATATTGTGTATGAATAAGACCAAACAATAACCTTTAAGTCTGTTAAACTTATTGAATGGCTTATAACCACATCATTCTAAATATCAAGAAATACATAATCGACTGTGGCATTATGTCCATTCATAAACTGAGTTGCAGTTTGATTTTTTTAATTAAACTTGTACAAATTCTATGTGCTTTCTTTTGAATAAGTAATCATATTTCCATTAACACTGTCTTAAATTACATTAACTGAATTTGTTGTAGGATGTCCATAATTAATAACAACATCTGATTTACTATACAAATCAACCACAATAACCTATTATCAATTAAATAATATTAATTATTTAATTGCAAAAATTTAAATTATAAAATAACCTTTCCAAGATTAAAAAGATATGCTTTTTTTAAGTAAGGATTAAAAATTGTATTTTATGTATTACAATAATCATTAACATAAATCTAGGTACTACATGAGTATCTACCAATTTAAAAGCTACCATCTGAAAATCCTATATAAGCCAGTGCATTATTTACTACACTAACGCTTGATATTTCATTTTTAAAAGGAAACACTTAACAAATTCTGAGGTTACTATAAAGTAAATAAAATACCTTTTTTTTAAATAAATTTTATTAATTTAGACAAAAATTATTTTTTTAAATATTTTTTTATTATTTGAATAATAATTTGTTCTTTTATGGTATAATTATGTAAAAATTTTTCATTATTCAAAAAAATTTGGATATTAATTTTTAAAAAAATAATAAAGAAATTAAATAAAATTTTTTTAATAAATTTAAGGTTTTAAGGGTTAATGTTAAAATAATAATTAAATTTATTAAAAATAAAAATATACTTAGTTGTCTAATTAATTAAATCCTGTATTCTAAAAATAGGTATACCCTGAAGATGTAACTTAAAACTAAGACTTATAAATCATACCAAAATTTTTTCTAGGTAAGGGAGAATTTGCTGGTTTATTAGATGCGTAAGTACTACCACTTGGTAAATATTAATACATAGTAGTTGAAGCAGTAATTATTAGAAAAGAATTTTATGAAGCAGAATATATTTAAGTTACTATGTTAGAATCTAGAGTTATGGATACTGAGGTAAGTGTTGGAAAAGTAACTATAGTCAAATTTACAGAATAATAGTTAACAATTACTTTTTATGTTTATTGAAAATACTATAACTCTTGGCATTGTTATTGAATTGTTGTATTTTTAGATACTGTATAATTAGATAAAAACTTGATTCTTAATAGGTATTGAGGAGAAGAATTATTATAAGTAGTTAGTGTTTCTAATAAATAAAAGGTATTACTATTAAATCCTAGTTATATTTAGCTGATGTTTTCAGAGTATTGTGTGTAATTATTGTTTACTATCTAAGTCTCGCTTGAATTAAAATTATAAATAAATAATTCTTTATTATTACTCATAAACAAATAATTGTTAAAAAATCCATAATTAGTTAGACTCAGCCATTAACTTGGCAAAGAATATGTATTTCTTTATGAGATTTAATATCTACTTATATTCCAGGTGATAAATATATTATTACTATAAAGAGATAAAAGTACTCCGTTCATGATAACTTACGAATAGATTATACTGGTTTAGCAAGATTACAAAGATAAGCACCAAGGAGGTAACTAAAAATATAAAGGCTTTTAGTTTAATATGCTATTCTAGATTATGTCCCATATTCCAAATGATCCATCTGAACTATACGAAATAATTAAGTTTTAACTTGTGTCCATTACTACTCCATTAACTTTTCCATAATGTTAGCTATACTTAGGTGAACTTTAGATCTGTTGAGATTATTTAAAAGCAAGTATAGAGTTTCCAGGCTAAATTTGACTTTAATAAATAGTTAATAATCTTCCAACAATTACATATGATATGTTACTAAAAGTATTTAATTATTAAATATCACCAATATAGTCATTTGTAGAAATTGCTGTAGGTAATATGTTAAGTAATTATAATTAAGAAGTAGAATTTGATTGTTATTACTATTGCTGAAAAGAAAATGCGTTTAGTCCTTTTTAATTTACAATTATGACTTAATTATTTATTAGCTTTGTAAAAAGAGTTGATTGAGTAAAATTAGCAATAGCTTTAATTGATTATTAGTTTATATTAAACTAAAAAACAATTATCTCAGTTTGGCTTATCGAGATTAACTAAACTATGTTAAGAGATTGATAGTTTTGAACTTAAATGCTAATATCAAAGAAAATATTCGATATTGCAGTAGTATGATTAGTATTGAATGCTAGAATTGAAGTATTATTGTTATTACTAATAATGTTAATACTTGTATTTTCTTAAAAAGTGACAATGAAGAAATCTGAATTCTACATGCTTTAAAAATTTGGGAAAGAAAATACTTAATTTATAGTGAAATTAAAATTTTAATAAATCTCATATCCATAGTTATTATTAATATCCCATTTAATAATCATATTGTTATTATCATAACTAATTAAATAGTTATTAAATTGGATTTAGTACCCAATAATAGGTGTTTAATGAACTCTATCAAAAAATGTAAAAAACTAATCTGTTTAGTCATTTTATTCTTATGAAAATAAAGATTTTACCCAGCTTTTGAGGAAAAACACAGCGAACTAGTTACTATCAAAGTAGTTCAATACTAAAATATTCTGATCTAAGTAAAAGCTATTGCTATTAACATATAAATTATCAGATAAATTTACGCTCGACTTCAGTAATCCATATTACATATCCCATGCAATCACTAAATTTCTGCTTATACTGATAAGCATTTAGCTGTATTCACCATCTAAGTTTTTAAAGGCTATAATTGGAGTATTATGGCCTTCAAGAGTCCCTATCGGATAAAATCCATATTCATCATTTTGTAGCTAGTAGACTTTTAAGTAGTTTTCGTTTATTGTTTGGTTTTATTAGCCGCTAACTATCAAAAGATTCTAATAAAGCTATGAGTTCATATTAAACTTGAAGTCTTTGCTACCGCTTAAAAATGTAACTTGGTCGCAATTATTAACTGAGATGCAAGCTTTATTTTATTAACTTTTTTCGAATCCTTAAGGACAATCTTATAAACAGGATTAAGTTGCTTCATAGTAGTAAGTTTGATTAGGACAATTAGATTAGCAAGTAAGCTAATCAGAACTGAGCGTATATCCTGGCTAACACTAATAGCATGTATTGTAGCTGCTGCAATATGCACATTTAGAATCGCAAAGTAATGCTTAAATTACTTTTGAGTAGAATCCAAATATTAAGAGAGAGCATATTAGTAACTAACTCATTATTAAATGCTTTAATAAACCTTTAATTTTCTTTCTATTTTACCTTAATAGTTAATTTGTATTAATTTAATTAATAAAAGTATGATATCCTCATTCTATTTAATGTTTTTAATATTGCCTCTTAATATCATCTATTTATTTAAGAATTAAAACTAATGGGCCTTTCTTTTATTTATAAAATTTAAATGTTTTCTTGAGCGTTAAATAGTAAATTTTTTAATTACAAAATGATCTATTAGCTAAAAAAAACAAACGTTATTTATTGAAATAGGGTTTATCTTAAAAGAAAACACTTATTGATTTGATGATACATTTATTAAAATCCTTTATAAAAAAAATGATATCTTCAAAAAATTAACACAAGTAGAGGAAAAATTAAGTTCAACTTATACTATTAATAATAATTAATGATGATTTATGGTGCCTATTTTACTTAAGAATTATAAATTATTAATATTACTCTTTGGGTAATGCTAGGAAAACTAAATTATTCAGGTCTGATTAAATTATATAATCATTAAATTAAAAATACTGTTAGATTATACATTTTAGTTATGAAGAGAGTTAAATTCTACTTCTTCCACTAAATTTTATTAAAAATATTTACAAAAATATCAAAGAATTTTTAAAGTAATCTTAATTTAAAAATAATTATAAAATTTAAATATTTATAATTTAATTTCTTCTGAATTATGAAAATATTTTTTTTTAATGAATGAAAAAACAATAATTGATCTTGAAATTTTTATGACATCACAATAATTTGTTTCTTACTTTAATACAGTTGAATGTAATTTAATTTCTAAAAGAGTTATCAAACCTACTGCTCTATTTTTGGTTTTAATTTCGTTCCAGTAAAAAAAAATTAATTCAAAGGTACTTTTTAGGATAAATTATGTATCATAAATTTCTTAATCAAGAATAATAAGGACTAACTCAATATTATTTTTCTTCTAGAATAATAATTTTTCCTCAATAACTAAATAGAATCATAAATTTAAAATTATTCATACAGTTATTTATTTAGCTAAGAAATAATATCATATTTTATAAATATAGCAGAACAGTAAATCAATTAATGCATAATTAGGTAAATTTATTTTTATAGTTCAATCAATTTCTATTTTATTTTTATAATATTTTTTAAATATGTTAGTAAACTGAAATTTTTTAAAATAAGATTTAAAATTATTAATGGAAAATAGATATTACTATTTTTGCTTGATAATTTTAGAAAACTGATTGATCTTTAAAGATATAAATAAATATTTTAATATAATATAAATAAAAAGGTAAATAAATTTTGAAGCAAAATTAAGATAGCCATAAGAATTAAAGATTTGAAAGTTAAATTATATATTTTAACATTATTATTAAATTTAATTACATAAATAAAACAGTAAGAGAGGGATTGTGTTCGTTACTTAGAAATAAATATAGCATACATATTTTTATTATAAAAAGTTAAAATTTAAAATTTATTTAAATAGTTATAGGTGTAACCTTTCACTATTTATCTCTCTATTACAAAAAAAAAAAATCTGCAATTAGCAATACTCTGATTAAATTACTAGTGGAATCAAAACCACTAGATTTTTAATTGGAAAAGTGCTTTTTTTTGAATTTCGAAGTAATAGTTTAAAAAATTATTTTTTATAAAATTTCTCATTGACTATTATTTTTTAGTGTTTGTTTAAATAAAAAAATTATTCTTTTCTATTAAGATTAGTTTTAATACAGAGTAGCTTTAATATATAAGTCGAAAGGTGTCTATAGGGACACTTTATGAAAATAAAGTAAAATATGTGAAATAAGATAAATGAATATATGAGTAGTTTAATACTAAAATATTATGATCTAAGTAAAAATTATTACTATTAACATATAAATAATCAGTTAAATTTACACTTGACTTCAGTAAATCCCATTCAATCACTAAATTTCTGCTTATACCGATAAGCATTTAACTGTATCCAGCATGTAAATTTTTAAATGCTAAAATTGGAATATCATGACCTTCAAGAGTCATTATCGTATAAAATCCATATTCATTGTTTTTTAGGTAGTAGACTTTAAAGTTTATTGGTTTATTGTTTGATTTTGTCAAAAGATTCTGATAAATCTATGAGTCCATATTAAACTTGAAATCTTTGCTACTGCTTAAAAATATAACTTGGTTATAATTACTAAATGAGATGCAAGCTTTATTTTATTAATTTTTTTCTAATCCTTAATGGCAATCTTATAAACAAGCAAATAAGCGAATAAGACAGAACGTGTATCCTGAATAACACTAATAGCTTTTATTATAGTTGTAATATGCATATTTAGAATCACAGAGTAATGCTAACATTATTTTTGAGTAGAATCCAAATATTAAGAGCAAGTATATTAGAAACCCATTATTGATGGCTTTAATAATCATTTAATTATCTTTCAGTTTTACCTTAATAGTTAATTTGTATTAATTTAATTAATAAATGTATGATATCCTCATTATATTTATTGTTTTTAATATGATCTCTTAATATCATCTATTTGCTAAAGGCTTAAAAATAATGGGTCTTTTTTTTTATTTATAAAATTAAAATGTTATTTTGAGCATAGCAAAGTTGTTAATTTCAAAAAACAAATATTAAAGGTAGAGTTTATCTTAAAATAAATCTCTTTATGATTTGGTGATTTGTTTCGTCCTCTCTTATATATAAAAATATGATTTTTCAAAAAATGCATGAGTAATAATTTAAAAAAACTCATTTAATGAGAAAAAATTAAGTTCAATTTATATTGCTAATCATAATTAAAAATAATCTATGGTCTTTACTTAAGAGTTATAAATCATTAATATTACTCCTTGGCTAATGCTTAGATAACTAAATTATATAGATCTTTTTTAATAAGTAATATTTGTGTTATGAATAGAGTTAAATTCTATTTTTCCACTTTCTATTTTAGTAACTATACTTATAAAAATATTAAAGAATTTTTAAAGTAATCTTAATTTAAAAATAATTATTAAAGTTGAATATTTATAATGTCTTTTCTTCTAAATTATGAAAATATTTTTTTTAAATGAATGAAAAAACAATAATTGCTCTTGAAAGTTTTATGACATCATAATGTTTTTCTTCTTAATTATAAACACATAATGTAATTCAACTCCAAAAAGAGTTATCAAACCTACTGCTCTTTTTTTGGTTTTAATTTCGTTCCAGTAAAATAAATAAAATTCAAACATACTTTTTACGATAAATTATTTATCATAAATTTCTTAATAAAAAATAATAAGGACTAATTCAATATTATTTTTCTTCAGATTAATAATATTTCTTTAAAAACTAAATAGTTCCTTAAATTTAAAATTACTCAATATTATTTAACTTTTATAAAAAGAGCACTCACTACTATATATCATTTAAATGCATGATTTATTAAATTTATTTTTAATCAAAAAAATATATTTTATTGCTCAATCTATTTCTATATAATTTTTAAATCTGTTTGTACAGTTTTTTACATTCATAAAGTTTTCTTTGAACTTTCAAAATAAAATTTGAAATTTTTTAATACTAAGTAAATATCACTTATGTATGCCTTAAGAATACATTAAATAAGATTATAAATTTATTATAACTCAAAAATATTTTTTTGCATAAAATTTCATTTTTAAATTAAAATATTTGAAAAAAAATATTATTTTTGATAAAGTAAAAATATAAAATAATAATTAAAAGAGCTTAAATATAAAATTTCAAAAATTGTAAATAAATCTTTTTAAAAAATTAAACACGCAATAAATATATATTTTAAGTGTAATATTAAAATTTTAATTTCAATTAGAGTTTCAAATTAATGTTTCAGCTTAACCTTCTTTATCATCTTTATAAAATATAGTTTATTAATTTTATCCTAAAGTCTTTTTAATATCTTCCTATTATGCTTTAAATAAATATTAAATTACTACTTACAAAAATATAATAAATTTACTTTTTAAGGTATTAATTTAGCTTGCTTCAGATCTTAATAGGTATGGGCTTTTACATTCATTATTATTTTCTTCTTTTTAGTCAGTAAATAAATATTTTAAATCTTTATTTCTTAGTAATGAACTCAATCTCTCTTTTTCTGATTTATTTAAAATAATAAATTTAATAATAATAATATTTATTTTAATTTTTACTTTAAAATCTTTAATTCTTATGACTAAATTGATATTGCTTCAAAATTTATGGACCTTTTTATTATTTATTAAATTAAAACATTTATCTATATCTTTAAAGAATTTACTATTTTCTTAATTGAAATTAATTTAAGAGTTCTAAGCATACATTTATTTGATACTAAATGATTACATTTAAGCAATTTAGCCAAACTTAGATTTTTTATAAACTATCATCCATAATTTAACAGCTTATTAGCTTTATTTTTATATATTAATGTTAGCTTTTTTGACTAAAAATTTAAAAATAAAAGATTTTTAAATTCTTTTGGGCACAAATTTAATAATAAGCTAAAAGTATTTATTAAAGTAAATCTTTAAAATCGATAAGATTAAGTATCCTTCATTTAAATACTAGCATAATATTAGTAAGAAATAGAATATATAAGTCTATATGTCATTAATACTACTATTCAAAAAGTAGTTAAGTATACAAACAATCAAAAGCACAATAGTACTATTCTAGTCAATTTATTGATATTTCTTTAACTAATAAGGCTAAACTAATAAAAGTATCATATAGTATAATACAACTATAAAAAACAATGCTAAGTGCTTTGTTTCTATAAAAAAAAAATTAAAAACTTTAAATCAAATTAAATTAATTACTTATTTATTCAGGGTTAAAGAAGTTTTATGTAAAAATAATTGATAGCTTTAAGCCATATTTCACAAATTCCCAATAATAACCTTTTGTTTTATAATCTTAGTATATATATCCATATCTTAGTCTTGTTATGGCATTATTTAACTTATTTTTTGATTTAAACAGAATTATCAGTAATAATACTGGATAAATAAAACTATGAATAGCTAAACCTGGTCCAATCAAAAAATATATAAATTTACGGTGCTATTGTGTATAGCATTCGTAAGTATAATCAGCTGCTATATAATATTTGCCATCAAATTCTTAACAAGACATTTAAGATATCAAAGTTTGTACTATATTAGGCTACACAAACTAAAGTAAAAAGACGAAACCACTAATAATATGAGACTTTTATAAAATATTTTATTCAAAAAAATGAAAAAATAAAGGTATGAAAGCTTGATTTCTTTTTTAGTTTGAAAATTAATAGAAATAAAAAGAATAAAATCGAAAATATTTTTATTTTTAATTTAATTAACAAAATGATAAAAACAAAATTATTTTTGAAAAATATTTTGTAATTACTTTTTTTAAGATGAAGTTATATTTTTTGTGAGCAAATATAACATAAATCAGTAGTAAACCTACCATGTATATTAGAGGAGAAATAATCATTACTAAAGCTTTTAGATATAAATGTGGCATTTCTTATGAAGTCAAATATGCTAATTCACAAGAATTAGTAAACAAAGAAGAGCTAGCAGGTGAACCTAATTAAAAATATTTAATTTAAATCATGCAATAAAAAATATTTACCAAACAAGTTTGGTGTAAGTTAAACTAATTAGGGGAGAGCCAAACTATAAGTAGATATAAGCTTGTATAATTACATAAATGAAGTTAATGCCTTGACAGCTATATTCACTTCATTATTTTGACTGGATTTACTAATACAAGAAATTTTTAGCATACGCAAATAATATGCTTGAATTACTTTTTCAGAAGCTCTTAGAGAAGAAACTATATTAAATATACAGTAAGAAATTAGTATAGTAGCAACCAGTAAACCTTATCCTACTGCATATATTATTGTCCTTTTTGAACAATTAATACATCCATTTTAATTATCATATTAAAATTTATCTCCCCATTATGCTCCATATTCATCACAAAATTAGCAAATAGGCCCATAGTGTCCTTCGCTACAGTAATTTTAATCCTAATTACCCTAACAGCTTGAAGGAGTTTAGCATCTATAAATATTATCTGTCAAATTTTAACTCTTCCAATAACCTTATTTCAATTGCATTTAATCTCTAAAACAATAACTTGCTTCCTCTGGGCATCTTTGGCATTATTAATAGTCATCTATAATTAATTAATTAATTAATTAACTATTATAAATTATTTAAAATTTATAATTTACTTTTGTTTGGATTTAAAATAGAATAAGATCCTACTGAACATTACACACATTAGTATATTTTATTCACAAGCCTATAAATTTCACCAATTTTACAGTCACGAAAGTTCAATTACAAATTTTAGGAAAATATATCTTTTGAAACTATTTTAAAAAAATTTTTTTTAAAGTAATTTTAATTTAAAAATTTTTATTTACTATTCTGTACAATATCATTTACCCCAAGAGGTAGGTATTGATATATTCCTAGTATTTATAAAACTATTACTTAGGAGGTCAAAGGATTTCCTATCAATTAAATTCCTGATATTTAAAAACTCTTTATTGTCGTATTAAACTCATTAAATTATGCAGTGTAAGATCCTACAACTCTGACTAAACTATCATCTGTAGAGAGTAAAGTTAACTTTAATTAAGATAATTCTATGCATATTTCTTCAGGATATACTTGATTAAAACAATTTTATACTTAGTATGATAAAATGTTATTTTCTTCATCAAATATCTAAAGCTGTAAGTTTATAAATCCACTGCTTTATAAATTATTTATTTGAAATCCATTACTTTATTAAGTTATTCTATTCACTTAGTAAATTTCATTACTAATATTGATATCTTTTAATAATCTTCCTGAGGTTTTCTGATTGTATTATTAAACTTAAACTGATTTTAAGTAAGAACCCCAGTTTTGGCTATGTATATCAGCTTTATTATTTATAAATTTCACATTATTTTCAATAAAATATGCTGAACTGAAATTTATAGGTTTTGATTTTAAGTATCTTATTGCTCCACCTATTAATGCTTTGTTATCCTAAAAAATAACATTTTATAGATTTAAAAAAGAACTAGAAAGGTACAAAGCACCACCGCTACTTGATGCAATATTATTTTTAAATATTGAATTTTATATAGAAATATTGTTTGTTAAGCAGAAAAGGATGGATATGCTTCCTCCATTTTTACCTTAATTAAAAATAAAAGTACTATTATTTATAAATATGTTACTTGTTTCTTACAATTACATTACAGAACCTAAGCATGATTAACAAACAATATTTTAAAATTATGAATTTAAAATATGTAGAGCTGTTCCTTAAAAGGTAATAGAACTGAGGCTTGAATGGCTGTAGCCGAGTATTATAGAGCTATTCATCATTAAAAAATCGTTATTTTCAATAACAGTTGATATTTACTTTTGAAAATAATTTGTATATGTCATAATTTGAATATCAATTATTTAATGAAATGTATTATTATTCACAATAATTCTTTAATTTTATTTAATATCATAAATACTTTATGCAGAATTACCATTTAACTTTGAAATTATTGTATTTTAAATCTAAAGAGTTTCTATCTAATAGAACTAAAAAACAGATTAGAATAATAATATATTCTATTGAAGCAGCCTATTTGAATTTTTTATGTAGGAAAGAAGACTCAAATTTAAATCAGATATTATCAAATTGTTAATTGTTTCAAATTTAAAAATAGATATTAAATCTAATATTTAAATCTGATTTAGGCTAATATTTTTCAACAGTATATTTTAGCAATTTGAAAAGTTAAATAAACTAACATTTCCAAAAAATTTAATGTTTTAAATATCAATATTGATAAATTCAACATTTATCATATTTTATATAGTAATAGTTGTATTAACATAAGAATTCATATCTTCTTATATAAAAGAAACATCTTTAAAACTTATAAAATTTGTCATAGGGCTAAATTGAGATATTACTTATTTTGTAATTAAAACAATAGTCTGATTAGTAAGAGTCACTTTGTTATTATAATTCCTAGTAAATAAATCTTCTTCTAAATTCAGCTTATTCTGGTTATTATCTCCAAAATACTCAACATCAGCTTACAGAGTTTGCATTATTTAATCATAGTACAAAAATTGAGATCCATATATCTAAAAATAATATAAAAAATAAATAAATAATATTAAAAAAAAAAAAATTGCTTACTTCTAATTAAATTCCAGTTGATTAGTAATTAAATATTTAAAAATAATTCTGCAACTAAGTTAATTAATTTTGAACTTAGTAACCTGCTAGAGGGTCTTATATTTATACCAAACAATTATAGAAATAATATTATTATGGGATACCATTAATTATTGGTATGTTTAATACATAATTAACAATGTCTCCACTAACTAATATAGTTAGATTGATCAAAAATTAATCAAATGTTTTTAATATAGCAGTATTATAAATTATAGGATAATCCAATTATACTTATACTAAAAGCTTGAATTGTTTATTTGTTAAATTTGAATAAGCTATAGATAATAAGTTATTTTATAACAAAAAAACAAGCTCAGGATAGTTTAAGTCTTTCCTATAATATCTAATCGATTATATAAATAATGGATCTTATATTTACCAGTAAAAATTATATGTTTATCTATTGTAATATGAAATTGACCATGGAATACTTACTCTAATATATTAATCTTCTAAATCCAATTTTACTGAATAGATGCTATTTATATATGGAATGTAATTCACTTTTTAAATAGAAATTGAAGGATTATTTGGATATTTCTAATATGAATAAATATCAATTATTCTATCGTTTGCTTAAACTGCATATAAACTATTATATAACTCATCTATAAAAATATAATTTAAAATTATATTATTTGGATATGTTATATTTGCTATCATTAAGTTTGTAAAATTAGATAAAAGTTTACTATATTCATAAATTTCAATAGACTAGTTTATAGTTGAAGCTATAAAAATAATAGACAAATTAAGATTATAATAGCAATAATAATACCCTGCTGAAATGCTCATTAAGAGAGTATAATTGGCATAATTATATCTAATAAAGTCACCTTTTGTCGTTATTAATAATAGGTCTGTAAAATTCTACACAAATTAGTATTACAACAAAGAAGATTACAGAGCAATCGTATTAATTATTTTAAAGGTGTCGTAATCTATCTACAAAATAGTGTTGTTAAATGTTGAAACAAAAATTTAATTATTGAGTGTTCCCATTATTTAATCCCCATATATATTTATAGGCAAGTATTAATTTAGCATTTAAAATTCTTCTGAATATTTCAGTAATTAAGTGTATGTGAGAATATATAAAAAGTTGTTATAGTAGGAAATTTATCGATATTATAAATTTTAATTGATCAATTTTACCATCATATCACTTTATCTATATCTCCTAACATTTCCTATAGCATCTATATAATACATATCTCCAGAAGAGCTTGTGTAATAATCAATATTTTTTAATAGGTAATTATCTTAGAATTTAAAAGTACTAGTAATTTATTCTTCAATAGATCTTAAACTTTTTATATTTAAAAAACAAATAAATATAAAAATTGTCTTTCATTAACATTCTAATCCCCTATAAAAAATGGATACTTAAATACCCAAAAAAATATTAATTATTAATTTTAATAGGATTATGTTCAAGAAGGATGTATGTAAATCAATGAGTAAATTAAAAAGGAAATTTAATTTTAAAAATGAGGATATAAATTTTTAACTTACTAGTATCGAAACCCATCTGCAACTTAAAAAGCATTGAATTGATTAATCATAGCTGCGCCATAATAAATAGTAGCCCCTTCAAAAGCATAACCAACATATTATTATGTTAGATAATTAAAAAAAACAGTAATATATGCACTCAACTTTCCAATAAAAAGCAAATAGTTAACATCGTCACTAACTATGTATTTAATGGCACCAATATCAAGATCTTGCTACCCATAAATAGAATACAAATATTTTCCACTTTTATTATCAAATATATCAACACTATCTGAATAATTTAGGATATAAGAAAAAGTAAGATCTAATTTATCTGAAATCAAAAAATTTCCACAATTTGAATTACATAGAATTGTTGATTAATAATTTTATTTATATCTGTTAATAACAGTTATTAATGTCTTTGATAAAATTATAATCCATTTTTATGAAGGCTATAACTTTTAGCTAGTTAAAGGTGAATTTACTTAAATTTCATTTTCAAGAGATAATGTTTGATAATTTCTTATTTAAATAAAATATGTGTTATATAAAATGTAAAACTTAGGATATAAAGTATCTAAGTAAAACTCTACTCCTAAAGGAACAAAAAATTAAGAAGAAACTGTGTAAGTAATATAGTTAAAAATAAAAAGTGTTCCCTATTTAGTGAGGATAAGTACCTATTATCTCTACTGATCATATAAAGCGCGTACAACACTTAGGATTGGAGTTTATTAGTTAAAAATGAATAAATCTGTAAATACTTTCAGCTATAAGGAATAGGAGTATTACCAAATTATCACTTTCAAATCTGTGAGAGTTACTGAATGACTTATAAGAATATCATTATCAATATCTAGAAATACAAAATCTACTGTACCAGTATGTCCATTTAAAAATTAAGTTGCAACTTGTGTATTTACATTAAATTTATATAAGTTTTTAGTACTTTCTAGAGAATATGTTATTAAATATCCATTTTTTTAATCTTAGATTACACCAAGTTTAGGAGTAGTTGGATGCCCATAAGCAAGCTACAAATCAGTTTTGCTATACATATCAATTACTATAATCTTTGTTTAAAAAAAATTAAACCAATTTAATTACAAAATAATTAAATTACTTTTGACAAATCAAACGTATATACTTTCTTTGTATATGGATTTGAGATAGTATTCCATGTATTGCAAGTATCAGCAGAATAAATGAAAGTACTACAACTATATTAAGCAATTTTAAAATTTCCACTCTTGAATCCTACAAAAATAAGCTAATCATTTACTATACTTACGCTTGATATTTCTTCCTTAAAAGGGTAAACAGAACAAGTTCTGAGATTGTTAAAAATAGTATTAATTACCTAATATTATTTTTTAAATTTTTAATAATTATATTTTTTTAAATTATTTTTAGAATTAAATTTAAATTATTTAAAAACTAAAAGATTTAATTTTCAAATTTATTAAAGAGAATAATTTTACTTAATTATCCATTTTAGGAAAACCTGTATTTTAAAAATAAGAAAACCCAGATGAAGTAAGAGTAAATTAATTTTTATAAACCATTCCAAAATTTCTTCTAGGTAAAGGTACATTAGCTGGTGTATTACTAATATAAGTATTTCCGCTTTGAATATACTAAAACATATAAGCAGATTTAGTTATTATCAAAAATTAATTTTGAATAGGAGAATATATTTGAGTTATAATATCTGTATCAACTGTAAAGGATAATTAAGTTAAAGAGGGAAATTTAACAACAGTCAATTAAGGTGAATAATAATTAACTACAATAATCTAAGCAAGCTAAAAATATTCTAGCTCAAGACATTTTTAAAGTATCGTTATATTAGAAACATTTGTAAAATTTGATAGTAGTTTCACTCTTAGTATTGAATTAGATTTTTATTGGGTATTAATCACTAATGTTTCGATATAATAAAATGTATTGTTATAGAATGCTAACTAAACCTAACTTACATTTTAATTTAATAAATTATAATTGTTGTTAATAATTTAAGTTTCACTAGTATTAAAATTAAATATTTAAATTTCCTTATTATTGCTCAAATAGAAAAGATTATTAAATAATCCATAATTAGAAAATTATAAATACTAGCTTGGTAGATTATATGTATTCCTTAAAGAAATAGAGTAGCGACTAAAATTCCATGTGATGAATTAATTATTAGAATATAAGCATAAAAGTATGCCTCTACTTACTATTAATGATTTTAAAATAGCAGTTTTACATTAATCAAATGATGAGCACCATGGTGGTAAATTGAACATAATAGGTTTTTAATTTATTATGTTATTTTTAATGACATCCCAAATAGCAAAAGAACCATCAGAGCTATAACTGATATACAAATTTTAGCTAGAATCCATGACCACACCATTAACCATACCGTAATGTTTATTATAAAGACTAGATTTTTATAGAATTTGAGATGCTTTTGTTGTTATTTGAATATTATTCATCTGAGAAATTATTTAATATTAAGTAAGTTGTGCTCCAATTAATATGTAGCTTATAGTATTAGTATTATTTAAAACTACTATATCATTAATATAGTCATTTTAAGCTAAAGTTGCGTTAATAATGCTAAATAAATAAGAAAGCTAAGGTTTTTGAGAGAAATAAGTTAAGTAACTTAAACCATTAGTTGTGGTAAATATTACTTAATTATTTATTAATTTTGAGTATAATACTTATTATTAAAAAATGGTTGTCTACACATAAAGTTATTAATGCATGTTAAGCTAAAAAATTATTATTTCTGCCTTGCTTATAGAAATTAAATTTACTATACCATTCTACAAATCCTCTTTATCTTATATAGTCTCATCAAAAAATATATTTTAAATTGCAAATTAATGGTTTGTGTTGAATAAAAATACTTAAGGGTAATTATTGTTATTATTCAAAACTAAATTAACTTTAGTATTATTTTAAAATGTTGCTATGAAAAACTCTAAATTATTCTAATCCTGATAATTTGGAAAAGAGACCACTTGATTAATAGAGTAATTAAAATTTTTGTAAATTTACTAACTATTGACATAACCAATTTTCCATTAAATTACTATATTACTTCCATCATAGCTTAAAAATGAGTTATTCTAAAGAAGTTAATAACCTAGAATTGGTGTTGGATGTACTTAATTGTAAAGCTGAAAGAATTAAGATGAGACTTCTTGATTAGAAGTATATAATGAGTCTACCCAGTTTTTTACATAAAATAAAGCAAATTAAGTTGTATCAAAGTAATTTAAAATTAGAATGTTTTAATCGAGGTAATAAGAGTTTGGATTAATAAAAAGGTAATTGCTTAATGTAATATTAGATTTCAAAAGCCCATATTACAAATCCCAAGCAATTATTTTATTTTTACTTATACTAACCAGAATTGAGTTATTATTTGATTCTAATGAAACGAACGAAATAATCTAATCATTTTGCCCATTTAAATTTCCAGTTGAGTAAAAACCATACTCGTCATTTTTAATTTAGTATATTTTGAGATATTATTCATTAAAAGTCATATTTTATTTTCCGCTTACAACCAAGAGATTTTAGTAAAGATAGGCCTTAATATTATATTTGAAATCTTCATTACTTCCTTAATAGCTTAATCTGTGACAGTAATTAATTGAGTTGCATGCTCTGCGGATGTTGTCTTTTTCAAAGCCTTATGGACAATTAGATAAGCATTCTTAAGTGGGTTCAAAAAAATATGTTCCCTAACTGCAATTTGAGTTACAAGTATTACTATTTGTATCAAAAGTATACCCCTATTAACAATTATAGCATATTTAAGATATACCACAGTATGTGCACTTTAAATCGCATAATTGCATTTTCATAAATGGAATTAGTATGCTAACAAGAATATATAATTTTTTTAAATTGTTCATCATTTCTTACTTATTGAAATAACAGATTGACCCTTCTTTGTTTTTATTCTTTTTTAATACTTCTATCTAATATACAAATTAATATATTCTTTTCTTTTCTTCTTCTCTTCTTATATATTCTGATTTAGTTTAATTGCTTAATAATTTATAAACACCTATTTTTTAAATGTTATGTGGTTTTTAATAAATTAATAGTATTAGAAAAATCTAACCTCTCTCCTTTTATACTTATTTTATTAGGACTTGAAAGGATAAAAGAGAGACTAATTAAAAGATAGTATCAAATTTTTATGTATAAGTAAAATAATAAGTAAATAAAAGTTATGTATCTATTTTTCTATAAAAAATAAAGATAATTTTCCATAAATATTTGATTAAATTAAAAATTAAAATTGTATTTTAAAGTTTTTCCTTTTATTTTATGGTTACATTAAAATTGTAGATATTACTTTACATTTTCAAATAGAGCATTTTGTTTTTTAAGATTAGATTTCTATCAATTAAACATTTATTAAATAATAAAGTGGGGAAAAGTGAGCTAGCCCAGTTTTTTACTTGAAGTCAACTTAGATTTTAAATTTTATTTATTTTTTCATTAATCTAAATAAAGACATTACTGATTTATATCTATATGCTATTGTTTCTGAAAGTCAAAAGTAAAGAATAGTAATACAATTATTTTCAAATTATTTATTTTAATTATAATATATATCTTAAAATTTATTTTTGAGAGTTAAATTTATTTTATTTATATTTTTTATGTAAAGAATTTACAAAATAAAAGTATTATACTTAATAAAAACATTGTAATATTATAAAGTGAATTTAGTTTACATAAATTTGAATGGAATATATTCAATATTTTTTTGTTTATCACATACTATTTTAAACGTCAAACAAATGAGTAAGTTAAATAAAACTTGTCATATTTAAGTTAAAAATCCACATATAATATCAACCCATTGATAAACATACTTACTAATAATCAAATCATAACTTATAAAAAAATCAAATGAGTCACTAAAATCTAAATTCAAATGATCAAATTTTTATTTAAATTGAACATAATTTGTGAATTAATTAATAATCTTATCTAAAATAGCAATATCAAGGCTAACAGATAACTCAATCTAATTACTTTTTAAAGGAAAGTTAGAAACAATAATGAAATTTTACTCACTTTTAATAGCTTTTTAAATTATTTATTTAGCTATTTCTTAGCAAATTAAGTGTGGTTATATGTGTTCTTAGTGTGATTTCTTAGGAAATTGCTAAGAGTGCATGCAAGGATTTTATTTAAATCCAGATATAGGTTAATGCTAATCTAATTGCGCCTAAAAAAATTATTATCTCAATTTAGATAAGTAATTATGCTAACCAATCTGCGATTATGGATACTAAGAGTCAAAAAACAATTTTATTTGTGTAAAAAACTAGAAATGCTCTCTTGTGTAAGAATACGGCATAAATCAAAGATAAATCATAGATTCTACTTTAGTTGGATCTGATTTTATCGTTTTATGTTAATCTTTTAACTCTACTTCTAGCAAATATTCATATTTTTTGAGAATATATGATTAAAATCTTAATTTTAAAGGAGAAGTGTAATAATTAAATGATGCTATTAAAAAATATTATTATGATGAAAATAATAATATCTTTATCACATGCTCATTGACTTAAATAATTTTTTGGTAGGCATCAACTTGGAAAGTTAAAAGAATTGATCTTCTATCAAATTATGTTTCAACAAATAAATATGTAGTTTTTCTTGATCAGAACTATCTAATTTTATAAGATTAATCTGAAAAAATATTCACATGCTTTAATATTGCTAACTAATCTTAAGGTACAAATGCATTTAATTTTAGCATTCAAATTTAACCTCTATAACAAGGTTAACTGAAAATCTTTAAAGGTCTCAATGATTTCTTTTACACCTCATTTTAATAGACTGGATTTTTCTAATGGAATATTGCCTTTAATAATTAAACATAATAACCCACTCAATATTGTAATAGTACCATGATTGCAGGAGGACTTGCAGCTATTAACGATGATTATATTGTTTTTGGAATGTCTGTTAATAATAATTTGGGTGTTTGGAGAAGAAATTAATAATAGTTCTATCAAATAAATATTTCTTCTTATCAATCTATCACTTCTTTTATTTTAATACCTTAATTGTAATCAACTAACCAAATAAACTTAATAGCAATAAGCTAAAATTAATGTATGATATTATAATCTTAAAACATATCTAGCGATTTTTAACTCTAAAATAGTACATAAATGAATGTTACCTTTTAAGTTAGTTACAAGCAAAATTTTTTATACATAAGATCAAATTAAACATTTATCTTATTTTCTCTTCAAAACTAATAACTCACTTACTTTCTATCAGGAAATCCATAGAGTCCAGATAGTTAATAATATTAAAGCATGTATTACTATAACAACTAAATATATGAGTTTTATCAAAATACTATGTTCATAAGCTAGTTAGCTTAATAATAATAGTAGCCATCTTAATTGCAATATTAGTTAGTGAAAAAATCAGAAAATATTAATTTTTACTAAACAACAACTGTAGATATCATAAATTCAATGACTTTAGATCCAAATTATGATGGATAATTAATCGTTGCTGGAAATGATGGGTCAATAAGAGTGTATGAAGTTGTTGATAGTGATAATTTAAGTTTTTTATAACTATTTGTTTAATATCATCCTTCATGCAGCTAGAATCTTGTTAATCAAATATGCAATGCAGCTAATTAAATTACTGTCTCTGATTTAGGTTATTATTATGTCATTTACAAAAATCCAACTGCTTAATTTGTAACTGTATGGCAAAGAAATCCATATTCACTAACTTTTATTTCTGATTATACTCTAGAAATTTCTCCTACGAGCACCATTTTAAATTGCCTAGTTTAATAGAATTTTCTTTTGATTTAAAATACTAACCAATTAAAAATTATTGATTTTTAAAAACAAGCTCTATTGGTAAATGAAACTTATACTTCGACATAAAAACTTTATTATGTGACTCTTGATAATCTTTGGGGGAATAATATGATAATTTACCTTTATACAGACACCTTATCTATAAGACCTTTAACAAACAAAACAGCTGTTTTTACTAATAATTATATAAATATTTATGGATCAACATTTTATAACCAATCCTTTCTTAAAGCATAATATTATCCTTAAAATAAGGTTTTAGCTTTTAACCTTTATTTTAATATAGTAGTTTACAATCTAACAGATTTTTCTAACTTGATGAAATCTTATACGAACGCAAATATCCATTAATTACATAATTTTTGCTATAACCCTGCCACTAATGCATCTATATATTAAGAATAATTCTTCAAAAATATTGGAGTTATTTAAGGAAATAACGTCTTATATAAGCAAGTAATTACAGGCTTTTTCACTCCATACTGCGGTTAAACAAATTAAAATATTTTCTATTACTTTGTTACTCCTAATGTGAATACTGTTTAGAACACTGTAAATTATTTCAAAATTTATTTATTTTTAATATCTATTATTAAATAGGTTTATGTTATGGTGATGCCTGATTTTCAAACTATTCACGTGTTATCATTTTAATAATAAATTACTTCATTAAAAGTAGATGAATAAAAGCTTATTTTGTATGTTTCTTTTTCTAATGGAGACATATTCTCAACCAAAATAATCTTAAACTTTACAATTAACTTGTAAAACTATAGCAATGTTTCTTAATTTTTTTATTCTAAAAATAAAAAATATTTTCTAATGTATTCAGGAGTAAATTTTTTAAATTACAATATTATTTAAAATATAAATTTAATTAAATAAAATTTAGTATAACATAATGGTTGTTGACTCTTTAACCTTACAACTTATAAAACAGTTTTCAACTCCTAATCAGTCTTCATATTCCTTATAATTTAATGAAGATTTGGATATCGTTATATTATACTAAAACAATTTTATCTATTAGTGGTAAATAAATTCTGGTTAACTATAACAATATACAACATTGCATTAAACTAACATTACTAACTGTTATGTAGATGGTATAACTAAAATATTAATAAGTCAATCTGCAGATTAATAAATTTTTGTTTGGGATATAATGAACATATAAAACTTATTTTAAATTTAATATCACTCAAATGATCTTTTGTTATTCAATAATAATTCGCAGTCTACATAAACATTTGCAATTAATTAAATTCTATTGCTATAAGATATTCATTATTTGATATCATTTAACACTTTAAATAAAATTTATATACACGATTTAATAAATAATAATTATTATTTGATGCAAGTCTAAACAAATATAATTATCTCAGGGTTAAATTATGATACTAAGTTTTAATACTTTTATATTTTTTTCATTTCAGATATTTCTTATACAGATATATATTAGTGGCAGCCTTCAAAAGACATAGAAAAAGCATTTTCTTTTAAAATGAGAGTTATAGGTTCTCAAGAAAAAGTTACATTAAAGGCTTAATTTCTTTATGACTGGACTTTTATTTTTGAATAGAGATAGATCACATAACTAGATAGATAATAACTGCTAACACAATTTGTAATTAATACTTTTAATCCTGAAGTTTAAGATCTTTTAGTATCATACAATTTAAGACAATTGATTTTTTGGAGTGATTGCTCTGTAGGTTTTTGCAGTCCAAAAGTTCCAATTTATTCATTAGATACTGGACTCTATATATCTGAAGTTCCATATGATCAGTAAACTTAAAATGGTATGATTATAAGATTGATGATAGATGAAAACACCAATAGCATTGTTATATTTAAAGATAAAGTACCAAAAATCATAGTTATATTTGATCTATTCAATCTCCAAATTGTTGGTCTATTTAGCCATATTACAGATGTATATAATTTTCCTTTAAATAATTATATTTTAATAGAAGAAACAGCAAATTTAATCATTTACAGTGGCACATCAGTAGAGTAAAAATAATTTATTTACTTCAATTAAGATTAAAATTTAACATTTTTTTTACTTACCATTAAATTTTATTTATTTTAGTTTAAATTTTATAGCTTTTGTTTTATAAAATGACCTACTCTCTAATATATTTATTTACGAATACTTTTTAAATAAAGGTCAATACAAATAGAACATTTACTTTCTCCATAAAGTAGAACTAAATCTATTCTTCCAAACAGAATTAAAAAATATCAATATTTTGATAATGGATAATTATACTTTTTTGATAGTAAAAGTTAGAGTTGGTTATTTAATGTTTAAAATAATAATTTAATGAATGCTGTCAATACGAATTCTTAAATGTATTCGTTAAATATAAAATACTTTTTTTTTGTTAACAATTACATTTATGTGATATATATTAATCAAATCATAAAAATAGACTTAAATTATTAGATCGTCTCTGCTTAAAAAAATGAAGTAGATAAATCTATTATGTTAGATAGTTCGCTTCTTATCACAGATTATTCAGGAAATATTCTTTAATATGATTTAAATTCTTTGAGTTAATTAGGATAAACCATTAAAATCGGATAAAGAGCTTATCAAATACTTTTAATATCAAGTCATAAATAAGTATTTATATCTACTAACAAAAATACGATCTATATTTTAAATTATATCTCATCTACTTTGGTAAAATGGTTTAATCCCACTTCTGATTAAATTTATAAAATGTATTTAGATTCTTAAAATAATATTCTATTTATAACTATGGTAAGTGGTTAATGCTTTGTCTTTGATAAAACAGCAATACAGAAAAGTAACTCATAGAATGCAACTTAATATTCAATATAGTTATCCTCATCTAACAGTCAAATTTATTAAATTGCTATTGAACCAGTTTCAGGAATATTTTTATCTTAAATTATACCTGCAAACACTATCCCTTAAATTAATTGCTATTCTTATTAGTTTAGTGATGCTTAGAGACTTTAATTAATAGGGTTAAGTTATTATGGATCTATTCCATCTTTTACAAGATCTGCAGATATGAAAATATAATTTATTCAGAGTTAAATTTTTATTTTCACTTCATATTAGCTTATGATTTATAATTAGGATTTAAGATTAGCTAATATGTTAAGGACAACTATCTTGTTTACTAATTTAAAAAAAATAATATTAATTCCTTCCCCTCAGAAAAATGTTACTTTATTTTTTGCTGAATAAGAAAATAGGATTTCATTTTACTCTTATCAAATTAATTTGATTTAGTTATATACTCATTCTTGTATAACACCTCACCTGATTGATTACTTATTGGTACAAATATCTTATGGTTTTCAAGTTAATATTTTAGTACTTTGTGATGATAGAGTTATTAACGATGAAATATACCTATAGGATATGTTGACATCTTTAAGCTAGATTTAAAGCTGCTATACCTAATCAAACTCAACCTTATATTATTAAGTAATTTATTTAAATTTTAAATTAATATTTAATATAATTTATAATCAATAGTTTTTACAGACACTCCAGAAGTTAGATTCATCTTTTCAATAACAAAATGCTAATCCCTAATAAGTTCGCATAGAAGTAACTTTACTATATTTAATAAAAAAAATTAATTATTTATTTAAATAATTTTAAAGTAACTCTAATAAACTGATTTTGGACCATATTAATCTAGTAGACTTATTACTTATTCTTAAAGAAACTTAGATACTTCTAATTTGAAAGATATGATAATAGTAGAAAACAGCTTTTTAGATTATTAATTTTAAGAATTAATATTATAAAATTTTGTTTTTGATATGAGTGTAGCATAATCTAGCATTTTATTTAGTAATTCTATAAACGAAATAATTTTAAATAACATTTAGATAGATTTTTCAAAATTGAACCACCAAAATCCTGAATCTTAATTTTATTTTAGTAACTTGACTTTAGTAATTTTAAACAACATAACTTTAAATAACTTTAACTTGTAAAGAAATGTACCTCTGCTATACTTTACAAATGTCTAATAAATAATTATTGATAGCTTAACAATAAGTCAGTTAAATCTAACTTGTAATGATTCAACTTTAATTTATTTTTAAAATGTCTAAGATATTTAAATTTATAATTTAAAAATTAAAATGTTGAATTTAAATGCTTAAAATAGTAATTAAATAATTTATTTAGAATTTGTCAATAGGTTCTTAATTTCAGGAGCTTTTCTTGAATAGCTTTACTCATCATAATAATAATCATTCTTAATGATATAAGGAGTGAAGAATATTACTTTATAGAATATTATATTCTAAGACTTCAGCTTACTTTCATTTTTAGTTTCAAATAATTTTTACTTTGTTGAAGATACTTAAGTTTTAGTTGAATAAAATATTGCTAACCTATATAACATTTCTTCAAGTCATAGCACTAAAATTTATTAAAGTTTAATTTTTTTTAATTACACTGATTACGTCAGCATATAAAATTGTTAGTTTTAGTATATTAAATGTGAAAATTGTCTTGGTGGAGTATTTTAAATTTATTCAGGAGTGAGCCATAAAATTTTTAATTCTACAGCTTTTTAAGTTACTGCTTAGATTGGAGGAGCTTTAGCGATATTAGAATGTCCAACTTGTGGCATCACTATTCAAAATTGTAATTTCTAAAACAACTAAGCTACAATTTATGGAGGAGCTATTTATCTGTAAAACTCAAATGTTTCAATAGAATAGTGTTTTATATAAAAAAACTAAGCTATGATTGGTGGCGGAATAAAATATACTTAAATAAAACCTATAATATCTGAAAATAAAATTATAAGGAATCTTAAATATGATGACTTATATAGTAATTATAGTAGTTTAAGCGCCGATACTGATTCTGATTTCAGAAATCTTTAAAAAAATTAGTAATTGATAAATAATAACATTGCTTAGATATATGGTAATAATATTGGTTCTTATCTTTAAAGCATAATAATTATTGAACCTAAATTATTAAATTTAGATATTAAAAATATTTAATAAAATTATGATTAGTAAGACGTTTCTGATTAATTTGTTCTAGAATCATACTAATTAAATAATTTTAGAAGTGGTGGCAGTCTTAATTTCTAAATTTAAGTTTTAGATGAAGAAGGTAATCCAATAAACTTTATTCCAAATTAGATTAAACAGATGAAGTATGAAACACTTATATTAAATGAATTACTAGCATTAAGTATAAAAATAGGCCCTTTACATAATGATAAGCTTAAAGTTTTCGGATAGTATACTGCAAATTTTGAATAATTTAATACAGAGACAAAGAGCTTTGTAATTTAAAATATGTAGATAGTTTCAAATCCTTCATCTTCTAATATTGTTAAGATTACTTCGGATTCTCTTATCAAAATTGACAAAACTACAAGATAGATTGACTTATAAAGTAAATTTTATTTATAAATTATTACTGATTTATTTAAAAATAAAAATAGATACAAATAAGTTATACAGTTTATTACAAGTGAATACAAGAGCATGTATTTCAGGAGAAGTTTATTTAAGTGTAGACTTAGTATACTAATGTTATGAGTGCCAATAAGGAACATATTTTTTAAATGAACCAACTTTAAGTAAATAAATTAAAAATTTTGTTTCAAAAAAAATTTTATTGAAAATAAATTCTTTCTCTTAACTCTTAAAAATTAAAATATTTTTTCAAGTATGTTATTTTATTAATCAACAAAATTTAAACAACAATTTAAAAAATAAAATAGCTGATAATGTCTGCATAAAGTGTCCATAAAATGCCTAATAATGTAAATTAAATTAAATTGATCTAATGCAAGGCTATTGGAGGATTAATAAATAATCTGATAGACTCATTTTATGTTCAAGAAACCCAAGCAATTGTGTTCCAAACGAAGCTAAAAACTACTGTGTTAAAGGGAATTATGGACCCCTTTGTGAATAGTGTGATGTATATGGAAATATTTGGGAAGAATAATATATTACTGATGGAAATTACAACTGTTATCCTTGCTCTGAATTATAGAATAGACCCTATTATTCTCTTTTAACTTTAAATCTATCTCTTATGATCTTATTTATTATTATAAGCGTATCTTTGTAGCTTCATTTTAGTAGGTGTATAGCAGCAAGCTATTATCTTAGGAAAATGTAATTAATAAGCATTAGTAAATCTGCTTTTTGGAATCAATCCTCTTTTGGGTTAAAAAGTTTAGTGAGTTTTTTACAAATAACTGGATTAATTTTTGCTTAATTAGAATTTTCTTTTCCTTTTGGGACTAGATTACTATCTAGTACTGTTGGTAATAATATATAAATTAATAAAATTGTTTTAATATTAATTATTCTCTTTTTAATAGGAATGCCTTCTACAAATTTATTTTATTCACTGGATTGTATTTTCGGAAAAATGTAAGAAATGTAAATTGTTTATTTCAGAACTCTATGGTCTTTATTCATACCAATCTTATATCTCATTTTCATTTAAGTTATTTTGGTGATATATGGATTTATTAAGCGTAGGTCTGCTAAGATTTTGATTATTAATGGAGCTACATTCTTATTTTTTTTTACTTAGAACAGTATTGTTTATCTTTTACTTAGAATGATGTCTTGTAGGTAGATAGATGGTATTTTATACATCAACAGCGATATAACATATGAATGCTTTACTAAAAATCATTTAAAGTTTATGAAATATATTGGAATCCCAGGTTTAATTGGATGGGTTCTGATTATACCTTTATTTATTTTTTACAAATTTTACAAAAAAAAGAAAGAATTAGATTAAGTAAGTTTTAGAGAAAAATATGGTCATCTTTATAATGAATATAAATCCAGATATTATTATTGGGATTTTATAAAAAGCTACAAAAAGCTTCTAACAACTGCGGTTTTGACACTCTATGTAAATCCTTTAGGTAATATTAAATTTTTTAATTGTTTTTATTTTGAATAATTATTTTTATAAAATTTAAATTAACTAGATAATAAACTTATCTTTGGATTTTTAGTTCAGCTTGCATATATTTAGATTTTATCTAGAGTCAAACCTCACTATAATAATTAGCTTTATAATATTGAGTTATTTATAGAATTGAGCTTAGCTGGTTTGCTATTTACAAGTATTTTGATAAATTAATCTTCAACACCAGAAAATTCTTATCCTCTTTACTTACTTATATCAATCAGCTCTTTTGTTGAATCTTCAATGGTAATATGGATTTCAAAAGAAGTCTTCAAAGTTCTATCTTTTTCGAATTACAATAAAATAAAATAAAAAATTATTTCTTTTTTGTCTTTTATTAATATAAAAAATCATAAAATTATAGTTGTATCTAACTCTATTAAACACCTATTTTTGTGGAAAAAGGCTAGAAAATAACTGGTTGGAAATAATATTTTTGAATATCTTAATAAGATAAGCTTTTAAAAAGAAGAAAGTAAAAACTTGCTTTCACCTTAAAGTCTCTATAATTCCTAAGCTGTTTAACATACTTTTAAACTGCTATCACCTTAATCATAGTAAGGTGAAAATATGCTTTCATAGTATAAATAGTAAAATTTTGAAAGATAATTTCCCAACTAATAACTAACATAATCTGCTTTTAAATTAGAAAATAGCTAAAAATTATAAAAAAGTTTAACAAAATTGCAACAAGGATAATAACAATAATAATCTATCTCATTAGTTTCTTCATAAGTTAAATTGCAATAACCCATAAATATATTTTAATAAAATCAAAAAGTATAATAAAGGTTTCAATAGAATTAAAAAGAAAAATTTAAATTGAAATTATTTAGACCTTAAAGTAATATATATGAATCATAATCAATTCAAAATAGTCAAAAAAATCTGTTTGAAAGAAATTCTATAAATTAAAATAGCGCAAAAATTATAGAGTAATCTGAAATCATTGAAAATTCGAAGAGTCTTTCAAATAAAAACATAAAGCACACTACAGAAGGGATAGATAATCATTTTTAAAATGATAAAAAATCTAATTAACTTCTTGAATAACAAGAATTAAATTAAAACTTAAATGATATTTTATAAAACAGTAATATTTTCTAAAAATAGTAACATATTCCAACTAACTTTTAAGATGATGATCAAATAGAATTTATGAATCATGAAGAACAACCTAATTAATAACTAAATATTAATGCAAATTAAATCTTTTCCTAAAATTAATCACAAATAATAATTAAAGACGATGAAGGTGAGGATTTATAAATAACCGAAATTAATCAAAGAGAAAGAATAAAATAAGTTAGGATACCTGCTAATAATTATAATGATGAAGTTGATTCTATTGAAGATTGAAATATATTTATTACCAATTGTATTACTGAAAAATTAATTACTGTTTTATATTACATTTTAGTACTTTTAATTATGGAAAATTTTTAAAATCCATTTCTTTTTCCCTCTCTTTGATTTTTAATGTTATTTGAATATATTTCTTTGATTTTTAGATTATTATTCGTAGGGTAATTAATTTATTGATATAATTCATTTTTAGACCTGAAAATTAGTTCATATATCCTGAACTGTTAAATTTGTTAATAAAACACTTGAAAAGGAAATTAAAAAGGATGATCAAATATAAAAATCAAAGATTTACATTTTTCTTTAATGTGATTATGAATTCAGTAAGTTCTTTATACAGTAATATCATTTGATTATATATTTGATAAAAATAATATCTCAAGTATAATAGATAGAAAAATCAAAGTTTCTTTACTTAAATATTAAAGAGAAAATTAACAATTTTTGATTTAAAATTATTTTTGTTCAATTAATAAAAGGCAAAAATAAAAATTATTTTCAAATAAAGTATTGCTTAGTAAGAATTTCCAAAAAAAATAGTTAAATACTCTTTAATCTTATTATTTTCAAGTTTTTTTTATTTTGATAACTCAAATACCATTTTTCCATATTTTGATATTATAATAATTGTAAAATAATATAATAATAAATCTATTAATTGTTTATACTTAATATTTCATAGTTAATATTGATCCTTTTTAAATATTTTTTATGTTTTATTAATTATTTATTTCTTGCTTGAAAGCTGATATCTCTTTTCTCATTATGTTACATCATTCATTATTATATAATAAAGAAAAATTCAGCCTCAATCTTAAATATGATTGGCTATTTAAAAGTACAAAAAAAAATTTAATTATACTACTAAAGACTATTTATGTAATTTAAAATTTTTATTGTTTAAAAATACAATATGTTTTTTAATATGATTTGACAAAATTTATTTGATCAAACTTGAAATGATAGGAATTAATAATAATTTGTTTAGAAATTGGTAATTAACTATTTTTGCTCATGTATTATTAACAAAATCAATTATATCTCGCTATTACTATCTAATATTATCCTTCTTTATTAATTAACTGGTTTTCTAATGGATAGGTTTTTTAAAAGTTTTAACTTCTATTCTTGTACGTTTCAATCAAATAAAAAAGAGGCAAATAACAAGCTAAATAAAAATAATAATTATAATTACTAATTTTACTATTACTATCTAATAATTGATATGAATATTGTTTTAGCTCTTTATCTCTTTATATTTACATATAAAGTAATTGCACAGCAAATTTAATGCGGGTTTATGTGTTCTTAATGCGATCTGCTTGGAAATTGCCTGCAGTGCTAATAAGGATTTCTACTTAACAAATAAACTGGTCTTTGCTAGTCACAGTGCTCTGAGAATAGCTACTATTTGGACTAAAACACTTAAAAATGTTAACCATTATGTAACTATGGTTATTATGAATCTGATGACTATTTTGTCTGCCTTTAAAGCCAAAAATGTCCAGCTATCAAAGAAATAGGAAACAATCAAAAATAAATTATTTCAGCAACTTTAGTTGCTTAGTAATTTGTTGTTTTTTGCCTGACAAACAATACCGTTTCAAATATCCAGTCCTATTTTCTAAGAATTTACGATACTAACCTATAGTTTAAAGGTGAGGTACAGTAGCTAAGCGATTATGTTTAGAAGTATTATTTTGATGCAGCAAATAATATATTCATTACAGCTTCATAGACTCAACTCAACTTTTGGGATGTATAAAGCTGGAAAATCCTTAGGACTGATTTATTTTCAAATTATGCTTTAAGTACTAAATACGTAGTCTACCTTGACTAAGATTATCTTATCCTTTAAGATTAATCTGAATAGCTTTTTACTATCTTCACAATTACGTAGGCCTCTTCAAATAGTAACTCGCTATAAATAAATTAATTTTCTTAAACTACACAGTAAGGTCAAATGCAAATTTATAGAGGAATAAACTCTATCTTTTTTACTTCTTATTAATAACAAGGATTCTTTTAAATCTAAATCAATAGATAAAATAATACAATTTCTTAAATTAATCAATATTGCAATACTTCTACTATTATTAGCAATATTGCTCCAGTTCATGACAAACTTGTTCTATTTGGTGATAACAATACTAATCTAGGAGTTTGGAGAGGAGACTCTTCTTGCTAAATTTAAAATATCTCATCCTAGTTTCCACTGCAAACCCTAAAAATTATTGACATAGGATCTCTCAATTCTCCACTATACTTCATAGCTGCAGGTTTAACTTAATATTATGAATTGTAAGCTTTGAATTAAACATCTGCAATTAATATACTTAAGACTAATAATATGAATTCTACGTTTTACATTGACTATAACTTTCAATATCTGTATATTAGAAACAATATGACTTTTAATATATCAATTTATCAGAACAATTCACTAGTTTAAATTGCTAATGGTGCCTCTTCAAGCCCTGATAGTTAAAATTTTGTGGCAATAAACTACTATAACCAATAGCTATATGAGTTTTACATTTATAGTATGTTTATTAACCAAGCTAATTCTTAATAAATGCAAGCATAGAAAGTATAAACACTGTAATAATCAAGTTAAATATCTAATATTAACTATTATTAACTCTTTTCTTCTAACAACGTTAATTAAATGGCAATAGATCCAAATTTTGATGGACAACTAGTAGTTGCTAGTGATGATGGCTCATTAAGAATTTATGAGTTAACAAACATAGATGATTTAAGTTACCTTCATATATTAACCTAATACCATCCTTCCTGCTTGCAAAATTAGTATTTGTAAAGCTGCTTAATGGCAAAAAATATAACTATTTCTGATTTAGGGTACTATTATGTAATTTACTAAAGTAGCACTGATCAGTTTATTAGTATATGGCAAAGAAATACTTACTCATTAACTTTTATTTCTGACTATAGATTTGATATTAATATTTTGAGTACTGTTGTTAATTATTTGCTATAATAAAATATTTTACTTATTTAGCACTCAAGATAATTAAAAATTTTTGATATCAGCAAACAAAGTTTATTAGTTAATGAGACATATACTTCATCTTAAACATTGTATTATGTAAGTTATGATAACTCACTTTGGGGTAGTCAGATGATAATATACCTTCTTTCTGATAGAATTATGATCAGATAGCTCACAAATACAACTGCAGCGTATTAGGTTATGTACTCTTCAATATATTCAACTTCTACATATTACAACTCATATTTAAAGGCTCAATATTTTAGCTCAACAAAAGTGATTGCCTTTAACCTTTATTATAATGTTTTAGTCTATAACTTTACCACTCAAAAAAATATTACAAGCTACTAAACTAGCACAAGACCTTTAAAGAGTTTTTGCTATCATCCTTCTAATGGATATACTTTGCTATAGTATACAGCTTTTAAGGATGTAATTCTAAGTAACCAAGTAGGAACCTTTTTATCTGATTTTATAATTACAGGATTTATTACACCTTTTTGCGGAACAACTAATAAAAACATATTTTATTACTATGTTAAACCTCTGCTTAATACAGCTCAGAATACTGTAAATAAAATAAAAACTTTTTTTTATAATTATTTAAAGATTTTAATAGTAAATTTACTTTATTAATTTTTAATTTAAAAAATAAGGTTTATGTAATGACTTTACCCAATTATGAATTGAACCATGTTGTCGCCTTTAATTAAACAATCACATTTATTTAAGTCGATGAAAGTAAACTAATACTTTATGTAGGATTTTCAAATGGAGATATCTATGCGAGTCAGATTATTCTTAATTTTAGAATTAATTTAGGAAATTATACAAATGCACAATAATTTTTTTATTCTTAATCTAAAAATTATTTTATCATATTCTAAGGAGTAAGATTATTCTTAATTTTTACTTTACTATTAATTTTTTTTCATAAATAAGGTTAATTTAATGGTAGTTGATTCAAGAAGTCTAATTCTACTTAAATAATTCTCAACTCCTAATCAAAAGCCCTTCACTGCTCAATTCAATGAATAACTAGAAATAGTCGTTTTATTTTCAAATAATACTATAATTTAATGGAGAATCAATTCAGGTCAATTAGATTAATATCCTATTCAACACAAATCCCCTATCCTTACTTGCCAAATAGATGCTATAAACGGTATTTTAGTAAGTTAATCTACAGACTTTTAAATAATTGTTTGGAATATTTAAAATTTTGCATAAATCTACAATATTTCATACCATATTTAAGACCTCAAAAGCATTCCGAATTAGTAATCTTAGTAGGCTTTACAATTTTAAGTTAGTTAATTACTTTTACTGTAAGATATTCATTATCTTATATCTTCAAATACTTTAAATAAAATATACATTCATGATTTAGTTAATAATGTTTATTTTTTCATCCAAATTCCTTAGACTATAATTTTGTACTAAATAAATTATGACTTTTAGTACTAGTATATGTACATTATAATGGCATCTAATGAAGCCTTCACCGACATATATTAATGGCAGAATACAACAACTATAAACAAAGCTTTTTAGTATAAATCAAGAGTGATAGGCTCGTAAGATATAGTTAAGTTAACAACAAAATTTTCATATGAATGGTCATTTATTTATGAGTTAAGAACCTTGACAGTACTGAGTAGAAATCAACTAAACATTTTATATGTAATAAACACTTTTAATCCATTAATTACTGACCTTCTTGTTGCTTACAACTTAAGACAATTAATATTTTGGAGTGATTGTTCTGCTGGATAATGTAGTCCTAAAATTCCTATATTTTCAATTGATACAGGTTTATAGTTAAGTGAGGTCCCTTATTAAGATAAAAATTAATAAGGTATGGTTATCAGAGCTATGATAGACTAAGATACAAATAATTTAATAATATTCAAAGATTAAAATCCAAGAATTATTATTATTTATGATTTGTTAAATAATTAGTTATCTGGATTATTTAACAATATTCAAAACGCATTTAATTACCCTCTCACTAATTAAATACTAATAAAAGAAACAGCAAATTTAATAATATATAGCAATTCAACAATTACGTAATAATCCTTTATTTTTTTTTCAAAATTTATTAAAATAAATAACTCACTTAACTAATGAAAAATTTTAATTATTTAAAAAAAAAAGTTCTATGTAAATTGAAGCTATGCTAAATCCTCAGCAATAGTTTAAGTCAATACTTCCAAACAGAGTTAGCAAATTAAAATTATTTCAAAATAATTCTCTTTACTTTTTTGATAGTAAAAGCCAAAGCTGGATGTTAAATAGTAATTCAAGCCAAATAACAAATATTATAAGCACTAATCCAAAGAGTTTAAATTTAACCATAAAATACTTCTTTATCACAGATAATTATTTCTATGTTATTTATTAGAATTAAATAGTTTAAATTAATTCAAGCTTTTAGATTGTATTTAGCCAACTCTATGAAGTTGATAAAGCTATCTTCCTTCCAAGTTCATTAATAGCTATAAGTTACTCTGGAAATTTAATCTAATACAATCTTACTAACTTAAGTCAGATAGGTACAATAGTAGCAATTTAAGAAAGAGCTAAATTTATAATCTAAATTCCAGATATCCAATAAATAATAATACAAACTTATTAAAATAATCTTTACAGATTTAATTACACTTCGTAGGTCCTCTAAAAATGGTTTTCACCTTCTGGTGATACTTTATATAAAATTTATTTTGATAGTTCTAATAACATTCTTTTCATCACTATGATGAGCGGAAGTTGTTACATATTTGATAAAAATAGCATTTTACTAAGTGGTCCTTCTAATATCACTCAAAATGCTATTTAGTTACCCTAGCTGAATACATAAATTTTTAAGATTAATATAGAGCCAATATCAGGAATGTTTTCTTCTTTTGTGATCCCTCCCAACAATATTCCAATAATAAATTTCTACACATATAATTTTACTAACACGACAGTGAAATAATTACAAAGTGTAACTTTTATTGGTTAGATTCCTAGTTTTTCGAGATCATCTGCATTGAAAATTTCATTTATTTCTTAATAAATTTTCATTTTTTCACCTTATCAAATAATGGTCTATAATTTCAGTCTTTCATTAAACTATACATTTAGAAATTCAGTATAATTTAAGACTTTAAGGAAAATAATTGTTGCAAATTCACCCATACCAAACACTTCTTTATTCTTTTTCCAATAAGAAAACATAATCTCACTGTTTTCATATTCATAATAGAAATTAACAAATATTTATTAACACTCCTGCATAGCACCTAATTTACTTAATTACACTATAGTTAATTCAACAAATAATTATCAGATTAACATATTAGTCCTTTGCGATGATAAAATTGTTAAAGACTTCATTTATTTGTAAAGTTTATCTCAATAACTAAGTCAAATAAATTCTTGTTTCATAGAATCGACTTCAACCTACTAGTATCAAGTAAATTTACCTTTTTAACTCAATATATACAAATATTTAAAATTTATAAATAGTTTTTGTAAATGCTCTAAGATTTAAATTTCAGTTTTAATCAAGAGAAAGCAAACCCTTCAGAAATAAGAATTGAAGTAAGAAATATTTAATTAAAAAAAAAAAAAAATTTATTAATAATCTAATTTTAAAAAGTAATTAACATAGACTGATTTCAGTAGCATAAATATGAATAGGAAAATAACTTTTGCTTATAGGAGCTAGAATATAAATACTGTTAATACCCTCCTGCTTAAAGAAAATAGTTACAAGGACTATAGTTATTCTAGTTTGAGGGTTCAAAGCTTTACATTTGATATGAGTTAATTAACATAAATAGTTTAGTTTAATCCAATAATATAAGAAGTAGTTTTCGATTAAATTGTTTTAGATTATTCTAATCTTAATCAAAACTCTTAAAATCCATTTTCTCAAATTTTGTTCAATAATATGGATACTGTTATTTTAAATAATCTATCTTTAAGCAATTTTGATCTTCAGAGATAAACTCCTTTATTGGCGTTTTAAAATGTTTAGAAGGTAATTATCACAAATTTAATTTTTTAAAACTTAACTCTGGAATGCTCTGACCCAACCTTTTTTTACTTTTACAATGTTTAATCTCTCATCATTTAGAATGTTTCTTTTTCAAATGTTAGCATAACTAACTCTGAACAAACCTAATTGATACTCTTAGAATTTGTTCCTAACTTTTAGATATAAGATAGCTATTTCTAAAATATAAACTCTACTTAATAAACATATCTATTATAATTTGAAGGAGTAAAAACTAGTTCTTTAAATAACATTACACTCTATAATAGCTCTTAGATGTCATTATTATAATCATTTAACTTTTACTAAATTCTAGGAGTTAAAGTTTTAGTTGAAGAAAACACTGTAAATTTAGAAGAAGTTAAAGCTAATAATATCAATCAGATCAGTAGTAGCTTAATAAATCTAAACTAAACATATTAGATTTCGATTTAGAACTCTACATTTTAATAAATAAGTTGCAACTAATGTACTGGAGGTGTCATGTTGATTTACTAAGGTAGTAACCATATAATTAACAATGTACAATATTTATATAATACTGCTCAGAAAGGAGGTGCTTTATCAATTTTAGAATGCCCAAGTTCAAGTATATTGATCAAGCAATCTAAATTTTTAAACAATAATGCTGGAGTGTATGGTGGAGCAATTTATCTTTAAAATTCTAATGTTCAAATAGAGTCAACCCTTATTTAATAAAATTAAGCTGTTATAGGTGGAGGAATAAAATACACTTCTATTAAGCCAATAATAGACAATTAAAAGAGGATTTTATAATGTGATTTAATAGATTACTAAGGTTAACTGAATGAAAAGTAAAGCAGATTACTTTAGAATTCATAGAATGTTATATCAAAAAACAAAGCTCAAATTTTTGGAAATAATATTGGCTCTTACCTACAAAATATAACAATATTATACCCTAATTTATAATATTTTAATTTATCATCTCTTAGCAGCAAATTTAATCCTGAAGATGTCTCATAGTAATTTGTCATGTCATCTTATTAAATAGGAAACCATAGAAGTGGTTAAAGTATAGATTTAGAATTATAAATTTTAGATGAAGAAAATAATCCAATAACTTTTGATCCTAGAGCAGTAACAAAGTAATCCTATGATCCAGAAGTTGTAGATATGTTGAAAAATATTCAACTAAAAATCGAGCCTTTATATGATGATTAATTAAAAGTGTTTGGTAAATACACAGCTGACTACACGGATTTCTCTTCATTAAGTAATTCTTTTAAAATACCTGGTATGACTATTGTAACTAATCCTCAGACATCTAATATTGTGAAAATAGCTTCAAGCTCGATAACTTTATTTAATTAGACATCCAGGACTATTGATTAAGCAAGTAAATAACTTATCATTTATTAAATACTTTCTTCAATTTAACTTTAATAAAAATTTAGATTCAAATAGACTTTATAGTTTAATTTATGTTTCTACTCGAGCTTGCCTTGCTGGGGAAGTGTACTAAATTGTTGATAATGTTTATTAATGTTATGTTTGCTAAAGGGGTACTTATTTTTTAAGAACTCCAACACAGAGTAAAATATAATAAAATTTCACAAAATCATTTGTTTTAATATAAAAAACAAGTTTTTATTTTATCTATTTCAATCAAAATATATTTAATTTTAAAAATAAAAGGTGATAGTGTATGCTTAAAATGTCCTAGTAATGCTCGAGAGTGTGAAAAAGATATTATATAGCTAAATGAAGGTCATTGGAGAATAAATAATCAAACAGATACTATTATTAGTTGTTAAAGAAATCCAAATAACTGTATTCCTCATGAAGACAAAAATTATTGCATTTAAGGACATTATGGCCCTCTTTGTGAGTAATGTGATGTATATGGAAATGTATGGGGAGAACCATATATTACTGATGGAAATTATAACTGCTACCCTTGCTCTGATTTAAAACACAAACCATATTACACATTTTTATTCATAAATTTATGCCTTATGGTTGTATTTATTCTAATAAGCTTACTATCTCTCCTTCACTTTAGTAGATGCATTGCCACAAGTTACTATCTTAGGAAATTACAATTAGTTAGTGTAAGTAAATCAGCTTTTTGGAATCAATAGTCCTTCGGTTTAAAAACTTTAGTTAACTTTTTGTAAGTGACTGGAGTTATATATGCTTAATTAGAATTTTCTTTCCCATACGGTACAAGAATTTTATCTAGCACAATTGGTAATTTATATTTTATTAATATCAATTGCTAATATTAGTTTATAAAATAAATAAAAATAGGAATGCCTTCAACAAATTTATTTTACTCTTTAGATTGCATTTTCCATAGTGTTAAGGAGATATCTATTATTTACTTAAGAACTCTATGGTCTTTAACTATCCCAATTATTTATCTCATATTCATATACTTAATAATTATTTCTTATGGAGTATATAGGCGCAGATCTGTTCAAGTCTTGCTCATTTACGGTGCATCTTATTTATTCTTTTTTACATAAAATAGCATAATCTTTCTCTTATTAAGTATGATGTCTTGTAGGGAAATTGATGGCCAATTTTATATAATCAGTGACATTACTTATAAATGTTTTACCCCTACTCACTTAAAATTTATGAAATATATTGGTATTCCAGGGCTTATTGGTTGGATATTTGTCATTCCTTTATATATTTTCCATAAAATTTACAAAAAGAAATAAGATTTAGATTAAGTTAGCTTTAGAGAAAAATATGGGCATCTTTATAATGAGTATAAACCTAAATTCTATTTTTGGGATTTCGTAAAAAGCTATAAAAGACTTCTCGTCACTGCTGTATTAACTTTGTATGTAAATCCTTTAGGTAAACATTCATTTTTTAAAAGCGATTATAAATTTGATAAAAAAATAATTTTTATAAATAAAAAGATAACAAACTTATCTTTGGTTTTTTGGTGCAGATTGCCTATATTTAATTACTTTCAAGAATCAAGCCTCATTTTAATGTTTAACTTTATAAAGTTGAACTATTTACAGAATTAATGATAGCCGCGTTGATGTTTGCAGGTATTATTGTCAACTAATCTGCATAACCTAACGAATCTTATGTTTTTTATGCAGTTGTGATTGTTAATAGTTGCGCATAATCTTTTATTATTCTTTGGATAATAAAATAATTTTTGAAAGGGTATTTCTATAAATTATATTATAACTTGAAAAAGTGCCTGCTAACAGTTTTCCCTTTCCTAATTAAATATTCTAGTAAAAATACTTTTAATAGTTCAATAAGACACCTTTTAGTTTGGAAAAAAGCAAGACAATAATTGCTTGGAGGTAATCTTGTAGAATTTTTAAATGAGTAAGAAATTAGAAAGTAAGAAAGCAAAATGAATCAATCAAGCTAAAATATGATTTTATCTTAGCGCACTTTAAATGCTCCTTAGTTGAATTAATTAAATACTAATTAAGCAAAATTAAAAGACATTAATTTACTCAAAAGTTACAAATAGCAACATTTTGAAAAGTAATTCCCAAACCAAAATATGAATTTCTAGCTTTTAAAATTAGAGAATACTATAAGATCATAAGTAGAAACATAAAGAAATATTGACGAAGGATCATGTAATCTCTTAATGTCATCTTAGATAAAATAAATGTCACATCAAGAAAAAATTTCTCAAAAGAGATTATCAAAATCAAACAGATTTAATGAAAGTGAAAGATTTAAGCTTCATCTTTATGCAAGTAAAACTAATGCTTAAGGTTTTTAAACTTCAGAAATTTAAGATAGCAATGATAATTGCTAGAGTATTCAATCACCTGTGGAGTTGAATGATAATAAGTTTAATAATATTTTTTCTAAAAACTAAAGATACTCTGCTCTATAAAATAAGAGTATATTAGAATAATCTGACTCTTTACAAATGACATCTAGTGCTGAAAGCAAAATTGATCCCCGCGCTATTTAAGGAAAAGCTTAATTTGATGAAGAAGAAAAGTGTAGCTAGAACTATAATCAGAATGGAAATCAAGGTGATGTAAATGAGTTTATATAATAAAGTTAGGCTATATCCAAATAGTAACATGTACCTATTAATATTGAAGAAGAAGAAAATTAAGCATAAACTAATAAGCCAGATTAATAGACAGAAGAATACTCTCTATTAAATTTAGATCGTGTTCATAGTATGAATTATTCAAAATATGAATAAACTGAATAGGACTAAGTTAAAGAATAAGATATTAATTAAAGAGAAAGAGTTTAATAAATAAGAGTATTAGCAAATGATTACATTGACACTATTGAATCAACTGAAGATTACAAAGTTTCAAATGTGAGAGTACCTTCCAAGAATTGTGATGATGAAGTACATTCTATCTAAGATAGTCAACTTTAAAACACAAAAATACCTGCAAAGGATTATGAAGAAGAGGTACAATCTATGTAAGATTGTGGAGTTTAAAACATAAGAATACCTGCAAAAGATTATGAAGATGAGGTACATTCTATGTAAGATTGTGGACTTTAAAACACAAGAGTACCTGCAAACAATAACTCTGATGAAGTAGATTCTATAGAAGAAAGCCAAATTATATAAACTAAAGTACCGCCAAATGAATGTAATGATGAAGTAGATTCAATATAAGATTCTAAAATTTAGTAAGTCAAAATACCAGCAAATGAAGGTATAGATGATGTAGATTCTATATAAGAATGAAATCATTCTTTTAATATCTAAAGATTTATTTTAAATATATTTTTTTTTTATTAGTATATTATTTGTTTTTTGTAATGTTGATCAGAATTTATTATTTTTTGATTTTTAAAATTTTCTTTTTAACCTTAAAAATATAGTTATTTAATTTTAAAATAAATATAATGTAAAAAGTGATGATAATATTTTTATAGTGAGCCTCATTGAAAAAAAATAGAGGATATTATTACTTATTCTCTTTATTAATAGCGAAAATATAAGGGGAAAGCTGATACTTTTGCAAGTTGCTCTATATAAAAAATAAGCTATTTCTTTATTTGTTTTTTTATTAATAAATATCAAAGAAAAAAAACTCTTGTTTGTTTAGTACTTATTAAAAAAATATATTTAATAGTTATAAACAGAGAATTTTAAATGAAAAAATAATGAATTTGTATTTAAAAACAAAATAATAGATTAGTATATAACTCAAAATGAATGCAAAACAAACATAAATATATTTAAATTTTATAATTTTAATAAATTTAATAATTATAATAATTGTAATTGAATATAACTTTTTTGTAAATTTTATAGTCATTAATTAAATTTAAACCTTTTATTTTAAAGGTTTTAAAGATAGTTAAATTTTTTAATATTTTCAAGAGTAAAGAGATAGTTTTAGGATTTTTATAACTCAACCAAAAATAATTTTTTTTAATTATTAATAAAATATTTATTTCGATTTCCTAATTAAATCAATTTATCACTCTTTCAATTTATTTCATTATTTGTAACCAGGGGAAGAAAAGAGAGGATTATCTAATTCGTCCTGTTTATCTTGTGTTACTATAACTTCATCATCGTCTTTGCTGTATCTAGGAGATTTTATACTTCCACCAAATAAATTTCTGAAAGCTTTTTGCTATTCTGTATTGTTATTATTTGAATTCATTTCTTAAGTTTACAAAGGAACATCTTTCATAAGCTCTGGGGTATTTGGTTAACTTTTTTCATCTTCTTCATTCATATTGTTATCCTCTATAATATCAGTCAAAGGTTTTGTTTTATGAGCATAAATACCTGAAAGATTGTCGCTATTATAAGTATATGATGTTTCATTATTAGTATTAGTATTATTATTGTTATTATTAAATATATTACGTTAATCGTATTATTATTATCTACCATAATTATCTATATATCTAAGACCACTACTGCTACTATTATTGGTATTATTGTTAATATTATTATTATGAATCTGTTAATTTGGTTGATTGTTTTTAACTTGTTAGATTGCTTTATGGAGAGTGGCCTCTTTATTATTACCAAAGCTCACGTAGATATCCTTTTTAGTTAATTCAACTTGGTTAGTATTTTCATTTCTAACAGGAGAATTACAAGCACTTTATTGATTACTTTAATTGATTTGACCAAAAAATTTATTATTTTAAGAGTTATTTCTGTCAGCTACTAAGTCGTCTTCTTAAATTTCTTAAATTATCATCATTTGATCCTGTTTAGGTCTACCAAAGTCAGGGTTTTGAGCATTAGTAGGACCAAAATTGAAAATGGGATATTAGTTATTACTAATAGAGCCTCTTGTTGATAAAGATCCACCACTATTTAGATTATCAATCATTCCTCCACTTATTCTTGCTGACTTTATATTTGGAGAAAGTAGGGATTCTTTATTGTTAAAGTTAGACTATATAGACTATTATAGAGAAGTATTTGATAAAATTTGTTGTTATTGTTAACTTCTTTTGATATTTATGAATTCTGAGACTCTTTTTTTGACTAAAGTAGTGCTGAAGCTGCCAACTTCAAATAATTATTCAAATTATTAATAAAATTGATTAGCGTTAGGTGCTTTGAACTTAGCTAAATCAATGAATTCACTGCTAATACTGCTAAAAAATTCTGTCATTTTATAAAACTTTTCCTTATAGCTGTTCATAATACGAATGAAATCATCCATTTGAATCAAGTTAACAATCTTATCAGTATTGTTTTCAATATCAGTTTTAATGTTGACAAAATCGCTTAAATTTTCATTTGTTTCTTTTTCTTTAATTTTATAAATTTGCATTGATCTTTCTTTGTTTGTATTCAAATTCTAAACAGCCTATTCTCTCAATTTGCTGATCATTTCTATCAATCCTTGATATTACTAATCAATTTTTGAAAGTTATTTTTCATAAAAATTATTGACATCTTTCTTTTTAATCTACAAAGCGTGGTTTAATTCATACCACTTTTCACCTATTAATTTAAAATTATTTTTATTATTATTTTATGAATTTTGAAAATAAATAAAAAATTACTTTGAGAATTAATTTTATTAAGGAAAGAAACTATTTCAGCCAGTTTTGCTGATGTTTCTATTTCTTAATTTTCTTGATGGTGATTATCTTGCTAAGAAAAGAGTTACTGATTTTTATTTTTTTACTATTATTAGCTGTTGAAATCTAGAATATGAATAGGTTAGAAACCATCTTTTGAAAATTAGATTGCGCATTTAGAGCAATAGATATTGTTTCCATTTTAAGAATTACAAATGACATATTTAGCCTTTTTAATTAAAAAATATTCTTTAAAATTGATTATCATCATATTTTATCAAAATTATTGTTTATAAAAAGAAATCTATTAACCAAAAATTAATTAAAATTTCAGTTAAACTAAAAAATATTCTTTAATTAAATAAATGTAAATCAAATTTTTTTTTATTTTTAAATTTAAAATAAGAAATATCTTTGGTGTAATTTTTTTCTTTTATTTTGATAAGAATAATTTTTTATAATTTGACTTCAATCAAAATCAAAATTAAGCGCGTTTTTTTTTTTTGTTTTTTGAGAAATTAACAATTGATATTTATTTACCTTTTTGTCAGGATGGTTGCTGCATTTTTGATAATAAAAATCTTTAGTGGTGGATTCAGGAATATCATTTGATTTATTTTACTCTGTCTAAGTTAAATTTCTATCAGTTAAATTATTAGTTGAAGTATTATTTGCATTAGTGATTGCGCTTAGTTATGAAATATTCATCATTTATGTTGTGTCAGTGTTATTGCCATCAATATCAGTATTTTAAGTTTAATTAGTGGTGTTAAAAATAAATTATAAATTAGATTTACTAGAAACGCTACCATTTACATTGGGATTAGTTTAGTTTGTATTATTAGTGGCTGGAAGAGTTTAAGGAGACTTAGGAGTTCTAAGCACGCTTCTTTCTGTAGATAGTTAATTAGAATAAAAGTTAACACTCTCAAAGTGAACATCAGAATTGTTTATTGCATTTATGTAGTTATTATTGTTGTTATTAATTGCTGACTAATTTTAAGTTAATTCATTACTATTGAATCCTGATGTTGCTAAATTAGGAGCAAGATAAGGCAGAGTGCTAGAAATTCCTGAAATAGAATTCTAAATTCCATATGAATTAGAAATAGTCTATTAGTAATCTAAGTTTTAGTTTATATTTTTTTTAACAACTTCGCTAGCCTTAGAGAGACTTTGTTATTTTTATAAACTTATGTTTTCGTTGTTAGTTTAAGCTGCTGCTAATGAAGGACGATGTGAGTGAAACATTTAAGAACTTTTAGAGCCTTAAATACCTCCACCTGTAAGCAAAATTTTAGGAGAAATACCATTTTAGGTAGAAAGAATCTATTTTTTAGATGTAGGAGTGTATTAGGTTTAAGCTCTGTAAACGCTGATATTTGAGTGGCTCAGAGGAGATTTTGAAGTGCTGCTTGTTTAATTATTATTAGCAGAAGAGTAATTGCAGAGCAGAGAAGAAGTGCTGTGCAAAGAACCAGTCTTTTAAGTTGACATAAGCAATCTTTAGTTATGCTAGAGAAGACTTTCAGAAGCTTTTGTTGTACTGTTTAGGTTCTAAGAAGACATTTGATTAGGGCTCTTTGGTGCAGATTATTAAGAATAAAGGTTCTAAGAAGATGAAGAGGAAGAAATTTAGCTATTTTTTACTCCTAAATATGATGGTGTTTAGGATAGAGAATTCTTATTATTATTGCTATTAGCGGATTTGGACTCCTAAAGAATATTATAAATGCTATTAGTCTCTTGTGCATTCTCTTTATTTGATAACAAAAGGCTGATAGGTTGGTAAGGTGGAATAAATGTAGTGGCCGTGCTCGAAGTGGCTGTTGAACCACTTTTTGTGATGCTTGTGCGCTTCATGATGATGTTTCGCTTTTAAAATATTTATTTAATTTCAGAGCTTATGAATATAAATAATTGTTTTGCTTAGTTGTTAATTTCTTAATTTATTAACTTTCTTTTTCAATATTAGGAATAGATATTTATATTTGTTTTGACTTAATTTCAAAATTTAAATAAAGTTAAATCTTTCTTGATTTAAATCTTTTCATCGTTATAAAAACCTAAATAAAAATATAAGACTGACCTACCTACTCTACATACCTACACAATAACACAATAAATTAAATTGTCCTGTTTGCGATGCAAAATTATTGATGTTAAATGAATGTAAATTTTTGATACACAAAATACACAGAAGCATTCTATCTAACAAACACATTAAATTTATTCATATGTTGAAAAGAGTAAATAAACAAAAACACATTATTTGCATGTTGAAAAGATTAAAAAAAAACAAAACAAAAATACTTCTTTGATATTTTTATAAATAAAACCTTAATTTTAATTTCTACTTTCATTGATTAAAAAAGATAAATTTAAAATATAATAAAAATGTAAAATTTTTTTATTATCTTGAATAAATTTTTTTCCATAAAAATTAACGTTTATCTTAAATATTTATTTGAAATTAAATTGGCTGACAGTGTTATCAGCTTATTTTGTTAAAAATGAACATCAATTGATTTGAATCTCACTATCTATTTTTACAAAAACTAGACAAAATTTTATCTTTTAAATCAAATGTGGATATATTCTATACTTAAATAAGAAAGAATTAAAGAAATACTCAAAAAAAGATTTAAATTATTTTTAATTTATTATATTATATAAAATTAAATTTAAATTTGTTTTTGTAAGAAAAACTAAGAAAAGCAGTTAGTTAAATTATAAACAACTATAACAATTACATCGACAATAGAACTTAGCATTGATAAATAAAGAAATAAATAAATATTCAGTATATTTTTAATTAAGGAGTCAAAAGAGTTAATTTAAATTATTTTAAATTTCATTTTTTTTAATGCTTGATAAGAAGATCATCTAAAAAGTTATCATCGCTGCTATCTTCATTATTATTTTCAACAGTATGCTTTTCGGAAGAATATTGATCATATATTCTTGATAAAACTTCTTCTTGGTCGACTGTTAGTATACTAGTCATGGAGTGTCTATTTATACCCTTGTCTTATAAATTTTACAATCTTATTCTTTGAACTTCACAATATCTCTCAAATTCTGGAATCATTAAATTAGAAAGCTTTAAAAATTCTACAAGTGCATCAAACCTAGTCATTAATATATTATTTAATAAGCAAGTTTCCTTTTGAAGAAATTCTTATTGTATTCTAATAACGATAGGCTTTAGCATATTAAAGGTTTGTTAGTCGTTGAGATTCTCCATTATAAGAGTGAGAGTAGAAAACGAATTAAACTCTATGAAAATACTTAATTCATCTATTATTTTAACTAAAATGGAAAATTTATCTAGCGCATTACATTGCTAAGCATAATACAATGATAAAATAGCAAATTTAATGTTTATTCTTAAATAATGCTGATTATATAGTTAAGCTATTTTCTTTATTTATTATTTGGTATACTTTTCAGACAAAACAACCACTCTAAAGAATTATAGCAAATTGTGGCCTTCGTCAATTTCTTTATAATTATTCTAAAATTCTTAAATAGCAAAGTCAATCATTTAACTTTCAAAGTTCTCAGCGCAAGGCCATTTATTAGAAAGATATTTCCTAATTATTTAATTAGTTTCGTATCTATGCTGTTTCAGCTAGTCTTTATTTTCTAAAATTATCTGAGACAAATTAAAAATATATTTAGTTTTATCCTCAATTTCATGAAGTGGCTTTGTTAATTGCTAAATTAATTCATTAGTCTATGTCACATTGAATTTTATTTTAAGTAGATCAAGGTTATTTTGTAAAAACTTTGCACTTAATTATTCTTCAAATGAACTCTAACTATTTTATACTTTAGTGCAGAACAAATATCTGTTTACCCTAGACAATTACCTAATTAACATATCTTAATAATGATTTTTCTGAAAATTATTTATTTTTTATCTTCTATTTTTTTATAAACAATAGACTTTAATTTGATACTTAATTCTACGAACCAAGAAATCCTATTAAAAACTAAAATTGTAAATCTTTCTAGATTTTCTTCAATGTGCATTCTTAAATTAATTATTTATGTCTTCTACTTTCTTTCATTGAATTTTATTTCATTCATTTTCATTAATTATTTAAAACACTAATTTAAAAAAAATTATTTTACTTCAAAAGTTTTGAAAGAAAAATCAGTCTTAATTTTGAACAATATTTTATTCATTTTTTAAATTTTTAAAAAATCTAATTAAAAAAAATAATTAAATTCCTTTTTAAATATTTAGATGGACATTCATACATACATATTGGCTATGAACAGTTTCTTATATATTTGTTAAATAATGAATTTGTTATTGAAATTGAAAAAATAAATGAATTTAATTTGAAAAGTACTTATATAAAAAATAAACATAATTTTAAAAATAATATAAAATTTATCAGATATTATTGGGAAATATATATAGAAGGCGAAATAGAAATAAGTTAATTGAATGAAGCCAGCAAGTATTACTAAAAAAATAGAGCAAATGCTTGAGATGAATAGCATTTAGAACAAGGAAGATAAATAGGAAGATGAGTAGGAAAAAGTGATAGAAATAAATGAGAAAAGTATTTTAAAGTATAGTTAAGGTTGCAAGAGCTTAAGCTAAGTTGTAAGATTAAAATTGATAGGATCTAAAATATCATAGCTAGAGAAATTGGAGCTTGTTCCATAACTAAAATTTCTTAACATTAGCTTTAGTAATATTGAGAAGATATAAGGACTCAATAAATTAAAAGAACTCAAAGATGCCATTCTTTGCAACAATTAAATCTAGTAAATCGGCGGCTTAGAAGAAAATAAATAGCTAACTTCATTAGACTTATCATATAATAAAATATCCGAAATAGAAAATTTGAATCATTTGACAAAGTTGACTGTTTTGAATCTTAGTTCAAATAGCATAAGTCTTATTCAGGCAATAGACAACTTAAAGAATTTATCTCAGCTTTTTTTAGAAAACAATAAAATAAAAAAGATTGATTTTTTCCCTCTTTTACCAAATGTAATCATCAAATTTAACTCTATTCCTCACTTTCATTCATTCATTCTTAACAATATCTTTTATCAATTACAGCTTTAGGAAATTAGCTTAAAAGGTAATCACATTGAAAGCATCAACCCAAAGCTCTTTGAAAACCTCAAGAATTTAGAAGAATTGAATCTTTCTAATAATAAAATAAGAAGCTTAGAGTTTTTGAATTCCCTTCCTAATTTAGAGGTAAAATGTTAAAATAATATTAATTAAATATATAAGTAAATAGATTAATATTTAGCGACTAGTTATTTATTTATTTAGTTTGTTAGCTTTTCGTTACATAGTAATATACTGATTTTTTATAGAAAGTTTGACTGACTGATGAGATTATTGGCGTTAGCACTTAAAATTTGAATGAAAAAGAATTTAAGATAATATCAGCTCAGCAATTTATAAAATATTTATGAAAATTTTATAATTAATTCTTTTGTTTAAAAAAAAAATTAGAAATTCTATTGTTCTCACAATCATATTGAAAAATGCTTTATGAAAATATAATTTGAAAATTTGGAGTATCTCGATTTAAGTCACAACTAAATTTTGGAGACAAAGAAATTTGGAGAATATTTTCCAAATTTATTTACATTAGATATTTCTTATAATAATATTTTTACTGAAGAAGAATTGATTTTCGTTTATGATATGGATTCTCTTTGTGAAATCGATTTTTCAAATAATTTAGCTTGCACACAGGAGTTTGAGGAGCAGTTTTTGAGAAGACATCCAGAAATCGATGTAGTAAATGGGAAAATTATAAAGCAAGCAGGATATCGTTTTGAAGTTGAGATGAAAGAAGTTGAAGAAGAGATCAAGGAGTTTGAAAAAAAGCAGCTAGCTTTGAATCTGACATAAGAGCTTGAAAATGATGATAGCTTCACTGAAGAAGATAAAGAGGCCAGAAAAATTCTAAAATCGCTTATCTAAACTGATTTGAGCTCTGTAATTTAAGAGATTTAAAAGGAAAAGGAATAGGATAAATAGGCCAAAGAACAATTGATTAGTTATTACAAACAAATAAATGAAGAAATCACTCCAGAAGATCTTAAAAAACAAGCTATAAAAAGAAAAAACAGGGAGCTATATGGATCTGATGAAGAAGATGACGGTGATGAAGAATAAGAAGGCAGTAATACTTTTTATAAAAATTAGGTTGATAATGTGGATGACTTGAATGAAAATGTTAATAGATATAACAGTCTCTAAAAGAATGCTAGTAAAAATAAGTTGTAGAAATTTGATTCGTATGTAACTTTGAATGATGAGAAGAATTTAAATGCATTTATTACAGATTTAGAAAATGATTTGACAGAAATAAAAGCAAAATATCACGCCATTAAGGGCATTAAGTATACATAAAAGTTTCATTAAAATAAAAGTTAGTTCCTAAGCAAATCTGAATAAAATTTATCATTGTCAGATTTAAGTCAGTATGACGATAACCTCTCAGCATCTTAGCTTTCTGAAAGGAAAGACGAGATGAATTTAACTTCTTCATCTTTTAAAAACTACGAAACTGAATATAGCTCAGATTCAAGACAAGCCCTTAAAAATATCGAAAAAAATATAATTATTAAGTAAATTTATTCAAGTAGATTATTGCATTTTATTAATTAATTTTATTTTGTAAATAGGAAGAAGAAAATTCCACTTTCCTCTTAAACATCTTAGATAAGTAACTCTTCAAAAACAAATCTAAATATTAGTAGTGCAACTTCGACTTTAAACAATATACCACCTACTCAAACAAAGCCAGGTCTTCCAATCCCAAGAAATCCACTACTCTAAAAAGAGTTAAAAGAATTTAAGAAAAATATGAATGATCCAGATTATTTGAAGAAGTTAGGAATAGGCAACGATAACTTAAACCTACCTTCAGATAAATTTGTATTCAATGCTACTTAAGCTAGAGCGTAATCATAAATGTATAATAAAACAGCTTAGCTTAGCAAAACGAGCAATTTAAGTATTACTTAAAGACCAACCAGAGAGAGGTCAAATTCTATTAATAAACTAAGAAACTTCAGTGCCACGAAAAAAGATGGCTTTAATAACACAAGCAGTCAGAATCCAAAAGTCTTTGGGTAAAACAGCATTAAAAGTAAAAAAGAAAAGACAGAAAACTTAGATAACTCAAATATTGAAGATAGAAGCTCTTTGTCAATTCAAAGCAACTAGCAAGTTACTCCAACAAAAACAATAGGCATCATATACTCAAACAAAAATAGTAAAACTAAAAGTAAACTTATAGATGCAATTGCAAATTCCTAAAAATGATTTTAATTATTACTTAAACCTGATTAAAAATACAACTCTCTTACACTAATTAAAAACTAACGAATTAATATTATTTAAATATTTATTAACCACATTTATTTTATTTTTATATATTTGTCAATAGTAATTAATGCCTTCAATATAAAATTATCTCATATGCTAAAAATTATTAACTCATATTTTAGACAGACATAAATTCTAAATATTTTATTTCATCGATATGAAAAAAAATATTTGACATAAAAATAACTAACTTTCAATATTTTTTTTAGTTTTAAAACATAAAAAATTTGGATTAATTTAATTAATTATATATCTTTTATTTAACTGCTATATATTAAGATTATTAATCCACAATACAATAAAATCTTAGCTTGTAACCACTTGAATAATATGAGAACTTGCTTATTATTGAGAAATTTAAAAAAAGTAATTAATATGAATTCATAAGAAACCTTGATGATGTTGACATATTTGTAATTTGAATAAAAGTTTTAGCTTAGAAATTAATTCGTCACTTTAGATAATTTTTACTGTAGGTAATTTTAATAAATGATTATTCTAATTGAATAGATTTTCAAATATTTAAGAATTCTATTAAGTAAAGTAGATAAATTAATTAATGTATGCCAACATATTTATTTTATTTGTTAAAGGATATCTAACTTTTATGAATATTTTCTATAAACACAAGGCCTAATTATTTAATTTTAAGTATATATAATTATTCTAAATATTATATTAGTTAATTTAAAATTTTAAATAAATAAATAATATAAATTTTATTATTTAATATTAAAGAAAATTAATATAAAATCAGCATAATTATTTATCATGTAAAATACTAATCTTTATTTACAATAAATAATATTAACTGATTTATTGCAACATGCATGAAGTATTTTTTTATTAAAAGTTTATTCTTTATAATACTTGTTGTATATTAGGTTATATCGAATTAACAGTTATTATTAAAAAGAAAAATGTTAAATTATTATCATATTAATTTATATTGCTTTATTATGAATTTTGAAAAGAAAGTAAAATTTATGTCCAAATAAAATAGAAATTATTTTAAATTAAGAAAGAAGGGCTAAATATATATATATAGTAATAGTATGTTATAGAGCTAGTATATGACTATGCTATTTTCACATAAGTATTTTTGAAATGTGTCTGTTAAATTAGCATGACGATTAAGAATATAATAATTAAAATTAAAGAATCTTTACCACTTTTGTTAGTAAACTCGTTAAATTTTAATTTATTTGTTTGTTTGATAAGTAAATTTATTGTAAAATTGTATCAAAATACTGAATGAGTTACTAACAAGAAAATTTTCATTTGGTCAGAGGTAAGCTTTTGGCAGTTATGACTGTATAATTTGCAGAGAGCTAGAGCGAAGATATAGAAATATATTAAAATGATGATCCCAGGAAGCTCGCAGAAGAATTTATTCAAAAGAACCAATTTGATGAATCTATTTTAGAAATTATTGTTGAGAATATCAATATTAATAAAAATTTAGCTATGGAGGAATATAACAAAAACCCAGATAACTTTAAAGTATAAAAGGTATAGTTTTATAGAGTTTAGCTTATATTTTAAAAAATCTTATTTGAAATTTAAAATAGGATTCAGATTTCAACAACTGCGATTAAGGCGAAGAACATCAGGCTTAATAAAAACCTAATGAAAAATAGAATGATGCCATTAAAAATATATAAAATGATAGTTTTATTTAGTAAAAACTAATCAATCAGCAAAATAATTATAATATTTAAAATAAAGAAAACTCAGATGATTCTCACAATGTAAAATTTAGTGCTTTCTTTGTGTTTAAATTTTTTAATAAAATTGTTTTAAAAATAAATAATAGCATTTCATAGAATCCTTTCAAAATTAAGAAGACTTCAAGGGCGTTAATAATTTATAATAAAAAGAGGATGATGATTATTAAGCATATCAATATAATTTAATGATGACTTAAAAAGCGTATAAATTAATTATAAATTGTGTTTATTTGATAATAGGAATTTGTATTTTATTAGTGAATAGTTTTTATAGTAGAAGAATAGTTTTTAATGGTAGTAAAATGATTTTAAGAAGTAGAAAAGCGATTTTTAGTCGTAGAAGAACTAAGACTTTCAATAAAATAACCAAGTAAGAGTAATTGATAACAATGACTTCTCTAGCTCTCCAGCAAACAAATTACAGCTTATTAGAAATTAATTTAAAAAGAATAAAGTTTCAGATAAAAACCAAAGTACAAGTTAATCTCCAAATACTTCTTTTTAGAAGTAAAAGATGCAGAGTGATAGAGCGTTATTTGAATAAAGCTAGAAAGAAAATACTGCTAAGACATGCTTTAGTTAGAAAGATGATATTTATAACTCACCCTAAATAATAGATGCTAATTTAACTTCAAAGAAAAAGCTTATGACATAATCCAGTCGCTCTAAGTCGCCTAATTATCTTGCTTCAAGTTTAAGCACAAGTGCTTCAATTAAAAATAAAGATGTTGGATATATTGAAAAGATTATTTAAAAAAACTATTAAAATTAATTTTAAAATATCTTTGAATAAAGCAACAATTATAACACAAAATCTACCAGCACTTATAGAATTCTTCATAATACAGAAAATGACCCTAAACCGTTTTAGCCTTAAATTAGTAAAAGAAGCTAATAAATTGCCATGGAAAAGAATAAAGATACATCTCCAGCATTTATAAGACTACATAATTAAAAAATTAAAACTTTCATAATACAAGCAGAGCCTCCTTAAAATGAAAATTTTGAGCAGACAAAACAAAATTTGAACAAAGAAAAAGCTTCAGATAAATCAAACACAACATCTAAAAAGCTAAGCTAATTAGAAATTATGGAAAGTATTTTTTATTTATAATTTAAATGTTCTTTTAAGAAATAAAATTTTGAAAATAGTGAGCGAAAGAATGCACTTATAAGCAAAAAGGCATGAAGACAAACTTAAATAATTGTAATTTATTAATTAATTAAATTATTTATTAAAATAAAATATATAATTCAATTTAAAATATTTAGAAAGCTATTTTATGAAAAAATGGAAAAAGAGTAGCTGCAATAAGATTTTGGAAAGCTTTACATTGCAAAGAAATCTAAATCACCTTAAAAAAAATCTCATGGAATCATCCAAAAAGAAAAATAAAGTTAAAAAGAAGATAAAAGAACAGCAGATTGGAATTAAATGAAATAAAATGAAAATAATATTTAGCAATTCTACTATAAATCCAGAACACCTGAAAGATTAAAAATTCAATAAAATTTAAATGTTAGGAAAAGCTCTTAAAGTCCTATTCCTTCTAACAAATCAAAAACATAAATATTAACTCCTAAGCAGTAATTGTTAAATTATAAAAATTGGTATTTATTATTTTCTGTTTATAAACTAGACAAAATAAAATATGTTACAGTCCTAACAAAACAAAATAAAATAATACCTACTAACCTTAGTAGATGTAGATGCTATTAAGTAGTGATAATGTATACAAATAATTTATTTTTTTTCCTTTAAGCATCATTTTATTTTTATAAGTTTTACAATAGTAGAAGTCCAAATAAAAATTAAGGCAAAGGGCATGAACACCTAGCTTATAGAAGTGATGATTAAGTTAAGATGTCACACATGACAATCCATACCTTGAAAATAGATAGCCTGAGAAAACAAAAGAGGATAAACGATATTTTTACTGTGCTAGACTCTGATGCAGATGGATTTATTTCATCTAATAAAATTAACGTAACTGCTCTTCCTCCTCCTCTTCTTAAAATAATATCTCCCATTCTATATGAAATGGAGGAATATAATTTCAATCTCAGCTACGAGGACTTTATTGGCTCAATTTAGCTGCTAGAAAAAGTAATTAATTTTTAATCATTTTCAAATTAAATAAGTTAAAACTTAATTTTTTATTAGACATTAAGTGATAAATAACTTGAAATACTTTATTATTAAACTGATGATTCAACCAAATATAAATTCTACAAATAAAAGCAACTAACAAACATAGTAAATTAATTTCAAAAAATTTTAATAAGTAAATGATATAATATTTAAATAGAGTAATTTATCTTATGAATAATTGCAAAAAATTGGAAGGTAAATAGAGTCATGCAAAGGTAATATCCATTTCAAAAACTGATATTAAATTATTTATAATTAAAAATGTAAAACTAAAATAAAAATATTTATTGACTAACAATATTTATTTATAAGTCAACTTAATAAATAAATTCTAAATTAATTTATTTAAACTGTAAATTGCATAAAAACATCTATCTATCGATATATCAATATTCTTCTGTTAATTGTGAGTTTAAATTATTAAAATTTTTCATTTAATTTTTCCTAATTTTTTACACAAACATTTTCTTTAGTAAATTTAATGAAGTTTATTAAAATGCTTAAAAATAGTAGAATAACTAAATAAAATTAAAATAATCAAAATAAATAAATATTCAATAATTTCTTTGATTTTTAATTTTCAATTAATTTTAATATATACTGCTTTGGCTCATATATATATGTTGGTAGGTAAATAAATAATTAAATAAATTAATTAATTAAAAACTATTTTTTTAAAACAAGTAAAAAACTTTTTTTTTGAAATATCTTTTTACAATACATTAAATAAAAATAATAGTAAATTATTTGAACATAAATCTAATTTATAAATCATATCCTAATATTATGTATAAGCAGATTTGCATATTAATACTTTTTTATCTTAATAATTTTAAAATAATTTAATTTTTATACAATTTGATACAAATAAAATTCAATAGTGGACAATAAATAAATACATTTATGTATTTAAATTTAATTATTTTATAAAGCTGGTACATTTTATTCATTTTTAGGGATCTATCATATAATTTAGAAAAATTAATCAAAAGATACTTTTCTACTTTTTGGTGGGAAAAATTTACTATTTTTCAAATTTCAATTTTAAATTAATTTGTGTTGTGATCGATTGATTAATTAATTAATACTTTGATTTTGATTTTAAATTTTGTTTTTTTTCATAAAACACAAATCGTTATAAAATTCATTAAGGCGCCAAAATATTTATTAATACGTTTTAAACGAATATTTTGATAACAATAATTAAGAAAAAACTAAGTCCAAGGAGAATTATCTTTACTAATTATTCTACTTATGTAAAATGCCATTTTTTATTATTTAAAAGCCTTTAAATTGCACTTTGAACATGAAAAAAGATAGTATAAAAGATAAATAGTTCAAATATATAGCTTTTAGTTTTTAAAGACACCAAAATTTCAATATCTTTCATGATTTTTCATAAATGCTGATAAATTAACAAGATTTTAAATATTTAGTTAATAAAATGTTTGTTTGTTCGATTATCAAATAAAATAATTACTAAAACTGGTCTATTTTTATTTTTCGTACTGAGTCCTTTGTAAGGGTAGTTCTTTTTATATATTTTGTATTAGTTGAATGTATTGACCCCTTTATTTTCAAAAAATTTTGTATCTTTTTTGCGATAACCTAATTATAATTATGATGATTGATAAGTAAATTATTATGAAAAAAGATATTTATTTTTATATCTAATTTATTTCTTTAAATTTTTTACAAAATAGTCAGAAAGTAAAAATCATATTTTCAATTAGCCAGAGAAATCCACTTAACATCTTAAATAAAATCATTCCGCGTCAAGGAAACCTTCTCTGTTGGTTAGCACTACTGTTATAATAGCAAGTATATGAAATAAACTCCAAATAAAGCTAAAATAAATGAAATAAGTACTTTTTTTTGATAAAATAAGTTCCCTCCATTTTTAACATTTTGAAAATTCAAAGTTATTGAAGAGAATTAAGAGACATAATAAATAAAAAATGAGAATGAAATTCAACTGAGACAATTAGACTTCACCACTAATTAGTCATTCATTATCACTCCTCAAAAAAGAAAGCATAATGTTTGTAATCTGATAATTTAGTCTGAATCACCTCTAAATTCGCCAAAAGCTACAAAATAGTTAAATTTAGAAGAAAACCAAGATAAATAAATAACTAATGACTTTCTCATCTAAAAAAATATATAGTAAAGTAGCTTCTTAACATAACCTGAAAAATATTTTTTTTTTTTATAATAAAATAGAAATTAACTAATTTTAGGTGACATAAACTCGTTCGAATAATTTAATCAAATTCATTATAATATTTTCTAATTAAAAACTTCAACTCTACTTAATTTGAAGTGTTAAGAAAACTCGCCTTAATATTTTATTAATTCTAGCGCAAGCACCACAAATATTACTCCATAAAAAGATAAAGAATTAGAAATAAATTTTGATTAAGATAATAATTTATACTAATTTAAATCAAGCCAAGCATCACAAACTCCTACAAAATTAATTTCTTTGCAAGAATAAACGAGCTCACAATAAATTTCTAGTTTTACAAAAGTTCACGTAGATACTGAATGCAACTGTCAGACAACTTAATGTATAAAAAAATATTGTTCTTGCTATGCAAATAATAATTTCTGTGTACCTTCTATTTGTAAGTGCCAATCTTGTATGAATACTTTCTAACAATCTTATAATTCCACTTCATAAAAAAAGCCAAAGCTTATTTCATCATAAAAATCTCTTTCATAAGTAATTTTATATTAAATTTAAAATATAAACTAACTTAAAATTTAAAAGGAAAATGCAACAATATCTTGTACCTGCTAAAAGAGTTTCTGCAAAAAGCAATATTGTGATTGCTATAAAAGCGGTAAAAAATGTTCCACGTTATGCAAATGCTAAAATTGTTTCAATCAAGGGCAAAAAGAAGTTGTTTAGAGATTAGATTTTAATTCACTACCAGATTTTGACTGATTTGATGTTGATTCTATTTAAACAAGCAAACAAATAAACAAATAAAATTAATTAATTCATGCACAAAATATTTTAAAATATATCTATAATAAGTTATTACGTTAAAGAGATAGATTAATTATCTCATTCTGTTTGTATTATTACAGACTTAACAATTTGTTAAGATAGATGTTAATTTAAAAACTTTATAATTCATATTGTAATATTTTTAAAAAAATATTTTTTTTATAAATTAATAATAAATAAAAGAGACCAAAAAAATAAAGCTTTTTTAATACATAAAATTATTTTTGTTATTTTTTATTTTATAAACGAAATTAGAAAAAATTATTGAATTTAATTAATTAATTAGATATTATTTCATATAAATTTTTAAGCGAGCCAATCTAATGCGTCGGTTAGACCCTCGCCAGTAAAAGGATTAGTATATATTATTTTGTATTAAATTTAAGATTTAAACTTTTCAATGCCTACATACTATTCAATTTCTTGTAAACTAGCCAAATATTTATCTTTTTTATTTGCTAAAATTAAGAATGGCAGGTTCTTTTATGGCAATCGTGCTAACAATTTTTGAACTTATTCTTAGAAATATTATTAATCCTAATTAAGATCACTTGAATCTAATACAACTATAAGTGCTTCCACCCCTTACATTTAATCAGCCCACATATTTCTTATAATTTATCCTCCTCCTCCTTCCCACATTTCAAACTCTATCTAATTATGCACAATACGCTCAACGTTAAATCCAGGTGTTGGTATATAAAAATCTATTTTTTAATTCTTCCATTTATATAATATCGTTGTCCTTCCTGAAGATGGATTCCCAGCCATAAAAACTTTTACACGTTTTTTGATATTAATTCTACTTATTTTATCTTGAATTTATCCCATTTTATTAAGCTCAAAAATAATAGATAAATATATTTTTAATATTTATAATAAACGAACAAAGACTAATTAAAGTTCATAAAAATTTGATTTAGAAATCTAAATAAATATATATTAAGTAAGAGATTCCTTCTATAATTTCATGTTTCTCTCAATCTTGTAAAAAAATATGTCTTTGTCTGGTTTGTTATAGCTATATATTATGTAATATTAGTATTTATTTACCACTTTAAATTACAAAAATAAAATAAAAACATTTATTAAAAATGTATCTTAGTCTTAATTATTGTTTTAATAAGAATTCTTTAAACATTTGCATATTATAACAAAAATAAATTATTTATCTTCCTCTTTAAAAATGATAAAATAAATTGTTTTAAACTAATTTATATTGAAATTATTAATTATCATTTCAAATTGAGATAATCAATTTATATTTTTATTGATTTCTATCAAGCTAATATATTTATTTATAGAAATTAAATGAAAAATTTTGGTATTTGAATTCTCAAGGATTTATAAAACGCTAATTTTTATATTTATATCTTTCTATATATCTATCTATCTAACTATCTATTTTGCTTAGAAATTTATCAAAAATCAATAGAAAAACAATAAATTAATTGTAATTCAATACTTATTTAACATATAAATAAATTGGTAAGCTAATTGTATTCAATAAAATTGATATGGATCTAAATAATAATACAGCTCAATTAAATAATGGCTTTAAAAGGTTTTTAATGCCAGAATATTCGATTCCTGTCACCTTTGGCCTTTTGGGCTTAAGCTCCTTTAAGTTTTTTAAATGCATGAAGTATATGTATATAATTAATCATATGAAGAGAAAACTAAGTAAAGCCCTTCCAGTAAAATTATTGGCTAAAGAATCTCCTAATTACTCTCTTGCTTACGCTTCTGGTAAGATTTAATATGATCCTAACATATCAGTGATTGATTACCACTTTGGTGTAAAACCTGTTGATGATGAATCTATTGGGATATATAGAAAGGTAGATGTTTATAACTAAACAAATATTTAAGGTAATACCCAGTTTGTAAACTATGAGGAAAGATCTTTTTTTGCTTCTGTTAAAGATTACAACAATGTTTATATTTCAAACTAAGTTTTTACTAAAGGCTAGATAAGCTTAGAAGATCATAAAATTGCTGATTCACTAATCAAAGAATATGCAAGGGAAAATATGAAGCAAATTTCTATAGAGGAAGAAGAAATTAGGAATTATGTTGAATAAAATTTTAAGCTTAAAGAGGAGGAAGAAGAAAAAGAAAAGGAAGAAGCTGATTTACTCATAAAAGGTGGAATTCACAACGAAGAATCTCATCCTTTAAGGTAGCTAAACAAAAGATAGTTAATATTCAAAGATAATTATATTTATTTTCAAAAGACGCCTGATTAGCTTTCTTAAGGTGATGTAAGGATATCATTTTATGAGATTGGTAAGGTTGATACTTTAACTATCCTCGCTGGCAAAAAAGAAGATTAATTATAAGCTATTTCTTTTACGTTTAACGGGTTCGATCACTTTGCAAGAAGAATTTTATTAGGAAAAACGGCTAAGAATGTTTGGCCTGTGAAAATAAAATATATATGTGAAGGAATTATTCCCTTTTAAGATCTACTTTCAAGTATCAATTATTAAGTTTAGAGAGATGATAGATTCTTCAAATTATTTTATTTTGTTATAATTTATTTGCTATACAACTATTTGGAATCAGAAATAGCTCTCCTTCCTGAAAATCATTCTTACAAATTGGTTTAGCAATACCAAACTATCAAATAAGTGATTGATTTCGAATTACTAAGAAAAATATTTTCGTTTGATGATGCTCTTAATAATTTTGCAGACGATTCTAAAATGTTAGCAGCTTTGCATTATGCCTTCACTGCTTTATTTATTCGTCTTGGAATGGTATTATTTGGCGCTATAGCTTATTTTAACTTTCATTCACGCTATAAAGAAATTACTTAATAAAAATAGCTAAAAAATCAACAACATAATGAGTAAAATAATATAAATGTTTGAATAATTAAAGAAAAGCTTTATTTTTTATTCTCCTTCTAATTAATAAAAAAATTAATTTAATAAATTTTATAAATAATTGTAGCATTTCTAATCATTTATATATCTTTCCTCTTTTTAAATAAATAAATAAATAAAACAAACAAAATAGTTTAAAGATTTATACCACATCTTATAAATTAATTTAAAAACTACACCAAAATAAACAACTAATTAATTATATTATATTTTTATATTTTACCACAATTTTTTTAAATGTATCTTCTTAATTGATTTCATTTTTATCTATCTTTCATTCTATATATCTATCTGTCATTCTATTATTCGATTATTGTACCATTCTATCTATCTATCTATCTATCTATCTATCTATAAATCTAAAAATCATTCTTTTAATCTTGCTTAAATTAGAAAAAAGTTTGTTTGTTTATTACTATGAGAAAATTGATGAATAAAATAAAATTTGAATTCGATAAACTATTATTAATTTATTTATATTTATATATTATTGAATTAATTGTGGATATTTCTTTTTTTTTTATCAAAGTGTATATTGTGATTTTTTTAAAACATATTTGTCAATTATATTAAGCAAAAATATAATAATTATCAATGTATTTTAAATTTTAAAAATAATTAAGCTTGTTTTTAGCATAAATTGGTAGCTTTGTTGTTATAATTTGTAAGTACTTTGGCGCAATTAGATTTCAGTAATTAATTATTACTAATTTCATATTTTCAAAAATTAAAAATTTGAAGAGACTTTTAATAAATTCTATAAAATTAGTTTGGAAAATGTTTTCAAGCAAATTATAATTTCTTGAAGAGCTTAACAACCAAAATTTTGTATTCGATAAAAGCAATTATACAACTCCATAAAAATCTCCTTTACAAAACCGCGATTAAGCTCTTTCTAACAGCAAATATAAAATTAATTCATAATGTTAACATCAAGAATCAGATTAATCTAGCTAAAAAAATTCAGTGATAAATAGTGCTATAAATTCACAGAAAAAGGACTTATTTTCAGAGCATTTAAATGAGAGAAGAAAAGAAGCAATAAATAATTTTCTTCTCAATTACGAAAATGATCTTTACTATATACTTAATATTCCTCATAATGCATCTTCATAATAAATTAAATAATAATTTAAAAAGCTATCTCTGCTTTATCACCCTGACAAATAGCAGCAACAAAGGAATCAATAGGATTCATAAGAAAACTCTAGAAATGAAAATAATAATGATAATGAGTAGAATTTTATTAAAATTTTAACAGCATATAATATACTATCAAATGATCGCTTGAGGTAAATTTATGATGAGCAAGGATTTTAAGCTGCTTAAAATGCTATGGATAAAAACTCATAAGATTATTGATTAATAATAAATAAATAAATATTCTTTGCTTATACTGAGCAGAATTACTTATATCAAAGATCTTTCAAAAATAAATCTAAAAAACTAAAAAATTAACAAACTTACAAAATTTATTTTATTTTTAATGCTTTATTATTGGCTGCTTACAAGAAGAATTATAGCTAGCCAGTTAAAATTAGTTTTTTACTGCATATTTTATTCAAAATAACAATGAATTTAGATGAAAAATACTTAATTAATTGAACATGTTCAGATTTGTATTTGTTAATTTATAATATTTAGAGTTTTTGATTAATAAAGATATTTTAATCTAAATAACTGAAATCAACAATAAATATAACAAGAAATTTAACAAATTTCTATAAAAGTCTTTGTTTTTAATTTCATTTTTTATTTTTTATATGTTTTATTCAATTTTTGATTCAGATAATGTACTGTAATTTTTTTTTGTAACTATAATAATTTTATTTTTAATTCCAAGAATCTAAATTTTAAGTAAAATACACATAAATATATTTAAATTTTATTTTATTCTTGTGAGTTCGCGTTCTAATTATCCTTTGTATCTAGTCTCTGGTACTAACTATATTTTTAAGAACACATTTTAAAAATAAAAATTAAGATTTAGTTAATGAATATTACAAGAACTTTTTTGTGATTTCTATTACAAAAAGCAAATTTATAAATTCTTATAATTTATTTATTCTTTTTATCCAGTTATAATTAATTAATTAATTAAATTACCATAAATTGTTATTCAATATTTTTGAAATAAATAAATAAATGATATAATAAATAAAATATTACAACAAATTAGAAGAAGTGATTATTTATTTTTTATCAAAATACTTTAAATTTATTTTTACTAATATTAAAAGTTTTTAAACTCTTCACTTTAATCTCATTAGGTTCTCCATATTGATCAGATGTATATTTAATTTATAAATATTGTTATTATTATTAATTAATATTTTTAATATTTTCTATTAATTTAACTTTCAGTTTATTTTTTAATATAAATTATCGTCTATTTTTATTTATTTTATTAAAACAATTTTTTTTTTAGTTATTTTAACTTAATTTTTAATTAAAATATTTTAAATCCATAATCCATTTTTTATTCATTTATTTCCTTCTAAAACTTTTACTTCATAAAAACAGTTTATTTGTTTTAGATTTGATATATAAATTTTAGTTATAAAAATGAATTTAAAAAAAATTTTACTCTTTTTTTTAATTTGCTTATTAGTTTTTATTAAATTATTTATCTTTTCTTTTTTATAGTACTTTTGTTTTTTTCTTCTATTTTTCTTAAGTTAACTAATTTTTTCTTTCTAAATACAGAATTAATTATAAATATATTTTATTCAATTTTAAAAAATTAGGAATTAAATTGGTGCAATAGGTGCAAAAAGCTTAAGTTCTGCATTAGCAAATTGCACTAATCTCTAAAATTTGATACTTAAACTACGGTAAAAACAATTTATTTGTTTAGGATTTTGAAATTTTTATTTATAAAAATGAATTAATTTAAAACAATATAAATATTTTAATTTGTTTATTAGTTTTTATTTAATTTATTTTTCTTTTTCTTCTTTATCATACTTTTTTTTTTTTTTAATTTTATCTTTCTTAATTTAACATATTTTTTATTTGAAACATTTGCATTTATTATAAATAAATTTATTTATTTTTATTACATATTTTTTCTTCATTTTTTCCTTCTAAATAAATAGTTAATTATATATTTTTTCTTCCATATTTAAAAAGTAACAATAAAATTGGCGACTAAGGTGCATTAGCCTTAGGTTCTGCTTTAGCAAATTGCACTAATCTCTAAAATTTGATCCTTTATCTTGGGTAAAAGCAATTTATTTGTTTTGGATTGTGATATTTTGATCTATAAAAATGAAATTAAAAAATATTGTACTTTTATTATTTTTTCTTCTATATTACTTAATTTAACTAATAATTTTTTTTAAAATGATTTTTTATTTTTATAAAATCATCTCTTATTATTTCATACTTTTTCTTCATTTTTTCATTTAAATAATTAATTTAACTTCAATATTTAAAAAGTGACAATAAAATTGGTGTAATCGGTGCATCAGGCTTAGGTTCTGCTTTAGCAAATTGCTCGAATCTATCAAATTTGGTAATTAATCTTGAGTAAAAAAATTTATTTGTTTTAGATTGTGATATTTTTGTTAGAAAAATGAATTTAAAACAATCTAATTCTTTTAATTTGTTTATTAGTTTTTATTTAATTTATTTTTCTTTTTCTTTTTTATTGTACTTGTGTTTGTTTTTCTTTTATCTTTGTTAATTTAAATCATTTTTTTATTTTCGACATTTTATTTTATTATTTATTAATTCATTTCTTAATATTTCATACTTTTTCTTTCTAAATAACTAATTAATGATATATTATTTCTTCAATATTTAAAAAGTGAGAATTAAATTGGTGCAAAAGGTGCATTAGGCTTAGGTTCTGCTTTAGCAAATTGCACTAATCTCTCAAGTTTGGTAATTGATCTTGCGTAAAAAAGTTTATTTATTTTAGATTGTGATATTTTTCATTATAAAAATGAATTCAAAACAAAACAATTCTTATAACTTGTTTATTAGTTTTTATTTAATTTCTTTTTCTTTTTTATTGTCCTTGATTTGTTTTTCTTCAATCTTTCTTAATAACTCAATTTTTTATTTTCGAAATTTGCTATTATTATTTACTAATTCATTTCTTATTATTTCAATTTTTTCTTTCTAAATAACTAATTAATATATATTTTTCTTCATTATTTAAAAAGTGGGAATTTAATTGGTTAAGTCGGTGCATTAAGCTTAAGTTCTGCCTTAATTAATTGTACTAATCTCTCAAATTTGACACTCTATCTTGGGTATAAACAATTTATTTGTTTTGGGTTATGATATTTTTATTTATAAAAATGAATTTAAAATAAAATAACTCTTTTAATTTGTTTATTAGCGTTGTATTTGATTTATTTTTCTATTTCTTTTTAATTGTAATTGTGTTATTTTTTCATCTATCTTTCTTAATTTAGCTCATTTTTTTATTTTTGGCATTTGATTTTATTATTTATTAATTGTTTCTTATTATTTCATATTTTTTCCTTCTAAATAATAAATTAATGAATATTTTTTCTTCAATATTTAAAAAGTGGGAATTAAATTGGTGACAAAGGTGCATTAGGCTTAGGTTCTGATTTAGCAAATTACACTAATCTTTCAAATTTGACACTTGATCTTGGGTAAAAGCAGTTTATTTGTTTTGGTTTGTGATATTTTATTTATAAAAATGAATTTAAAACAAAAAAGCTCTTTTAATTTGTTTATTATTTTTTTTAATTTATTTTTTTTTTATTAAACTTTTATTTGTTTTTCTTTTATCTTTATTAATTTAACTTATTTTTTTATTTTAAAAATTTGCTTATATTATTTATGAATTCATTTCTTATTATATCATATTTTTTTTCATTTTTTCATTCTAAATAACTTATTAAAGATATTTTTTCTTCAATATTTAAAAAGTATCAATAAAATTAATGCACTTGGTGCATCAGGCTTAGGTTCAGCTTTAGCAAATTGCACGAATCTCTCAAATTTGACACTTTATCTTCAGTATAAACACTTTATTTGTTTTGGATTATGATACTTTTATTTATAAAAATGAATTTAAAACAATTAAAATCTTTTAATTTGTTTACTAGCTTTATATTTAATTTATTTTTTTTCTATTTATTTTGTACTATTTTTTTTTCTTCTGTTTTTGTTAATTTAACTTATTTTTTTATTTTAAACTTTTGCTTTTATAATTTATTTATTTATTCATTTCTTATTTTTTCATATTTTTTGCTTCTAAATAACTAACTAATTATATATTTTTTCTTCAATACTTAAAAAGTGGGAATTAAATTGGCGACAAAGGTGCATTAGGCTTAGGTTCTGGTTTAGCAAATTCCACTAATCTCTAAAATTTGACACTTATTTTAAGGTAAAAACAGTTTATTTGTTTTGGATTGTGATATTTTAATCTATTAAAATGAATTTAAAACAATATTAATCTTTTAATTTGTTTATTTAAATATTTTTATTTAATTTATTTTACTTTTTATTACACTAGTGTTTTTTTTCTTCTATTTTTGTTAGTTAACTTATTTTTTTATTTTCAAAATTTGCTTTTATTATTTATTAATTTATTTCATATTTTTTCTTTCTTCAATATTTAAAAAGTGGGAATTAAGTTGGTGATATAGGTGCATCAGGATTAGCTTCTGCTTTAGCAAATTGCACTAATCTCTCAAATTTGACATTTAATCTTAGGTAAAAAAAGTTTATTTTTTTATTATTATAATTTAGCCCAATGCCATTCAAAAATTTAGTGATTTGAGATCACTTTTTTTTTTTGAATGGCAGATGGATTTGAATATAAATTAAGTAAAAATAAATAATTTTAATATAGAATTTAATTAATTAATAATATTTATAATTAATTTTAATTTTATATCAATCTTAATAATAATTAATTTTAGCTTTTTTTAAAAATTTTTCTTCAAAAAAATTTTATTTAATTGCTAATCATTTTTTCCTTCTAAATAGCAAATTAATTATCTATATTTCTCAATATTTAAAAAAGTCACAATAAAATTGGTGAAATCGGGGCATCAGGTTTAGGTTCTTCTTTAGCAAATTATTCTAATCTATCAAACTTGGCACTCATTCTTTGGTAAAAGCAGTTTATTTGTTTTGGATAGTGATATTTTTATTTATAAAATGAATTTAAAACAATATATATAACTCTTCTAATTTGTTTATTAGCTTTTATTTATTTATTTATTTATTTATTTATTTATTTATTTAATTTATTTATTTTTTTTATTATATTAGAGTTTTTTTGTAAAATCTTTGTTAATTTATTTCAATGTTTGCTTTTATTATTCATTTCTTATTAATTTATTTATTTTATTTTCATTTTTTTCTTCTAAATAATACATTTTTTCTTCAAAATTTAAAAAGTTGGAGTTAAGTTGGTGATAGAATAGAATAGAAATACTCGCACATATAAATGCACTCAGAATACAACTTAAAATTAAATTTTATTATATTTATAATATATTTCTTTTGTTTTACTAAATTAAAATCTTTATTACAAAAAAAAATCCACGATTAGCAATAATATTTGATAATAATTATTTTGTTTTTTCTTTTTATCCATTTATTTATAATAAATTAAATTTCCATAAATTGCTATTGAATATTTTTGAAAAAAAAATGATAGAAGAAATTAAATATTACGAAGAATTAGAAGAAGTAATTATTTATTTTTTTATTGATATTATTTAAATTTATTTTTGTTAATAAAAACAGTTTTTAAACTCTTCACTTTAATCTCATTAGGTTCTCCATATTAATCTGACTAAGTAATATTTTTTTTTAAATTTAAATTTCAATCTATTTACTATGGTTTTTCTAACAAACAAATTATCATCTTAATTCATTCATTATTATTTATACTAATATTTTTTTAGCATTTTAACTTAATTTTCACTTTCAATTTTTAATTATTCATTTTTTGAATTTTATATTTTTTCTTAATTATTTACTATTAACATTTATACTTGATAAAAAACAATTTATTTGTTTTGGATTGTTGTATTTTTAATGATATAAATCAATTTAAAACAAAAAAAGCTATTTTAATTTACTTGATGGCTTTTTATTTGATTTATTTTTCTTTTTGTTTTTATTCTTCTTTTTATTTTTAATTAACTAATTAATTATATATTTTTTCTTCAATAAAAAATAGATGGAAAAAAATTAGTGCAATGGGCGCATCAGGCTTAGGTTGTGTTATAGTAAAATGCACTAATTTCTCAAATTGGATACTTAAACTTTAGTAAAAACGGTTTATTTGTTTTAGATTGTGATATTTTTAATTATAAAAATTAATTTAAAATAATAAAGCTCTTTTAATTTATTTAGTAGCTTTTTATTTGATTTATTTTTCTTTTTCTTTTTTACTGTGCCATATTTTCTTCTTTTTTCTTTGTTAATTTAACTTATTTTTTTATTTTACCTTTTTTTATTAGTTAATATATTTCTTTTTAATTCATTTTTTCCTTCTAATTAACTAATTATTTAGATATATTTCTTCAATATCTAAAAAGGTGGAATTAAATTGGTGATAAAGGTATATCAGCCTTAGGTACTGCTTTAGCAAATTGCAGTAATCTCTCAAATTTGACACTTGACCTTGGGTAAAAAAATTTATTTGTTTTGGATTGTTATTAAGTAATCTTATTATTTCATATTTTTCTTCATTTTTACCTTCTTATTAATTATATTTTTTATTTAATATTTAAAAAGTGAAAACAAAATAGGTGCAATGGGTATATCATTCTTAGGTTCTGCTTTAGCAAGTTGCACTAATCTCTCAAATTTGACACTTTCACTTTAGTAAAAAATAGTTTATTTGTTTTGGGTTGTAATATTTTTAATTATAAAAATTAATTTAAAATAATAAAACTCTTTTTATTTGATTTATTTTTCATTTTACTGTGCTTATTTTTTTTAACTTTCTTTGCTAATTTAACTCATTTATTTTTTATTACATTTTGCTTATTTAATTTATTTTATTATTTCAAATTTTTTCCTTCTGATTAATTAACTAATTATATATTTTTTCTACAATATTTATAAAGTGACAATTAAATTGGTGATGAAGGTACATCAGTCTTAGGTTCTGCTTTAGTAAATTGCACTAATCTCTCAAATTTGGCACTATACCTTATGTAAAAAAATTTATTTGTTTTGGAATGTGATATTTTCAATTAAAAAATTAATTTAAAACAATTAAGCTCTTTGAATTTAATTAATAGCTTTTTATTTGTTTTATTTTTATTTTTGTTTCTCTCTTTTATTGTGCTTGCTTTTTTTCTTCTTTCTTTACTAATTTACCTCATTTTTTTTATTTTCAGCTTTTGCTTTTGTTATTAATTAATCTTATTATTTCATATTTTTTCTTCATTTTTTCCTTTTAATAAATTAATTATTTTTTCTTCAATATTTAACAAGTTACAATTAAATTGGTTTAATGGGTACATCAAGATTAGGTTCTACTTTAGCAAATTGCACTAATCTCTCAAATTTGGTCCTTGACCTTGGGTAAAAACAGTATTTGTTTTTGATTACTATATTTTTAATTATAAAATTAATTTAGAATAACAAAGCTCTTTTAATTTATTTGATTGATTATTTTTCATTTTCTTTTTTATTATTTGATTCATTTTTTTATTTTCACCGTTTGCTTTTATTGTTAGTCTATCTTATAATTTCATATTTTTTCTTCATTTTTTCCTTCTTAATAACAAATTAATAATATATTTTTTCTTCAACATCTAAAAAGGCAGAATTAAATTGGTGAGGAAGGTGCTTTAG